CTTGAGGGAGCGAACGAAAAAAAAGAACGAAATAAAAATAATTATTAGTGTTTGGACTGTCAATCATTTGACGGTGTTTTAATTTTTATGTATCCACTCGATCGAGTGTGGTGCTGATCTTTGAGAAGATGTGCTTTGCCGTACGCAACAATTAACATCTTGGGAAAAAGTTAAACAATTTCGTATTCATTATGCCGGAGAGAGCATTCTGAGTGATGAAACCGAGAAGACCACCAAAACACAATGTTACCGTGGTTATCGGCGACGTTCATTCACATGCACACACAACAAAGCAACATCGCTTTTGAATTCAGCTGGATCACAACAGCATAATAGAAGTGAAAATTGGTACGAAACCGCTAAAAGTGTTTCAGTTTTGTGTGAGTGTGTGTGTGTGTGTGTGTGTGTTTTGAATCGCACAGGCGATCATTATAGGTGTATTCAATATGAACTTTTCCTTTTGTCAAACGGTAAACGTTGTATTCGCGCTGGTGTGGTTAATTGTTTTATATTTATTTACGCTTCACGTAGAAATGTTTGTGTTTTGCAACTTATTTGGTGGTGAAATGCCGTTATTGCTCTTGTGATTGAGCTGTATAATTTGGGAATATTGAAAATGCACACTCATTTAGAGCATCGTGCTCTCTTCCTCTCTAGCCCTTTTCTCTTCTCTCTCTCTCTCTCTCGCTCTCTTGATGTTTGTTCGACTCCTAGAACAATCTGATGCTTCAAGAGACGGATGAAGATTCGCGCTGCCATAAACAGTTTACCAATATGCAAAAATGAGTGAGACGCGTTGCCAATTAGACGTAACATAAAGACGGTATACGTCAATCTATTGTCAATAGTGAAGCAGGGCGAAAAAGCATTGATGGGTGCGTGGTTCATGTAAATGAAGAAGCTCGTATGTGAAATGCTGTAACGAATTGTTTTGTTGAAAAGAAGCCATGTTCGCATTTTACGTCGTTTTATTCTCATATGTAACGAATTCGAAATGTTATGCTAACAACTATGATCGACCACGCAACAATCCTATCATTTTCATCAATAAAATGGTATATTTTCTTCGTCATTTCATTCAAACACCGTTTACTTCATTGAATTCCGTGGCTGCACACTTCCACAAGACGAGCTCGATGAGAAAAAGAGATGAACTGTTGACGACCATCTCGAAGAACTTTCTTGTGAAATTATACGTGAAAAGCGAAAGAATCCGAGTACAAGTAAACTCTCGATGAAGCGAAAACAATGGCACATTTGATGTGGTAAACGAAATTATGTGAATTTTCTTGTAGAAAATCTCAGAAAATGCTAAAAAAAAACAACGCGAACAACACTGGATCTACTGAAGCGCGCACATTGAACAAGAACTGTGTGTATTTTTGTATATGTGAATACGATTGAGCGTGGCTGATGGGCGAATGGTGAAAGAAGAAGAATCGCTGCCTAAACTCATTAGCATAACAAATTGTATGCGATTGGCGACCTTGTAACTAGCGCGAGCGGATTGTATTCGATACGATACCATTGAATTTAGCCGAGCGAGCGAGTAGCGACATAGAGACAGAGAAGCCGAGTTCTGATGAGATGATGTGCCTATGTGTTACCTAATGTCTGTTCAATATCGCGTACCTCCTGCCATCAATTGTGGCAGTTTAGTTGAGATATTGTTACCGATCATGGCAAATTGATCGTTTCACGTTGTTTTTTGTCTTAATTTTTCCGTTTGGTGTTTTGTATTTTTTTTTATGTTTATTTATGCCGGTTGCGCGGCAGTCTCCACATTGCGCTTCATTGTGTATGCATGCGGCGTGTGCAGTGTGCACAATGCATTCGCTTTCATGTATATTGAATGCGACTGGCGGCAAAATCACTGCGATTGTTTTTATTGCACAAGGCAGTGAGTGGCTGGTTTTGCTATTTCAATTTCATGATCACATCATGGGCTCGTCCGTTTGCTTCATTTGGGCAGGCAGGCAAAGTCTCTTTTCCGTTGCATGCAGTGGCTGGATGCGTTGTCTCATTTCTTTTTAATATTCTTAAATTCAATTCCTTCGTTTTTTCTGCATTGCGTGCTTGCCAACTCCTATTTAAGCAGATTTCATGCTCTTTTATCGTCGTTCATCCATTATGTATGCAATGGAACTAGACACACTCGGCTTTAAATCGGTGAATAGACTCTTCTAAACGTAAACTGGCGCTACGCGATTTGTCAGCTCACCATTTCTTTTGTTGCTCCTCTGGCTCTTCGTTCGCATAAAAAAAATAGATAAACTTAAGCCTCACAATGTTACTGGAAACATGTTATTCAAATAATGCGAAACTGCGCCGAGCGTTTTCAAATGACTTTTAGTGCTAAAGACAGTTTTAGTAATTTTCATTCATTTTCAATTCAATGTCGTGGCATTTGATTTGAATTCCGTTCATTTTAACAACCGTTTTCAATGTATGCTTAATTTCCATATCATTTGCAGTGGGTGGCTCACGCCACGGTACTTTCCAAACAGATGTAGATAAAAATGTCCAAGTTTAGAATTCCATTTACAATTCATTTAGTGTGCAGCTTATCGAAAAAACACCTAATTGGGCTTTCACTTCGTTTTTGGGCCTTCATTTTGAGAGTTGTGATCAAGTAACAAATTCAATTGAAATCGTTAGCTAATCCAATGTAAATCTTCTGTTGCTACAGAACACAAAATCGGATTTCATTTAATGAAAGTGTGATTTTATGGGTTCAAACTCCAAAAACATCGATTTTCTACCATATGAAGATATTACAAAAATATCGGCTGAATTTGCATTTACATGGATCGAAGAAGAAAAAAGAATTGTGTACTAGTAAATCGTGTTGTCAAAAATGTAAATTACATTTGATTATGATTTTATGGTTAAATCCGATTTTATGATGGTATGCTACTCGTCGTCGACATAAGACACGAAATGGAAATGATCAATGATTACCAAATGCGCATCGCCCATAATATATCCATCCTCCTTTTCATTGTAAAACGTCTGAACATTGCATAAATGCGGCTGAATTTATTTCAAGCTTATTAAAACCTCGGCTCACAAGTTTTGCCAGCAAAGTGAGGCATGGTAATAAAAATTCATTTTATACCTTTAAACGGTGCAGATGAGTCGAGTTGAAGCGCGTCGATGGGTTCGTTCTTCCACGAGAATCGCAGCTTTTGAGGATAAGTGTAACTCATAATTCATGTTTTTTTTCAACATAAGAAAATGAAAAAAACACAACAAAAAACTGCGTCACAAAATGTCGTTGCGCTAATGAAGAGACAAGTAAAGCTATGAAAAAAAAATTTGTCCACAGAAATCCAAACACTGGAAGCGAACGCATTAATTAAACATTGTCCGACTACTGCTGCACACTATACGGAATACATGCATTTGTATGTTTGTTTGTCGTGATCGAGAGATCAGAGACAAGGCGCAACAGTGCATACTCATTATAAAGTGCAGAAAAAACGAACCAATCCTCGACAGAAATGGATCACGTTCATATTTCATGTGTTTTGCATAAAACACATCCATACGCGGCGCGCTATCCGGCAAAGTGGCTGTCAGCAGCGGATGACCATTTTCTATCAAGAGCTATGAAAGCAAAACACAACCGACAATACACTTGGTTCATGTCTTAAATCAGAATTATGTAAAATGCTCTAAGAAATGAAGGCAAAAAAAAGAGAGAGAGAAAAACTCCAACTGAAAAAACAACGCACAGAACAAATCGAAATAAAACTTGAGAAATGAGTGCGCGAATACGTGCATAAATCAAATGATGGAAAGAAGAAAAAAAAGGGTCGGCAGAGAGACGAGCGAGAGCGCAAATAAGGCGCGTCGCTACGATATGTAAATATGTTTAAACGTTTTTCGGTGGAAAGACGTATTAATTCATTCGTGAGTCGTACTTTTCATCGTCTTCTTTCAAGTTAAAGTCACATTATATGATTCGATTGTTATTGTTCCTGATGCTCAGCTTCATTTATAACACTGGTAGTTACTCTCGAACTGATCACCATTTAGACGAAATTATGGCTTTTAAATGGAAATCACTCTATAACAAACAACCCATACGTAATGACGTTACTTGAATCGGCCGTGTTAAATGCGTACACAGAAGAAAAATAACATACACAACGAGAGTGATCTAAAGGCAACACAGAATGAGCAGATCAGAACAAATTATCTGTCAGTGAAAATTATATTTCAGGTTGATTGTTGTGTGCGTGTGTGCGTATGTGTGTGTGTGTGTGTGTGTGCCTATATCTCTGTGTATTAATTGCATTTTATGTGCGGATTTATGACAAGAATCAAGCCGACAACAGTCCATCAACACAAGAATGCGTACACACACCAAAAAATATTAATTTCTTTTCATTTATGTTATTTACTGTTTTCGCCATTTTCATTTTTTGTGTCTCCCTCTCTCTCTCTCTCTCGCTCGCTCGCTTGTTCGTTGTTTTTCTCTTTCGGTCAGTCGTCATGAAAATAAATTGAATTTTAAAGACTTTGGAAACAGTTCTCGCTTATTCTTTTGCCTCATTCGACGATGATGCTTACGAACAATAAATTGAAAACGTCTCGTAATTCAAGTGATATGGGAATTTCGTATGGTTTTTTTTTCTTCACATCTCCAGGTGAAATATAAACCAAACCATAAATCCACGAATAACGGCTTTTGTTCAAATTGATGAAATTACCAAAGCGACAATTTTGCTCTGAGCGGAATTTATGCGACCAAACGAGCGCATAATTCTTTTCTGAACGCAGTCCGAAGAGAAGAAAATGTCATTTGTACAAATGATACAGCCATAAATCGATCTGATGACCAAATTTTTTCTTCGCTTTCCACATTTTACCCCAACATTTTTTTTCTTTAACCTTTCCTCTTTCACATCAGTCTTTTTTTTCTTCTCATTTTCGAAACATTGAATTATTTGAACAAATTAAATAAATTAATTTCCATTCATTTTCAATTTCAGTTCAGTCATTTTAATGTGCACGCTAACTATAGCGACCGCACCACCACCCCCCGGCTCATCAACACCTATATCGCGATCATCAGCAACGCCGCGCAAATTCCGTGATTCGAAAATCTCACGAATACAACCATATGTACATAGTGAAACTCTAACGGCACCGGCTGTCGATACCTATAACAATTTCCACAGCGAAAAAGACTCGGCCATCAAGTATTATCATGCAAATAAATTTCTCGAAAAAAATCATGGACATAAAAAGTTTGGAGTCGACAAAAAGAAAGTCTCGTCCAACCACGAACTGTTCAAGTGAGTATTTCTTTCTTTTATTGACGAATTTGGTTCTTGATGGTGTGCATAAATTTGCCAAATTGATAAAATCAATTGACGCAAGAGAATAGAAAAATGCTGGTGTTTTATTTTGCACATTTAATGTCGATCTTTGTGTCTTAACTTTGGTCAGATTCAATATAAATGTGAAACCAAACGAAGTAAATGGTAAAATCACGATTTCTAAAAGTCTTAATCGATTTTCTTCTCTCTTTGTTTCTCTCATTTCTTTCTGCATTCTTTTGGTTATGTTGACGAAGGTCGTTGGGATTAGCAAAAATCAAGACACCGCCAGGTCATCATCGTAAACGTCTTGCCGTCGAATCATCGCGACACCATTCAAGACCGGATGACTCACATATGTTTATCATAAAATTGCCGCCGAATCCATACTACTACAACCAGAATACCGCGCAAAGCCAGAATGGTATCGAAGACAAAAATCAAAAGGTAAGACCATCCGACCGAAATGCAATTTATGGTACAGGTTTTTGAGTGTGTTTACCGAAATTAGTTTTAAAAATACATCCAATGAATCAGATTGCTGATGCGCATTTGGTCGAAAGGAATTTCCGCAATTTAACCGAACGGTTACAAACCATTTCGAACGAGTCCAAAATAAGAAATAAAATTCCGAACTCGAGCTAAAATAAGAATTTCCTTATCGGATCAAAGCACTTTTTGTTTCCATTGCGATGCAATGAGAACACAGAGAGGAGAAAAATTTACAGAGGAACGTTAAAAGACCGCTAAATATTTTTATGAATTTATTATGCATGATACGTTGATATGCGAGATGCTGTGTTGTTATTAAGAATGCATAATTAGCGTCCTTATTGTGGCGTGTGTCTTCTTCTTCTTCTTCTTCATACTCCGTATCTCAATGAGTGTATCAAAATGTACACTTTTTCACTTTCAAACATAATTTTTACTGATACCCATCGTTTGTTCATACATTTTAATGTGTTTAATGCGCTTTCGCATAGCTGCTGAAAGATTCAAGTCTTTATTCATGACTGTTGCTGAGTTCTTAACGTAATTTTCGTGTCATTTGTTGTTCATATACGAATACCTCCTAATGGAAATAAGTGCTCAGCATTATTCTTCGTCGCCGTGTGCGCTCTTTTTTTATTTCAGTCGAAGCTCTTGTATCGGTTTTAATTGCGTCAAGTATTTTAATTGTAAAGGAGAAGAGAAAAAAAAACACAATACATACGAAAGGCACAAAAAAGTGCCACAAACATACAAGTGGTTTTTTGTTGTTGCATTAATTCATTTGAAGGAGCTTTGTAGAAGTCCGCTTCGATTAGATTCCATTATGTGTATGTGTTTGTAATTGTGTGTGTGCACGAGAGAGTGCTCGATTGATCAAACGCTTTATGTTGTTTTCAACAAACGCAATCGATTAGGGAATAATTTAGATAATTTACTAAGCAGATTTCTCATTCTTGTTTTTTTCTCTCTTTTTTTTCCTCTTTTTTTCATTTTCATCTCTTCTACACATCCTGGTTTTTTGCAATGTTTCTGCCTCGTATTTGAAATCCCATCACAAAATCGTCAACAACCTGTCGACTGTTGCTGTCGTGATTTTTTTCCTCTCTTTGGTCGCATCATGGTGCCATCACTGTGTTTTTTCATCTCTCATCTGCCCGTGTGCCGTCGTGTTGTGGATGCAATTTCAAATGTCATGTTTCAAACGACACGCAAAAATGTGTGCTGTTGCGCTTTCGTCCATCGTTTCTTCCCTCTGGATAAAAATGTGTACGGTTCGGTTTTGAAACTCACACAGATCTCTTCGATGGGCTTCAAATCAAACGGCAAGCCGGGTCGCATTTACCATTGGAATTTGCCAGTATTGAAAAAAATGCTCACCAAAGGCGAAAGTACCGGCCGTAAATCATCGAACCTAAGACATTCGGATGATGTGAACGATTTGATTGATATAAAAAATATACCAACATGGTCGAATCCATGGGATGACAACAATGAAACACTTGACAAAGCCTTCTCCGGTAAACAACATCGTGGCGTCAACAATGCCGACATCAACGGGTCGAACACGGTGCACATAAATGGCATCGACGATGACTTGAATTTGAAGCTGTTGAAGAAAAAATCACCAACATACTATGCACCGTCGAAGCAAAAAAAGAAAGCCACCGTGCACAGTGACAGTGTGGCCGTCGCAAAATCATCATCATCAGCAGCATCATCTGCCAGCAGCAAATACTTCCCCGGCAACGGAAAACCCAAAAGTTTTTACGTGATCAAGAAAAACGACCATAAACCATACTATCAGAAATTAATCCCATAAATTTCGAATCGATTTTTCTTTTCTTTTTCAACTCGTTTTCTCACCTTTCTACAAAACGCAATAATTAATAAGACAAATGTATGTTCTTTCTTTTCGATTTTGAAATTCAACAGCAAGTTCTCGAACATTGAACCGAATTTCCCATTCAAATCATATAGGTTTTAACCAAATTGTATACAGAGAATCCGTCTCAGAAAAAGAAAACAAAAATATCTTGATCATTCACTTAATTTATTGCATATCATTGTCTCATTGTTTTTACATGTACTACTCAATGCTCATGATAGAGATGAAATACGTATGGAGTCAATTAATGTTTTTTTTTTCGTCTCTCGCTCTTGAATACTTATTTTGCTCTAGTGAAGCGAAACTACATTTAAAACACAAGCAATTACTGTTAAGTTAAGTTTATTGTCAACAACATCAAGAAGAAGAAAAAAAAAACAAAAATTTTTTGTATAAGAAATTTATTAGATCAATTAGGAACTACAAATTAACAAAAAAAAAACAGTCGGCCTATTATCGGTTAAGTGATGTCATTAATTTTAAGAAATTTTTCGTTTCAATTCAAATAATAACAATTGTGACAAATAATAACAACAACAACAATTAATTTATGCATACGATTTTTTTTTATTGCTATTGCATTTCATTTTCTTTTCCCTCGCTGCGAAACAGACTTTCAGATACAAGGTTGTTATATTTTTTACTATATCATAACGAAAGATGGTAGCACTGGAGAAAAACGGCGAATGTGATGTGAAAATAAAGGGCAACAAAATACAACTTATTTATCGCAATCAAATATATTTGATATTGATGCGAGTAAAAAGCAAATGAACAATTCATTGAAATAAAGCTGTCGAGAAATCTCTTTTTTTGATACGATATTAAAATTGGTGGTTTTTATTTTCGATCTTAATTTTTGATATAGCGAAAAATTGATGATACGTTGCAGAGAGAAAGATCATCAACAAACACTAACCAACAAATTAAAATCTTTATCGCTGCCATGGTAATGTATCTGAGAAAGGAATGAAAAACGGGCAAGTCTATTAACTTATTACTTTCAGAAGATATATGGACGCATAAATGAATTTTAGTAACTGTAAAAATCTGTTTGAAATTGGCCAAAAACACATGTTTGGAGCAACAAAAAAAAGTTGGTGTGCAACACCATGCAACATAATACAGTCCATAAAAAAATTGAAGACTCGTTTGTGAAAATATCCATTAACACACTTTATAGTGTGCATATAAATTTTGTGGTTGCAAACCAACGCCACGGTGAGTCGGTAAGTATCAAAGGTGATTTGGAATGGTATGGTGTGTTATGATTTCGATTTGGAATGAAATAGACATTGAATATTGAATATTGTATCCCTTGGTTTTGGCACGTTTAAACATAGTCAGATAGTACTGTATTAATTTTTGCTGCCAAATTTCGTGTGCATTATTATTTTTAAGAAAATTATTTGGATCAAATTTCAATACAATGGCTTTTTGCAAGTGGTATAGACGCTGTCTTATGGATTAGAGCACCTAGGTTAATATTGAAACAAAATATTTATACCATCAATCGCAACAGAACTTCCAATCCGTTCGAATTTTTCATAGAAAATCAAAAATAGTTTCGCAGCGCAGCAAGAATACTCGCCGTTGTATGAATGTAAAATACACCGTTCGTACTTTGGCTAAAGTATTGCCGCTTACTTAGAGTTGTCTGCGTTAAAAAGTATCTGTCAAGTGCTGAATAGAGGCGAATGAGTAATTGTAATGACATATAGTAGGTTGATTTTGTTTTGTTGGACGGAAAAAGACCACTTTCACAATCTAAAAACTAAAGTTCCCAAGAGATTTTATAGAAAAAATCAACAAAATGGTTGATCCAAAATTCGAAGATCTGCCCGGAATCGTAAGTGTGACCAAATGTCGTTGCCGTGACTTCACATTATTTCCTATCTGAAACAAAATATTTGTTTGGTGACCAACGCCTAGGTAAAATGTCTAACAATTCGCATTCATGTTTCAGGCACACGACGAGCCCGATGTGTATGAAACTCCCGACGTACCTGAAGTAGAGTCGCCGGATTTCTACGAGGAGCCCGAAACCGAACACATTGAACGTTTACACATTTCTCCAAAGGATGCGTACAACAAATTCAAAGGCAAGTATCTAACCGGCTACGTGGACTTTTCGGATCGTATAAGTCGTCGTTTACGCACTGGTTATGATGCACGTTCTGGAATCTATGAATACGGTACGGACGATGAGGAAAAAGAGACACCGGTTCAAAAGTGTCGTCGTCTTCAGCTGGAAATGGACGAACTGATGCAGGAATTGGATGGCTTAAACACGGATAAAACCACATCGAAGGAGGATAAACAATGCTACGAAGCAATTGGCAATGTTGTGAACAATGCCAAAAAAGTTTTGACTGGTTTACGATTAGAGCAAGTGTTAGGATCTGAAGCGACCACAGCCACTGCAGACGCTGAAATGAAGAAGCTATTGACTCAAATTGATGAATACAAGAAAAGCAGCTCATCCGTTCAAGTGCCAGTAAAATCAGCCACCGAATTGGTGGCATCGTCACGAATCGCTGAGCTTGAGAATAAATTGCACGGCATTGAATCGGTGATTGGTGCACAGCCGGAGAAATTGACACGATTGTCATTGGCATTACATTCCAATAATTTACTGGATGCTGTTCAAAAAGTGTCCACCATCGCAGCTCTGCTACAACCGACTCAATTGGATGTGATCGAAACTCGAATTGAGAATTTAGCCAACAAAATGGACGCAATTGTAGCCACATCGAACAGCATCAGCAAAGATGCATCAGTTGATCAAAAAACTATTGAACTGTACGAAATAGCTAAGCGAGCCGAACCAATCGCACAATTGCTACCAAATATGCTGCAACGTATGCAAGCCCTTGAAAATCTTCATAACTATGGTAAGACGCGCAAATTTTTCAGCATTTTCAATGGATTTCGATTAATGAATTGCGTTTCTTCTCTTTTCAGCGACCAATTTCAGCAAAATCATTGCTGAGCTCGAAGCACAGCAGCAAACTCTATTGACTAGTCTAGCGGGCAATAAAAAACTCTTGCAAAACGTACAAGAAGCATTCGCTGTGAATTTGGAGAACGTTAAGAAGGAAGTGGCTAAACTTGAATCACGTTTGAATACGCTCAAATCGAAATAATCTGGAATTTTGTCAGCTAAAATCGGTTTTAAAAACGTATCGATATATTCAAAACTAACACAAATTGAAAGAGAATTAATGAAAGCCTGTAACATTTTTGTACACTTCATTCAAAATATACGCTTTATTTATCCTTTGCTTTTTGAAAATATTCTGAGTTAAAATTTCTTTTTAGTATTAAAATTGTTACGATTCCCTATATATTTAATCCACGCCTGAATAAAAATAAAGCAAATGAATGAGATTAAAAAAGAAGTAGAATTTCGTTACAATTAATGTTGGGAATTAGATAAAATGATTGCTTAGCTTATACCAAACGATATAACTTAAGAATTTAAAAGAAAGAAAAACCGCGCTAATAACCATACATTTCATCATAATTGTCTTCCACATAATCGTTTTCCGTTTTAATGAAATGACTCTGAAACTGTTGTGGATCGTCAGTTTCTAATTGACCGTTGGCGAATGGGTCGTCGGGCATTGGAACGTCTTCTTGTGATTCGCCACTGCTCGGCATCATTTCATCGTCTTTATCCATTGGATCCAGTGCTGGCGGTATAAACATACAATGTCGCGAATGGTACAGTTTCTCTTTGAACGTGTCAAATCGCTCTCCGCACAAAAACTTGCACTTGTACGGCTTGATACCTTGGTGGTGTACCTTGAAGTGGGCGACCATATGATCGGAACGGTTGAACTTTTTGAGACATATTTCACACTCGTAGTTTTGTGAATTCGTATGAATGGCCATGTGCCTTCGTTTGTGCTCTGCTCGGGTGAAACGATTGCCACACACCTGAAAATGTAGAGAATTTGCATTAGACATTGTTTGGGAATTATTATCATGGCAAGTGGAAATTTCTTCCAATAAACTAAACAAAAATCGAAAAGCCACTTACCTCGCAGATATGCGGTTTTTCACCAGTGTGCTGAACGGCGTGTCTTTCAAGGTGCCTGAGACTCGGGAAGGTAGCGTCACAATTGGTACATGAGAATTTTTTAACGAATAAATTGCCATCTTCACGTTTAATTGTGACCGTTGGCAGTGATGGGGCAGGTGGAGTTTTTAGAATTGGCATTGGTTTGCTGGTACTGGAGACAATCGAGAACATTTCTTTGCTAACGCCCTGGATATTGGACAAAAGTAAATTGCCCATAAAATTGAAACATTGCTCGTAGAAATCGCCATTCTCGCGATTCATATTCTCATTCTTCAGCTTAATTGCAAACAGTTTGAATCGATGGAGTAGCTGTTGTCGCAACGTTCCAGTTAAGTCATCGCGTTTGAATGTATGGGAAGACGATGCGGATGGTGTGTTTTGTTCGATTTTCACAGTTTTTTGTGGAGTCGTAGATCGAATATCTCTTTTGTGTGCTTCTTGCAATTGATTCATCTTGTCCGATTGTCTTTTGTGAGTGAATAAATGATGTCTGAAACCAAAAAATGGGAAGAAAATTAGTATGCAACAATACAAAATCAGCTACAACAAGATCCTCACCGTAGATGTTCGCGCCGGGCAAATGAACGAGAGCACCTCAAACATTTGTATGGCTTTTGATTGAGATGAATGACTTTGTGACGAACGAGATGATATTTCTGTGCGAGGGTTTTACCACAAATATTGCATGTGAGTGTTTCAATCTCTTCTTTTGTTAATTTCGGTCGTTCGACTCTCTGGCGAATGCCGCCCATTTTTTTCAGATCCTTATCCGCTTCACTTTGTTTCATGCGTACATATTCAGCGGCATTGACGACGCACTTCGTCTGATCAATTTGAAGGAGACTCTCTTCAGGTTGCGGTTCATCTTGGAACAGATCGATGTTGTCGAGTAAATCGTCTGTGTTGTTGCTGGTATCAATGTCTTCGAAATAATGTTCTGGAATCGATGCCACATTGATAATCGCCAATGGATCCATGTGCTCGGGTTCGGTTTTGATTTGTAAATCATCTTTTACCTCGCCGTTGTCTTCTTCATTCGATGGTGACGATGGTTTGCCGATGCGACACGTTTTTTCATGTTTGGTTCGATTGTCGGCTCGTGTAAAACGTTTCATACAATACTTGCACTGGAACATTTTTACACCTGAGTGCACGGTTTGATGGCGGATGAGATGGTCGAATCGCGAAAATTCCATGTCACACGTGGTGCATTTGAACGTCTTACGCGATATACTGATCGGTTCGTGTTGTGTATGCATTCGCATATGACCGGCTAATGCACTGGCTTTGTCGAATTCCTTCATGCAAATTGTGCATCGAAAGTATTTGTTTTCCAAATGCAACACCATGTGATTCATGCGCTCTTCGTCGGTACGAAAACCCTTGCTACAAATCGAACAGGTAATGTGTGACTGCTTATGTTCTCGGGCAATGTGCTGATTTCTCTGCTCTGAACGTGCAAATGTTTGACCACACCATTGACAATCGTAGGGACGTTCGCCCGTGTGCAGGCGATAATGGCGCCTTAAATGAAAAAACACACACAAAAACATGTTGAAACTATTTGTGAAACCAAAATTCAATACAATTTCCATTGTGTTATTACCTTAAATGAGCCTTCCGTTTGAACTCTTTCTCACACACGTCACATTTATACGACCGTATACCATTTCTTACTATGGTGTCCGGTCCATTTTGACCATTTATTTCGTCAAAATCATCGTTTCCATCGTCGAAATCGTTTCCATCGGATAATGCAATTTCAGGCACAAGCAGCGAACTTAATGGACTAAGCGCTGTATCATCGTCGTCTATTTCACAATCACCATTTAGGCTAACACCATCTGGATCTGTTTCACTTGCCATCGTTTTATTTCTTCTTCTCTATATTTTTACAATGTACAAAATTAATTTTTAATATGCAACGAGTGATTTAACTGAATTGTCGTCCCGTTTTGTGTGGCACATTGGAAAAAAAAAACTTTTCATTCCGGAGTTGTAGCTGCTTATTCCCTAGCTAATTGTTTTATGTAGAAACTATATCTTTTTTCCCTTGTTTGACAACAAAATGTCAAACATCTATTGGTGTTTACGACTTACGGGCGAGACAAACGTCATCAAATGCACTATTTCGCCGCTCCATCAGAATGTTTGTGAGACGTTTTCCTAGTGGATCTTCGCCACAACTCTTTTACAATGCTTGTATCTTGGAGACAGTATGAGTTTTTTTTTATTTAATTGACCAAAAATAAAACGATTGAGAATGTCGATGAAAAAATGCAAGTTTGTTCGAGATTATGTTATTTTCCAATACTACACAATACAAAAACGAATTCAAATGGAGACGCCACATTTGGTTTTTTTTTCGCCTGCTTTTCAAATACATAGAATCTTCTACATTTTTGTAACTCCCCTTAACTGTTATAAGGGTCGAACCAAATTAATCAACTCAGTCGAACTCTGGAGTACATGCTTCAGCTGAAAAATTGACCAGAACTTTCTAATGTCATGACGTCTCATTTGAAAGTAACTCATAAAATGAATAACGCTCTATTTTATTAGGCGTTTCTCTGCATTTCTTTTCCGTTTTTCAAAACATCTGCTTCAAATTTACTTGTTCGACAGACGAACTTCGATTGTTCATAGCCCAAATGTTATCCCTTTTTTCAATATCATAACAGCAGAAGAAATAGAAAGGTATCAATTCATTGATTTTTTATTTAGTTTGATCTTGCTTTCAAATACAGCAAGTATTTTTGGATATATATAAAAAGTCCGTATTCAATTTTCAGTCTCTCTAACATCGAACATCAACTTAATACTTCATACGTTGCAACATATCAAAAATGAAGTCCAAAGATCAAAATGAAAATCCGATAAAATAAATTAGCTAGATCAGAACAGAAACTCATTGAAAATTCTGAAAAAATCATATGCAATGTCACATCGTTTTGAATTCCATTGTTCAAACATATGAGTGCGAGTAAGTGATATTATTGCTGAATAAACAAATGACAGCCGTCGCTGAGTCGGCCAATATTGGCAAGTGGAGAATGTCAACAGTTGTAGAATTGTTGGGCGTTACAATTTGAAGCGCTTGAATATTATGTTTCAATATTTTATTCCAAATAAAACAAACTTAACATCGAAGAAATTGGCATATTTTCACGATTATTGCTGAAACATTCACTGCATTTCAAAACTCAATTCATTTTCTGACCTTCTATTAAGTATGAAAATCCTCTCCACTTTCACACATTCAACCGTTCCACTCACACTGAAACTATTGCAAATGGAGACCCTGAAATGACATTTCGCCTTGTTTTCACATACAAGTTTTTTTTCTCATCAAAGTTCATCAAAAACAACGCATCACGAAATCGCCTTAAAAATCCATAAAACATATTGAAAATCCATTGTTTTCTGTGAAATAAAGTGGAAAAAATTCGTAATTTCATGAAATTCCATCCATTGACGTTAAGATGAAGGGTAACAAGAGACAGCGCGAAAAAGAATTGGACAAAACAAAAACAAAGCCACCGCACTCCATTAGTGCGTCAGTCCCGACGAAGGTGCTAAATGTTGCGAAGAAATCGCAAGTGATTCAAAAAAAACCCGACAAATTAAAAGTGCTGCAAAGCAAATTGGTGTCGGTACGAAATGAGAACGGCGTAAAATCGCTGACCGTTGCAAAAGTGAGTACGCCAGCAAGTGTCAGCAAAACACACGACACACGGTCGGTGAAGAGTATTTCGACGGCGCCAAAGCCCATATCTCAAGTGGAGTTGAAGGTAAGTGTGAAAAGCCCGAATAAATCGTTAAAATTCCACTCATTTGAAATTGCCGAAATTTTCGCAGCAAAATGTTAAGCCACGAATGAATGTGGTCAGCAAACCAGAGGCAAAATCAAAAGAAGCAACGGCAAAGACACCGGAAACGAAAGATATCATTTGCAAACATTGTAATTTACATTTTTCAACGGTGACTTGGCTGAAGAAACACATTGCAAGCAATCATGCGGGCACATCGAGTGTATCAAAACCACAATCAGATCAAAAATCCAAAATTCTGAACTACAAAAAGCAATTGGAAGTCATTCAGCAAACGTTGGATAAAAAGAGTACGACGGAAAAAAGTAAGAAAAGGGTTGCCGCCAAGCAAGCATCACCAACCAAACAAAAGCTACGCGAACAATTGAAGGCTCAGTTAACGGCACAACAAAAACTGTTGCAAGTGCAACAGGAAATTTTCGAAAAGACAAGCAAAGCGCAACAAGATATTTTCGAGTTGATTGCCAAACTGGGCGATGACAGTGATGTAGAAGAGGGTGTTGAACATGGAGCCGAATTCGTGAAGATTGAAGAAAAACATGCTCAAGAGCCCGAAGTATACTATGATAATCCAGAGGGTGAGTTGATTGTGGCCGAAAATGTTGAAGAATATGCTTACATGCCGGAAAACTATGAGATCGATGAGCAGCAGATAGTAACAGATGACGGCGCCTATGTTATGCTAAATGATCAAAATATCGTGTCAGAATCGGCAGAAAATCAAGCGGTTATGGTGATCGTTCAGTCTGGTGACGATGAAGAGGAGTACGAATTGCTGGATGTGGTCGAAGAACAACTGTACGAAACCACAAACCCACTGGAACACATTGATAATGGCATTGATTTTGAAGTTGTTGGCAAAGACAGTAACAGCGTTCACTGTCGCATTGTTGCGAATGAGGAGGCCACAGAAGAGATCGAGTACGTGGATGTACAGGTTGACAAAGTTCCTGTCAAGCTTGAAGTTGGCAAACTCCAGCAAATTGCCCAAAAACGCTTCAACAAACAATTAGACAAAATAAAAATCGAAGAAAGTCCAGAAAATGATCCAGACTCCAAACTGTTGAATACCACTATCAATAAATCGGAAAAGATGACCAACGAATACATTCAAAAAATTGTACAAAATGCAGTTCCAACGGAAGACAACAAGTTTCAATGTCCCCTCTGTCCTGAAATGGTTTCAAATAGATACAGTCTGGGTCCGCACATTCTTCGCTTACACTCGAAGCAAAAGAGCAAAATCTGTCAGTACTGCGATCGCTCGTTCACATGCACAGGCGATTTGACAAGGTATGATTTACATTTCGCTTGAATCATTTTCATTTTTCAAAGGCAACACTGACTTTTTCACTTTTTTTCTATTCAAACAGACATGTTCGAATCCACACCGGCGAAAAACCGTTTAAATGCTCATATCCTAACTGCACTTACGCATTCCGAGCATCAGGAGATCTGCACAAACATATGAGACGACACAATTCAGCCACAGTTAATATTCGACAACACGTTTGCACGGAGTGTGATCGAGCGTTCGAAAGAAACTACGATCTGAAGAGTAAGTAGTCGTTGTGAATCTCTAGGATGGGCCCATGAATAATGCCGTTTTTTATTTGTAGGACACGAACTGACTCATAAAAAGCACGAAGCCGGTGTTGGTTTCGATTGTGAATTCTGTACAAAGCGTTTTGTTCGCAAGGTAAACTTTTATTTTTTTAACCGTTCTTGGATTTTGTTCCATTTTTTCATCAAATAATTTTTTTTGAAATTCATTCAAAAAATAATAATAATAAAATAATAATAATAAAATGGAAATTCTGAAAATTGTCATCAAAACCATTCAGAAAAGTTTAATTTTTCTCATCAAACCTCTTCCATTTAATTGTCATAATCTTTCATTTCTTTCCACAGGACCAGCACAAGGCTCACGTATATCGTCACTTAGGTATCAAGCAGTACAAATGTCCGGATTGCGACCGTCACTTTGGCGATTTCTCCAATTGCCGCAAACATATTGCACAATGTCAGGCGGGTGATGTGAAGCCATTCGGTGTGGACGATAATGAGCCGCAGTACATTTGTGAGATTTGCAACAAGCGTTTCCGTAGCAAAGTGGGAATGAAGCAGCACGTCATCAAGTGTGCCAAAATCACGGAATTGCAAAAAAAGTTGCAAGAGACATTCAAGCAAATGGAAGAAGAATAACAAGAGATCGAACTAATAATCAAAGTGAAATGAGTCCAAGCTAAAAATAGGAACACCTCAAAAACAACACACATATTTAGATGAATTTTTACTTAAAATTTTCTTTATTGAAAGTTTCACGAAAGGAAAATGCGATGAAAACAAGATCCGGAACACGCAAATTACAATTGTTTTTTTCTATCTCTTGTTTTACACACAAATTCGTTAACACAAATTTAGCGCAAACAAAAAAATTCAGATATAACTGAAACACGTAACATTTGTTGATTTTATTCTCATTGATAATAATGATAATAATAATAATAATGCAATCCTAGTAATCGATTTTGCAAATGGATTTTGTTTTTTATTTTTTATATAGTTTTTCGCATGTTAGACCTAAGCTTACAGAGTACGTCTTTCAAAATTGATTTGCTATTTACATCATTTCCATAAAATTGGTTCGTACAATTTCAGTCAAAAAAATTCCATGCAACAGACTTCGCTCGGGTTTCTGTCGATGTCAAGAAAATTAAAAAAAAAACAATCACCTTTCTAACTAAATACATCGCATAGCATGTATCGAGGTTTTTTTTCTTCATTCATCTATTTCATTCTCTTTCTCTTTCTCTTCTTCTCATCAGATTTCCTACTACATCATGCATTTAAATCTAGATTCTGTTCCCATCGCTGCTGCACTCAATCGTGTTACAAACAGTGTGTGTGCGAGCGTGTGTTTGAAAAACGATGTTTGCCCTAACAATTAAATCTATTTCGGCTAAATTAGCTGCACAGCAATTTATTCTACCATATTTTCGATCTAATGCTCATGATTCTATGCTCTAGGAATACAAATTCAAATGAAAGAAGAAGAAAAAAAATCCTAATTGTGTTTTCGGAACAAATGGGTCCGAGATAAAAGGAAAGTAATTGAAAAAAATAATGTACACACCCTTCAGGAGAAAACGCTACGCGGATAAGGATATGGATCGATGAAATGTGATATTCATTTCAGTGTGTTTTTGTTTGTTCTTTTTTTTTCTACTCATGATTTTATGATGATACATTAGAGTATGGTTATGGTTATAAAATATAGTGTAGCCAATTTTAAACTGAATCGAAACTGTTGTTCAGTTTTCCCTGTTTGACGAATTTCGCAAATGGTAAAGGATAGATTTGAAAAAAGTCTTTATAAAAAAAACTGAATCCTAATTAGCATCTGTCACCTCAAAACAATTTCTCCGTGTCTTGTTTTTTTCTGAAGGTGGCCTATCACTTGATTATATATATCCAATGTTATGCATATAAATATATGTATTCTGTCAAAAGTATGAGAGAGTTTATTGTTCCATTAGAATATCGGTAGTTTGTTCGACGTTGTTAACAAAATTATCGGCTCCGGTGCAAATGAACGGATTGTGCGGCAACAGTGTTGGCATCATTACATCCGATTGGTAGTAATAGCAATCATCGTATGATTTCTTTCGCTTCAGTAATGCACTACGTAGTTCACGTGAACAACTATTGCCGGCGGACTGTGAACGCTGAACCTGCAATATTGGCTCATACTCGTAGAGTTGTGTGGTGAAAAACTTATCTAATTCTATATTTGGATGCAATCGTTTTATCAATTGATAAGCGGTCCTGTGAACAAAAACAACGATAAATGAAAAAAAAATAAGTTTGTTGAACCGATAAAAAAAGAGTCGAGTATACTATAAACACAGTCATGTGATACGCAATAAACTTACATGAAATTTTTGTTGTATTTGTACATGAGAAAACCAATGACAATTGTAATGCATTTTTGATTTTCGCCAATGCAGTCGATGACAAGTACGGCACCATTATTCTTCAGTGCATTCTCAATGAATACGACGGCCTTGTAGCAATTCGGTAGAATGTTGGCAGTGAAATATGCGGATTCGCCAAAGTTTAATTCCAATGTCTCGAAATCACTGTGACCGAAGAGGTTTTCGTTGCTGGCGTACAGTTTCATCGGCGATTCATCGTCAACGGGCATTTCGTGGTGCTGATGATGGCTGTACGACATAGACGTGGAACAAGTCGTTGCAGTTGATTTTGATGAGCGGACCGAAGATGATCGATCCATCATTGAACTACTACGGTTATGGCTGCAGCCGGCCTCACTGCCATTGCTGCTACTTCTGCTACTCGGAACACATGATACTGGGCTCGATGATTGTTGGCTCGTCTGCCGTATGGTTATTGATGCAATCACCGATGTTTCCGCACATTTTATCACATTTTCGTGGTGGTCATTTTTACCAGCATTGTTTGCATTGTGTTGTGCACTCGTTACGCTATTTTGCATGATATGCTTGTCGATATAAATGACGTGTGTGAAACCGTAAATTTTCAAATCGTCCGCTGAACACAAATCTTTCACCGATGTCAAATAAATGCCCGGGAAAATTTTCTCATAATCCATGGTGCAATTGACATTGGTGGTGCTACTGTTTTTGCTAACTGGATCGAAGTTCGGTTTTATCGGGGTCGATGAATTGTACACGGTTTTCGGCATTGTCTATCGAAGAAGAAAGAGAAATGAGTTATGCACACGAAGTGAGGCAAAAAATATGAATGAGCAAAGCAAAATAGTCAAAACAAAAAAAAAAACAAATCAGCTGAGTGGATTGAATGAGGTGTTAAAAAGTGTGAATTTCAAATCGTTGCCAAAAAGAACATACGCACTTCTTTTATTTTTCGCTGCGTATGTAAAACAAGTATTGGACAAAAAATACGACCAATAAAAATTCACAGTGACGAAACCGCTGTGTCTAACGATAAAAATTAATTATTATTTTTCTTGGGTTCACATTTTTTTCTTCTTGTTCTCGCTTTATGACCGTTCACGACACTTTTTAAGCTTCGATGTTGTATTTATTTCTTCGTCATTTCTGTTTCTGTTTGGAGTGTTTACTATATTTGTTTTTTTCCTCTTTGTTTTGCGTTGATTTAGTACAATAAGACAACTTTCTAAAATACAGCGCGTATACATGCACACAGAGACACATGCGATCGTCGTTTCACATATGTAGATATTCGCTCCGTTGCGATTGATTATTACTAGCGAAACAGTCGCAAGAAGAAGAATATACGGATGAGTGAAAAATAAATAGAATACACACAACAAACGGTACGAGATGCATGCTTGGGCACGCAATAACAACAGCCGAGAACCAGAAGAAAGATGCAAGAAGAAGAAGAAGTAGAGAAAAAAACGCTCACAAATTGGCGCAAAGAACATACATAACCTCATAAGGTTGTTTGTGACAACGAACAGACGCGAAGCATCCATAGAATAACAACAACAATAACACTCATGTGCAACGAGAGTGAAAAAAAAACGCTGTAAAATTTGTCAGATTTGTTTTTTTTTCTGTTTTGCACTCCTCTTGGCAACACGCGAATATTTTTCTGTCTCTTTTAATACTTACAGAGCCGAAATATTTGGATTTGTGGTGATCGGTTAACATTATTTATTATGGGCGAAAAGCATAAAAATACAGTAGACAGGGGACTGAATAATTTAGCGCGGACACTACAACTTCAGCTTTGTGCATTTGTGCAAGAAAAAATCACTATGTTCCACTTCTTGAATTATCGCACGATTATTCGAATCGTTTTGCACACAAATTCAACACTATTCACACGGAATTTCGACTGGTTCTTATGGTGGTCGCGTATGAAAAATTTTCTCATCACAATATGATTACCGTTCGAAACTACTACTTGAATTACTTGATAATTATTATTTACTTGATGCTACAAAAAAAAAAAATTTGCAGCAACACACATTAGCACACGGTTTTTCTTTCTCTGGCCGTTGTGTGTGACTTGTTATCGTCGCGAGGTGCGATGCGTGTGTGTTTGTGTCCTCACGCAGCAACGCTGTATGGGTTTACCATTTGTTCTATTCCGTCTCTCTTTCTCGTCTATTGGCTTCGGAGCTGTGGCTTGGCAAAACGAATAAGAACGATAGAGGATGTTCGAATGGTTTTGATGGTGTGCGCTTATACGTTGTTTGTAGCGAAATAAATGCGCTGACGCAGTTTGCAATGAAGAGGGAAAAAATGCCTCCTGGCTACGTGATGAATTACGCAACGGCAAAGTGAATGCGTAGCATTGCAGTAGCCGTGAAAACGCATCGACCGTCATAGATGGCGTTCGGTGCGTTAGCTTATTGACATTTACTTTCATGTCACTTTGTCTTTCGTGTGTTTTTGTGTTTATTCCGGACGATTTGGTTTTTTTTTTGTTCATCACAAGGTTTTATTTAAAAATTGGCACGACGGATTCCTTAGGCAAAATGGAAAAACAGGAGCAGTTGCTGCCGGATCCGAGGCGAAGTATTCTTCAGATGGCTGTTGCCGGAATTTTAGATGAACTTGGTTTCGGAAAAGCCGACAAAGAATGTGTTGAAACATTGACAGAGGTATAAATTCATACACTATTCACACCTAAATTTTAGATTTTTTTGTAATTTTTTCTGCTTTTTCCTTCTCTTAGATGCTCCAAAGCTGTAAGTTGTCTTGAAAAAAATGTGCAAACTGATGAAAAAATTGAAAAATTATTGAAAAAAGCCTTAAGTCATTGCATTTACATTCCTTATTTCCAAACAGTAATCATAGAAATAGCGCACACATCAAAGAATTATGCCGAGCTATCAGGACGAACGCAGCCTTTTCTCGGAGATATTGTTGTGGCGTTAACCAATCTCGGTATTCCACTGCACGGAGTCACCGATTTTGTAAAGCGAAAAATTCACAAAATTCCATCACCCCAAACAATTACCATGCAAAAGCAATTGAGTCTGTTGCAAGCTGGAAAGTCTGTTCCACTTCCATCGCACATTCCCAACCATTTCCCACCGTTGCCAGATCCTCATGCGTATGTTAGAACGCCAACACACAAACAACCGGTGACTGAATACGAGGCCATTCGTGAAAAGGCCGCTTCGCAAAAGCGTGACATTGAAAAGGCACTCACACGATTTCTGGCCAAGACCAGCGATACAGATTGCTTGTTTGCCTCGGAGGACAATCAAATGTTTCCACGTGAGTTAAATTGGTTGGAAAAAAAAGAGAAAGTTTCGACTTCAGCATTTTAGAATGACAAGATTTTGAATATGAATCGTTCTTTTCTCCATTGCAGTGATTGCATGTAAACCATCATTTCCACCGTACTTGGCCGCGCTAAATCCAACCGATCAGGTGTTTGACTTTGAAGAATTGGAATATCACTATTTGGTGGCGAATCGAACGGAGGACATGATCGCCAAAGATGATGACGACGACGACGAAGACGGTGAAGGAAAGGAAAAAGACGAGAAAAACATTTCGATTGATGAACATCAGAGTTCGCCCATTGATTCGATTAGCACATCACCGCAGCTCAAAAGCCCGATCATAGACAATCCGTACCTGAAAGCGGCCAAACCACCGAAAAAATCCGACGTTAGCATTAGCCTTAATTTTTAATTTATAAACATAAATAATAACAATCCACACTTACTCGATACACAAAATACATAACGCACATGCATTGAAAACATTGGAAACGCTGCGTTTTATTTGATTTCGCCTGTTGAATTGCAAATAGTTCTAGGTTCGGCCAACAGATGTGGCTTTCGCGCTCAAATCAATGTCAAAGTCTAAATTGTGTTTGTTAGTTTACATACGAAACGCTCCAGATGAAAACGTTTGATTGAGCATTGTGGTGTAATTGGTTGTATTTGCTTAAAATAAATTCGAATAAAGTGAAACAAACGTCTTGAAACATGGAGATCGATTCGTCAGATGATGAGCGGTCGGTAAAAGATCAACCGATGGATTCGGACGATGAATTGACACAAACAAAGAATTTGATTGCCGGTAAAATCGTCAAAATTCATTTGAAGAATTTTCTCACACACACTGAAGCTACCGTCCATCCCAGCGAACAACTGAATCTGGTGAGTCTTTTTTTCTGTGTAAACAAATAATTTGCTATCGCTGCAATCTGAATAGATTCAATGCGTCGATATCTGATGAAAAGTTGCCAGCGATGACAGTTTTTGTTGTTTACTTTGTTTGCTTTGTTTTTTTTTCATTCTGCGCTAAATGTTTGACACAATGATGTATTCAATTAATTCTAAATTAATTGCTGAATCAGGTGATTGGTCCAAATGGAACGGGAAAATCATCGATTGTCGCATCCATTATCATCGGAATGGGTGGCAGTACAAAAATTCTGTCAGAACGCAATAAACTTGCCGACTATGTCAAAAATGGCAAAGACCAAGCAAAAATTACCGTTACCGTGTACAAAGATGAACGACGCAATTTGCGGCACTTTACACGTGAATTCAATCGAAAGAACAAGAGCACCTACTACATTGATCAGCTCAAAGTCACCGAAAAGCAGTACAACGAGGAGATAAGTGCACTGAATGTGCAAGTGGGTAATTTGTGTCAATTTTTGCCCCAAGAGCGTGTTCAAGATTTTGCCAAGCAAAATCCACAAGAACTGTTTGCCAGCACACAAAAGTCCGTGTGCGATGAGGACATGATTAGCACATTCGATCAGTTGAAAGAGTTGCGATTCAATCAACTCAATGGCAACAAACAAAATCAGAAAACAGCCGATCTGTTGAAAGAGAATGAGCGTCGTGTTGAATTGCTGCAACCAACGGTGGACAATATACGGCGACAAGATGAGCTGGTGCGCCGGAAAAGCGTAATCGAAAAGAAGCTGGCTTGGATGGATTTCCAGGAATCGTACGTAAAATGCAAAGAGGTCAACAAAGATTTGGATTTGGCGCAGAAAAATTTGGATGAAGAATTGAAGAAGCGGAATGACCTGCAGAAACATGCGGAGGGAAAGATTAAGGAGCGGCAAAAGTATGAAAAGTCACTAGCCAGTGAAGCTGCTAAGAGACGGAAACATGTAGATGAACTGAACCGCATTGCTGGCGAACAAGAAAAATTGGAAAATGAATTGCGTAACGCAAAATGTGACCTTGATGCCTGCATTCAGAATGCCGCAGAGCGAGAGTACAAAATCAATGAAAGTGAAGTTGTCCTCAACACATACAAACAAGAATGCGACAATTATTTGCAAACGATTGGCTCAGTCGAACATGTCAAGGAACAAATAACTGAAATTGATAAAAAAATACAGCTGACACGTGACCGAATCCGCACTCTGACCGAATCCCGTGTAAAAATGAACTTCCAAATCGAAAATGTGGTCAAACCAAACATGATTTTGGTTGACAAGAGAATCAATGCTCTGAATTCGGTGGCCGATGCCAAACTAAACTACTTGCAAAACAATTTTGCAGATGCATACTCTGCTGTTATATGGTTGCGCGAGAATCAGAGCATGTTCCGGGGAAAAATCTACGAACCGATGATTATGGAGATTAATGTACGGAGTAATGAATACTGCAAGTACATAGAAAATTGTGTAAGAGTCCAAGACCTCATCGCTTTCACCTGCGAGGAAACGGAAGACATGAATAAATTCCTGAAAATATGCCGTGTCGATAATAAGCTGCATGTCAATGCTGTTCATTCGCCGCCAGGGGATACATTGAGATTCAAGCCACGGGTGAGTTGTGAATTTTTCTTTGGTCTTAAATGTCAGTTCTAATTTTTTGAAAAACTACACACATTTTCCTCTTCTCCAAAAAGGTGCCAATCACCGACTTGCGCAAGATTGGCGGTGAAATCTACCTGATCGATTGTTTCGATGCCCCGGTGCCGATTCAAAACTTTTTGTGCCAATCATATAACTTCCAAAATGTTCTGATTGGTAACGACAATCTTGAACGAAAGGCTGATTTGTTGCCGCCAACAATAATGCTATTCTTTACATCGACACATCGAATCGCGACCAAAATATCAAAGTACACATCACAACGATCGCTCATGTCGACCGTATTGACATCGAAAAATATGTTGAATGTGCGCGTAAGTCAGAGCGAGCTGCTAGATTTGCAGAATCAGAAGGCCAAATTGACGCGGGAGCGTGACGCGTTGTTCAACAAACGCAACGAAATCGAAGCAAACATAAATATGTTGGAAGAGCAGTGCAAAACGGGTTTCCAAGAGAAAGGTGAACAACAAAAGCGCATCTTTGAACTACAGCAACTGGAAAAGAAGGTATGACAAATAATGATTTATCCGAGGCGACATTGCGTTGAGTGTGTATTTTATGTGCTTTATTGATGTGCTTTCGTTAATGGTTTGGTTACAATTGTTACTTGTTAACGACTGTGAGTGTGATCGACTGCTATCGAGTTGATCGCGCTCACTGAATCAGCATTTATTAGTACATAAGCATTCATACATGAATAGCTAATACATACTGCTTACTCCACATAGGTGAAAATGCAGGAAAATAAACTGCGACGCCTGGCCAATGAACCGATCGATGTGGATGGTCAGAAGGAGCATTTCAGCAAACGGTCTAAAGAAATTGTGAAAAAAATGCTGAAATTCGATGAAAATTCCATCACTGTCTACGAACAAATGATAAATATCGAACTGAATGAAGTGAAAGCACGCGCCCGTTTGGTCATTTTCAAAAATGGTACCGCCAATTTCGATGCACAACTCATGGAGTGTAACGACATAGTTGACCGCATCCAAAGGTCGTGCGATCGAATCGGTACCATTCTCGATAAGTTGAAGCAAGAGACAAAGGACAAACAAGTGATTGCACTGCAAATGACGGAAAATCGAAGGCCATCGGATGGTGATCGATTCCCATACAAAAAGGATTTCGATGAATTGTCCGAAGATCGAAAAGAATTGGCCGACGAAATGGAAGATCTTGAACAACAAATCAACTGCCGCTCGACCAACGACCAAGCCGTTCTTGACGATTATAATGAACGGTAATTTTAACTTTAGAATTCAATTCCGCGTCATTTTTCTTAGGTTTTTTCTATTTCAATTTAATTTCCGAACTTTCATTGCAGAATCAAGACCATCGAAGCGCTGAAAAAGGATCTGAAAAAGAACAACAAGTCATCGAATGATTTGGAGCGTGACATCAACACGTTGCACAATAAATGGTTCGGAAAAATATCGGGCATTGTGAAATCCATCAACACCAATTTCAGCGAGTTCATGCATTCCATGAACTGTGCGGGCGAAGTTGAATTGATTTTCCCCAGCGAACGAGACTACGAACAGTATGGTATTGAAATTCGGGTAAAATATCGGAACAATGAGAAATTGCGAGCATTGGATCGGTTTGTACAATCGGGTGGCGAACGAGCCGTTGCAATCGCTGTGTACAGTTTGTCATTGCAACATTTGTCACAAGTGCCTTTCCGCTGTGTGGACGAAATCAATCAAGGTATGGACCCTAATAACGAGCGTCGTGTCTTCGAAATGCTGGTCAATCATGTGGCTCAGCCAGGACAATCGCAATTTTTCTACGTTACACCAAAACTTCAAACCACGTTGCCATACAATGAATACGTTACCTGCATCACTGTTTACAACGGCCCATACACCAATCACAACGACTTTTTCGAAAATAATTAAGGTACGCTTGCCGTTTTGATTGTCATTTTCGAAATTGATTCTCTTACGATTCAATAATGCCGCTAACCAATTCTTTTTACAGATGCAGCCATATCCAATCCAATCCAGATCCAGCCCATTCTTTAGTTGAGCAATTACCTAGTGCGAATGGACATCAGTGAAGTTAATAGTTTACGTGTCATTTTTTTCTGTTTATTTAGTTTTTATTGATTCGTTTTCATAATTCTCAATTAGATTTTCATTGTTTTTCCATTTGTCATCAAGTATTTACAAAACACACAAAAAATATTTGATTATTGGTTTGCTAAATTAGTGTGATTCAATGCGATTTGAGTAGACTGATGATTTAAATCAAACAAACATGTTTTTTGTTAATGTAAAACACATCGTTCATCCATTAATATTGTTTGTCACAATCCAAACTGATGAATACGTCACAATTCAGCGCATTGCAGTCGAAGCTGTTGAAATATTTCCCAAATCATCATGAATCATCAGATTATTTAAAACATTCTAACGGAATCGATTTCCTATATACTTATAAGTAATTATTCGATTATTTCATACATTTATTGCTATCCTTAATATTTTATTTATCAGTAAAAGTAGGTTATAAAGTTTTGTTTACTTTTTCTCTCTTGTTACAAAATGGGCCAAAGTTGAACAAATAAAGAAAAAAAACACGGAATCAACCGAAAAAAATACTCGTAGAAATGATGCGAGAGAAAATAAAATTCTTCTGCTTCTATAGCATTGTGATCAGGTTTATAAAGAACGAATACAATAGATAGAAACATTTTGTGTCCAAATCGAATATTTAAGTAATAAAAATCTATTTTTGTTACACGAAACCAAAAGCATCTTGTCCTTTTTTTTTCAAATGAAAAATATACTTTGTCTTCTTTTTGCAGCATTCTAACTTTTGTTACTAGTTCCATTTGTTAAGATTGGCAAAAAAAAAACAATACAAATCCATACGCTTATTATATTTTGTTCAAATCCATTCTCTTAAGTAATATTTACACTAAAACTAACAAATCATTTGGAATGGTTTTGTAAATACTGTGACACAACGATCTCTCTTTTATTTATTTCTCTTTCTTTCTGGTGATATTCCGTTTAAAATTCAAAATTAACTCGAAAATCTTATTTATGGGTTAAATGGTTGTTTGGTGATAAAATTGCTAAATTCAATTTCGTCGTTCTTTTGACCATTTTTTTTCCTTTTTATCAATAATTTACTTCAGTTGCAGAATCAAAGATTCGCCGTCTTTTACTTATCTCTGTCTCTGTCTATCTCTGTTTTCTTCGTTTCCACTTTAGATGAATGAATCTAATCGGATGGATGTTTCTGGTCAAATGTTGCATATTCGGTGTTTTAATGCCGGTGTTGAGTATCTCGATGTTAGTATAGCAAAGTATCGTTTTCGTCGATACTTTTACTATCATCATTCGCTATTAATTATGTTTGGTATTGAAGCATCGGCGCAGATAAATTTGGATGATGCGATGAGTTCATTCGCAATGCCGACAAACTCTTGTTGTACCACTCGTCTTCGGCTGACATTCCTACGTTGGATAGTAAAGTAAAAATAAAAGGCGTTAAAGAATGATTTTCTAATCAAGCAATTGCTTAAACGTCTTTGCACCATCTCGCACATGTGTCCGAAACATTTCAAGAAATTACATAGCTAAATCAACGCCTTAACGGAAATTCAAAATTAAAACAATTTTCAATGCTATATCTTTAAACTTTAAATTATGAGACGCGTCCAAGGAATACAATTTAATATATCCAATTGGCTTGATTTTGGATTGAAACCATCTTAAAATATAATTGCACAAGCTAAGAATTGAACTTACCCATGGAGTCTTGTCGAACACCGACCGAACTCATATTTGACGTGTGACCCATTGAAAATGGCTGTGTCATGCCCGGATACGATGTTGCACCCATTTGAAATAGGTCCTGCAATGAACGTTAAATTGTTTTTTTAAGAAATTGTTCTGTATCTTCTGGTGGAAATCTAAGATTGTGTTTGTATCGTATGGCACTCACTTGTGGATATCGATTAATTGAGTTCGGGTGTGGATATGGCTGATAGCCTCTCGAAACGCTGTATCCTTGTATGTTTCGCATCATTCCATTGCATGACGGTATGACGGACGGTGCCAACGCTTTCTGCAATTGCTTTTCCTGCTTTCGATATTTGGCACGGCGATTTTGAAACCAAACCTTGAATTTAAACAAAAACAACAAGGAGAGAGAGAGGGAGAGAGAGAGAGAGAGAGAGAGAAAGCAACCGATTAAAAGAGCGCAAGTGAAAATGCATTAAACGATTATCAAGTAAAATTAAATTTCAGCGTCAATGTTTCTTTTTTTTTGTTTCATTCAAAAGTTCATTCGAATGAAATGAGTGCTCAGTTCCGGTGTGAATGTGTTTTCATCTCGCCTTTTTATTTTGTTCGCTTCACATTCGTCGCGTATTCACATTTTTAAAGATAAATGCGTACGAAAATAATATTATGCTGTCGCTGTTTCAATTAGATTATAAGAATAACTTCTTGCAATGACATGGGAAGAGAAAAAAAAACAGCCAAAGCAGAGGAAACACATGCACATTCAAAGTGAATAGCATTCAAATGACGCGCTCTCTGCGTTCAAACATTTGCACGTTTTAAAAGATCAGATGAACAAAAAAGTAAATGAAAGATACGCGCGCGATACATGAGATATTTGAGAAATGGTGCGAAACGTTGTAGATGGAATATACAGTGAGAAGGGGGAGGGATTGGCAATGCCGATGTTATTATTTCATTGACGTTGCACTCGCTAAACATGCTCGATTCTTGTGTGTATGCGCGTTTCTCTCTCTCTCTCTTCTCCCTTCAAAGAGATGAACAAGATGTGTACACCATGCTTGAAATAAAAAAAAAGAGAACTTATTGGCACAAGCGTCTATATGGTTGTCCTTTGAAACATGTTACGAGGGTAAATTTCGAATCGAAAAACCAAATATGGCGAATGGCAAGACAAGAAAGATGTGTGCAGAGTTAAAGAAGGAAATTATTTTGGGTAAAATGTGACGACGATGACGATGATGGTGGTGGTTGTGTAGTGGTGGTGGTGGTGGCAGCGCGTGGTGGCATCATCGTTGTTGTTTTTCATGCGCTTGAGTTCGCTCTCTCATTCGATCTCCAGTTCGCTGATGGCAAATGTGGAACACATCATAAAGTAAGTCTCGGAGACTAACGTCTACCATGCTATCAAATGGATACGTAATTTGATTACTCCACCCTCGTGCACAGAAAATTCATCATCCATATATGTGTGTGTGTGAGAGTGACTTTGTATGTGTATGAGAGTGTCTGTGTGCGAGCGAGCGAGTATTAAGGCGAATCTATCTATGTGTGTGCATTTCTGTTGTATCGCAGTTGCTTAGGGTTTTTCTGCTCGTTCTTTTTTTCCTTTACTCTCGACACACAAATTCTCATTTCGAGTTGAATCGTTTCGCTTCTTTTTTATATTTCTCTCTCATCTCGATGCCCTCACAACTTTTCACGAAATATCATGGTGAAATGAGCATTTTCGATGTTGCCATTGCTTTGCTTTTTGTTTGTGTGTCGTATTTTTTTTCGGCTTCGTCGTTGTCAGGCTTTTTCATCGTTCCCGCTTTCACTTCGCTTGCTCACTCATCCGCCGAGCATCATTTGAAAAATGTCTTCTTTTTCTCAAGATTTTCCCTTCGCCAAAACGTAACTTTATTTTGTCTTTGTTGTTAGCATTTCTTTTTCTTCTTCCTCTCTATCTCTGTCGCTCCATTGCTGAAAAATACTCACTCATCCTCCCTCTTCTTCCGTTGGAGTGTACGTTTTTGTTTTTCCTCTATTATTATTTTGTTTTAGACTCGACTTCATTCGACAATACTCAAGCGCTGAAATATTAGCACAAGAACCAACGAGTAGAGAATATTTTCGGAACGAAGATGCTCGTGCAAGTACGAAGACGCTTTTGAAAGTCATGTGCGTGTTTTCCTGCTTGAAAATTATTTTCTTCTTCGTCGATATTTTTTCTCTGTTCTTTGCCAGCATACAAGGGATTCGAATGCTTTAGAAATGGAATCGAATGTGATGTCGCTGATGGCGATGGTAATAAAAAGACAGAGAAAGGGCGAGAACAACACTTCAACGCCCAAGCGTTAGATAGAATCATTGTTCACATTCCACCAAGCATAGATAAATTAAGCAAATAAATCCAAGCAGAAAGAAAATGCGCGCACGCAACAAAAAAATGACGCGTATGAAACGAACAAAGTGGTTAAAATGTTGACATCATATTGGTATTAACTCAGTCGGGGCAAAAACATTATGGAGTTTATGCCATTAATGGATATGGCAATGGAGGGTGGAAAGAAAAAATGATCGAAAAAATGATCCATCTTCTTGGGAAATTACCGTTAATAGCACATGCACACATTCATTCACTCACTCACTCTCACACACAAACACCAGCGTCATGGTGGAAAAAAAGATGAAAAAGAATATCAACGCGTTCGAAACACTTTCTTCACTTTCTTTCCACTCGCTCAACGTTTTTATATCAATTTTTTGCTGTTACTTCAGCTGCTGCTTCTTCTTTTTTTCCATTTCACTTCGTGTTGCCGTATGATCTTTTCTGAAGCGAGCGAAGATACACAAGTAATTTCACTTGGTGTCTTTTCTTCTGCTTTTTGAACTCGAAATTTGTGTTGTGTATGTTTTTTTCGTTGATTCTCCGTCAATTTAATCCATTTGCAGAGAGAGACGATTTTCACGACAAAGTGGAAAAGTCTAAAGTATGTTGCTGTTCGAAATTCGTCCATTTATTTTCTCTCTCTCTCCCTCGCTCAAAAAACAGCGAGTTCTTGGTATGTTAAAAAGACAATATTGCGTTGATAATAACTCAGCAAAAATATAGAGAAAATAACATCCATTTGCTGAATATATACGAATCATGCATGGGCTTTGGGTGTGAGGCATATAAAGAGAGCCATCGCCCCAAATTCGCCGGGGAACGAATAAATAGTCAGCATTTGAAATTGACGCCATTGCGATTTATTTCGACAGCAACCCATAAAAATCAAGCAAACTAAAAATCCCATCCGAACTTTGCATTTTTCTTCATATCGCTGTTGTGTTTCGACATCATTAATCCCACATCGAGGCACGAGTAAAATGGCAAGCAAATGAAACGGGACAACAAAACTGGTTCAATCAACAACGAAAAGAACAAAAAAGTATTCATTTTGACAAGAAAATGGGGAACAACCGTCTTTTCATATTAACGATGAGTCTCATAAAATCGATGGTATGCCAAATATGCGCTTCGTTTGATTGAATATCAAAACCATCACAGAAGCGTCGACAGAAACGGTTTTGTTTCTCGGGAAAAAGAAACCACACACACAATCATTTATTCTCTCTTGGCGAACGCTGAACCCTCGTTCTCAAACAAAACTTTCTTTCCATATTTTTTCTCTCGCTCCTTTCTTCTTGCCATTGAATAAGACGATTTCGAATGGGATTTTAAAAGAGGGGCTTTCTGCATAAATGCCGGCATATCACATTTGTTGTATGTACATCAGAATGAAAATGGAACGAAAACGAGGAGAGAGTGAGTGAGAGCGGGAGAGAAAAAACAATGCGATGACGCTGATGATAATCGGGATAGCATTAACAAATATGATGAGCGAAAATAAATGGAATACGTACGAGATGAGAACGACGGAGGGTGGAACTTTGTGAGTTGCTACCCAACTTTTTCGGGATAAGTCGACTTTTGCGAACTTCTCACTGCCGTGTCGACACACAAGGGATAGAAAATTGGCACGAGCTCACTTTGTTTTAAGTATCATATTTGATGCGAGAAAAATGGGAAAAATATTCTTCAGGAACGAATCTGATCCAAAATTGCGAACCCGAAAAATTGCCTTGCAATTTTTCACCAAATATAGTTCATGCTGTCTTAATTGTGGCTTTGATTTATTCTCACATCTCTTTCTTGTCTCCGTTTTTGTATCGTCTAAACGAGATTCAAAGCAATAAAATGCATTTCAGCCCAGTAATTCAATCACTAATTCAATTTCGGCGAAACAAAATTCAATTATCAATATTTTCGAAGTGCACAAACACATCCCAACCCCGCTCGCACAGAAAAAAAGAACTGGATGAAGCACAAACAGACACACCAAACATACGTATACGTTGAATGAAGCATTGGCCGGAAAATTCAATAAAATATTCACGAAGACCAATAAGAAGCAAGACATACACGCACAAAAAATCGGTTTTGGAACAGGACAAAATCGATAATCACAACAGCACATCGAAAGATTGACGGCAGCAAAAAGAGAAAAAAAAACCGTCCAATAAATTGATATGAAGCAAAGATAACATTTTATGAAATGGAATTATTTCGTCTGCGTTTGGTAAAGTCACAACGAGAAATGGAAAGACACATTGGGTGAGAGTGAATTTTTTGGCCGATTTACGCTGGAAATGAGCTTTGGACGCGTTAGACCACGCTGACGCGTTATTAACGCCAATGATTTTGCTCATTGCAAAACACAAATTGTATGAGATCCATGGGGAAATCACCATTTTTTCTCTCATCATATGTAATAATGTAATCAATCTGGTCAAGGTGAACCATTTCCTTGGAAACCTTCATTTCTAGCTCACTCAATCAAATCACATTCAATCATATGAACCGAATGTATTAAAACAGCTACAACCATTTTTATGTTCCATGAAATAACGATTTTCGAAATTGTTTGCTATTTTGATCGGCCATTCACTCCTTTGATTTATGTTTCGAAAATATTTGCGTCCTAAAGCGCAAACAGCAGGATTCGTCGAAATGTGCATTTTTTGTGATGCGCCCCGCTGTCAATTCCAATAAATGTGGACAACTGTCGAATTTGTCGATACGTTCAACTTCAGTGTTAACAGTTGAATGAGTTTCAATTAGAAAACGACATGAATATTTTGAGCAGGTTCCTGTTGAAAACGTCACTGAATCGTAGATGCGAAACTGACTGATTTAGCGACAAAAAAAAACTCATAAAAAAACCTGCATCGAAATGGAAACGATCACATGTTGTTTTTACCGATTAAATCTCGTATATTTCTCTCTCTGCAAATCTATTTGTACTCGAGAGAGTCCGTGTTGTAATTATCCTTTCAGTAATTTTAATAAATAATTCATTTAGTGGCTTTGCAAATTAGACCTATTGACATAAATTTACGATGCTTGTCATTCATTGAAAAACACGGCACCGACACACTTGTGCGACAACCCAGGGCTTTTGATCACCCATGTGAAAAGCGAGCTAGATTGAACAAAAAAACCGTGTTGATGAAGTATACTCACTTGTATTCGAGCCTCGTTCAGTTTGGTGGTTCGGGCCAGCTCTTCCCTGCAGTAGATATCTGGATAATGCGATTTGGCAAAAGCGGATTCCAGTTCAGCCAATTGCTCCTATTTTCGATGATTCCAAAAATTAAATTGGTGCGTTATTGAGGTGAATGGAAGCAAGATAGGGAGAAAATAGTTTAAATTTATTTTTAAATGTGAAAAAAAGAACAAGTTTGTGCTAAAAACTTTCGGATAATCTGAATAATTGAATTAATCACGATAAAATCCTAGCATATAAATGATTTTAATGTCAAAAATATACTTTTTTCATATTCTAAACATCAACTCTTCAAAATATCAACTGAATAGTTATCTAATTTTCATATGAATGGACAATTACGGTAGATTTGCATAAGCGTAGGCCAAAATGTTAAATGGGAAATTGAATAAAATGGTCAAATGTTGTACCTGAGTGAATGTAGTACGATGTCTTCGTCTGGCTGGCGTTGGACAAGATGCTGTGGTCGGCGTGTGTCCAGCATGTTGAGGTAACGATGAGATTCCACTTCCTGGCGACGAAACACCGCCAGACAACGATGACAAACCGGAATTGGGCTCAGGTTTTAATTTCTTGAATGCACCTTCAGCTGCAAACAAATTTTCAACATGAATTTCATCATTTTTAGCAACACACACTATGCTTACTACGCGAAACACAAACACATGAAGCGACAAACATTATATTAGAATTGATTAACGAACTATTGATAACAAACTTAATTTCCCGTTTGTCATTATGGCCTGTGGCCATTGGTGGAATTCGTTTGCTGGTGAAAATTTGATTCAATTAACGTTTTAATGGAATTTGTCATGTTTTGAAAAGTGCAAATAATTTTTACCGAAAATGTAAATTGAATTGCACCGAGAGAGGTGGAGGTAAAGAGAGAGAGAGAGAGAGAGAGAGAGAGAGAGAGAGAGAGAGAGAGAGCGAGCGAGAAAAAAAACTCATTGTCACAACCAAAATTATTAATATTTGTGCGGTGGTGGATGTTGTGACCTATACTGGGAAGCGGTTTTACAAAGCCACCATTTACTTTGTTTTATGTTTTAATTTCATGCGATGACGATTTTTCGTGTGCATACTATCTGCAAAGTTAGCTTGCTGGCAGCAAGTTTCTGCAGCCGCTCATTATTTTACTCAATTGCAGAGTTTTATTTCGACTTTAATATATTTTTTTTCGTAAATTGAATCTGATCAAAGAAATTTCATTTATAACAAATTGAATTTGATCCTAAAAGCCTTTATCCTTCTCAGTTTGAATCCAACTTCTATAGCATATGTTCAGAGAGCTAAAATGAATTGATAACTGATCAAAAGGCAAATGATTTTTTTTTGTCTCGTGTGATTCACTATTTTCCTCCCGTATGCAATTCACAAAAAAAGCAATGACGCATACTTAAATTGAATTTCTTTGATGATGCTGATAACAACAACATGCCGCAGACTTTACCTAAATTTTTATGTATATAATTCAATTTGACTGAGCCCGAAAACTCATTTGAGCCATGCGTTTAAAAACATTAAAAAAGTTTTTCATAAATTTTGAAACTATAATTGATATGGCGCTGAATGAAGAATGAAAAATGAAGCATGTTCGATGGGCTCGATGGTTTCCCTTTTTTCCGTAAATTCAATCATATTTTGTGTATACCCATCCCATATGTACAGTGTTTCGGTACACATAAGCGTCGCACAAAAAGTGCAGAAAATATTTTGTGTTGTATATTCAATAAACGTAGCCCATCAAAGGGTTTTTAAGTGAGGCAAGCAGCACACATACACAAATGCGGGGGAAAAAAACTGCGACAAAATGTGCACACAGAATGGAGAATGACGTCAATTTGTGGTTTGGATGCGAAAACTATTTTTTTTTATTCGCTCTCTCTCTCTCTCTCTCTCTCTCTCTCCGAAATACTTCAATTTGATAGTGGTTTTGTCATTCTGCTGTTGTGTTCGTAACAAGCACGTATGCATTTATATCAAAGTATTCACAAAATGAAAAGCGCTCTTTGTGAATCAACAAAGAGAAAAAAAGCGGAGACGAACGACCAGAAAAAAAAATTTGCCAACAAAAATTGTCTTTGTACTTGGAGCAAAACCGCGTGCTTCAAAAGTGTATCTAGAATGAAGATGCATCGTTTTACGGTTTTGTGGTTTCGTCAATATTCATACACATTGTCGTCAAAAAATGATAGTCGTTCAGTAATTAGATAACAGATTAATTCATTTAGAGAAACGGTGAAAGGTTAATAGAAATGGATACCAAATGCATAATTCATTTTGGCTTAATGATCGTTTTGCATTTTACCAAGCGTCGACCTGTTTAATTTTTCAATTTTTGCTTTCTAATTGTTGGAAAACAGCGTCGTTTTTTACTAAGTCGCACAAAAGGCATTTTGAATCAAATGAAATTTTCCGTAGCCAGTTGTATTGGCACCGAATATTGTTCGTGTCTGACAGTTTATGTGGCAGTCGCGCGTTGTCTCGTTGATCTTAGGTGTTGACACACGTCAACTTATCCATTTGGTCGCTTATCGTGGATTTTGCATCACATTTTAATATTTAAAATTCGGTGTCCACAGCGAATACCAACCCCAAAATTATGCACATGAAATAGACGCTCATTGGGCGTCAGGGTTTACCTGGCGCATTTGCGACGACATCATTTGCATTCACAAGCATTGTAATGTGGTCGATGTCAGAGGGTTTCCAAAATATATGTTTAATTTATGCAAAATAAAATCTGCAGAGGCCACGGAAAATCAGACGTCATGCTCATGATATATATTGTGTTGAACTCCTTGCACTTCAAGTCACTGGAACCAGTACCTCATTTTGATGCCAGTAATTTCGGTTTAATTATTTATGCAAATCACGTTCAAATGACCACCAAAATTATTATATTAATTATGAGGGTGGCGAATGAAAAGTAAGGCCATGATCGCTGTATCAAAACATCAAATGCCGTCGGTGAAAAATTTAACGGCTTTTTACGATTTGGAGGACACACGAACTTCACTTTGTGAAGGCATTTTCAGTTGGAAAATGCAATTATGTCCGATGAATGGCATGGATTATAGAGCAAATGACCATTTGGGCCAATTCTAATGCTGAAATTGTCAACGATAAAAAGGATTTTCTCTGGACATCTGGTACATTCAAGCCTTTTACTCTAATTTTGGAGATTTAAAACATTTTATTTTTTTGAGCAAATGCAATTGGCCGGACGCTGTGCGATTTATTAACTAATTTCGTCGTTCAATTGACCATCGACAAGCAATTACTTGAGCTTGATTTTTATTGACTGTCAAAAGATCAAAACAATGTCCTTAATCGGTAGATAATCTGTAGCGCGTGCACACGCTCGATCATCGCAATGAGTTATATGTACAAGCCACAACCACTCCCAAATAATAAACGAGATAATCCCATTGTTGGTTGTCTACTTTAATGCTTCCATTCTGCTGTTGGCACCATCAATGATGAATCGACAATGAGAAGTGTCAAAAAAAGAGAACTGTTTCCATTGATTGAAAGGGCTTTATGCACAATTGAAAACTCGAGTGGAAATAATACAAAGAATGGTGATAAACATCTGCCGACGGTGTGGTTCTATGTTGAAACATATGTGTGCGCACTGCTGTTAACATTCAATGGTGTCTTGTTACAATGACTTCATGCTGCTCGAATTTCACTGATTTGTCGAATGTATTTTAACAACTTGTTCAATTTTTGTTTTCTGACTTTAGCGATAATAATCGACATCAATTGAGATTTGCATTCAGGATAGCAGAAAAAAATATGGGATATTTGAGTGTATGTTTATGACTTACCTGTGATGGAGTGATCGTGTCGTGACGGTGGTGTATGGGCCGGTGTATGATGATGTGATGATGCATCGCCCAGACCCGATGCCGATAGGCCACCGTATAAAGCACTGAAATCTTCCGGAGTGCTGTTGCACTTTCGGCTCTGATGCGTGCCAACCGAATTTTTACTATTGTCTAAATTATTAATTGAAGCGGCCGACCGAAGATCGTGCGATAATCCTAAAAGGCGATTTTCATGCGATGTGATGCCCATTAGACGATTATCTTGTAATGATGACATAAATTTCGAATCTTGATGTCCACTATGCTGTAAATTACCGTGTGCCAGTGCATGGTCTTCGAGTAGACCCTGTTGCAGCCCTAATAGGCCACCCACCAAATTTGGCCGTAGCTCATCCATGAGTTTTGTTTGCGATGCACTTGCTGCGCTGAAATTCAATTGACGACTAAAAATGGCCGGAAAAATGTTAAACTGTTGCTGTTGCTGCTGCTGCTGTGATGTGCCGTCGGTTAATGGGCTCAACGAATTGTTGCAGTTAATATTTTGGCCAGAGGTTGATGTTGGATTGGTATTCGAGCCAGTTCCACAACTACCACCGGCCACGCAATTTGTTTTAAAATCCAATTTGCCGTTGCAAGCAAACGATTGTGCTTGATTGTCCGCTAAACCTAATGGCCTGTCAAGCGACGCAAAAAAATCCGCTGGCAAGTACAGTTTGAAGCTTTATGCGAGTAGACGCTGGAAAATTTGACGATTATCAGATGATACAAGTGTTCCACACTTTACAACGAATTAATCAGTTATGGATTTTAACTTTAGTCTGGCTGTCGAATTAATAATGATTTTGTTGTGAACGCGAGAGAGAAGGAACGAAAAGGACAAACGAGGTTAAAGTCGAGAAAAAAAAGTATGACTTATACTTTAACTAAGTTCCGTTATATTTATATCAACACTTTTTTGCACAAAGGTCAATTTACGCATCAATTCAATTTATTAAAATATCACGTTTTTCCACCAGAAAATGTCTGCGTGACGATAGATAAGTGTTTTACGAACGATGCACGAGTTATTGTGTACACACAGTCACAATGCAAGATCTATCGAGTGTTGAACTGGGTTCGTTTGGTAATTTATTCAAATTTATTAAATTAAATCACATCACATTCAATAAAAGTGGAAAATTCGTTTTGTACCACTCTTTCCCTCCCGTTTGCTCTACATTCGCACAATTTCGGCTGCTTACATTCGACAGCGTCGGCACTTTTCTTATAAATATTTTCTTTTACTTGGTTCGGAATTGTTTTGCTATTTTAACTTTTTATCTTCTTTTCTTTCGAATCCGGTTTATTGGGTCACACTGTTATTTGGTTGGCTTCGGTTTAGCTTATTAATCTCAAACACTTTTTCACTATTTCTTGTCCCGGTATCGATTCACACAGTCTTGCACACAGTCTGACTGCCTCCTAATTGGATAATAATCAGTTTATTTAGTTTGGGTAGCGTAATCGGAGTATCCACACAATTTGCATAATTCACAATTTAAACGAAGCAACCGACCGACGCGTCATCATCTGACTCATCGTTGTCATCAACATGCAAAATTTTCGGTGAAAATTTCATAAACGTGAGAATATTCAATTAAAACTATCCATGTGCTGATGGAAAAAAAAAGTACGATTTTGTCAAACTTTTCGATCACAATCGATCGACTAGCGATGAAATGGAAATTGAATTGTCAAAAATTATTAACAATACGCCGGAGACAGTAATGCACACTAGTCACCGTATCAACCGTTCGAATATGAATATTCGATTCGTTGCGAATTTTAAATCAAGTCAAACACACAAAGTACACACTTTTGTTGTAGAAAATGGGAAAGATACGTTTTTTTATTGTTGTCGTCGTCGTCGTTGTCGTCGCCACCAAAAGAGTCCTTTTTATCTGAATTTGTCACTGGGTGTCTAGATTTCAGTTCTCGTCGTCAAAGTGTGTGCTGTTCATTCAACTGAGTTGACTCTATTAAAATGCTCTGAATTTCAAACGAGTTGCATCCTTATGTTTGCGTTTGGGTCGCACCGACGCTTTCATTCGCTGATTTACCAACAGATTGCACACCGATCCTGATGCTAAAACGATATCAACTGTTGTACTGCTCTAACCCTCGTTCAATTCATATCTCGCATTTTTCTATTCATTCCATCCAATTGGCGGAATATATTCGGTCGGAATTGCTTTCGATCAAAATGTGATACACATCCATTTCTAGTGTTGTCATGCGCATTGTGTCTGCACAAACGCCACCGCTCAAATGTATTTGTTTGATTCCCTTTCTTTGCTTTCGTCCCCTTTTCGCGTGTGTATGTGTACGTATGAACACACCACCGAAATACGGATACGAAGCCAAGCCCACTTTTTCACTCGTACAATCATTCTCGATGATTGTACATTGTTTATGTTTCTATAGCAACCAATCATAGTCGGATTAAAGCTATCTTTTTGAACTTCTTCATTTTTCGCAGAACAGAGATCCCTGAGTGCAAAAGATAGACGAACGATGGAACAAACAAATGCATCGAATTCGATCGACCGAAGTTAAGATAAAATAGGGGATTTTTTTCGTCATCATCGTTGTTGCTGCTGCTTTGCTCAGTGACAACGGAATGATGGTTCAATGTCGATGACTGTACGGTGTACAAATGATTGATGACCATTTCTGCAGCGAACCAATCACATTGAACGCTGATAAAATGTCCGCACGAGTCTCCATCTAACAGCCTTGTTGCTTCAATTAAGTGAACGGGTCTGTATTTTTTTGCAATCGACTTTTTAATTTGGTGCATTTAGCTGCATGGATCTAATACGGCTTCTCAATTTCACATTTGTGTTGTTGGCTGCATTTTTTTTGGCTCATGTTGAAATTGGCAAATCTATGCGTCGATGAGAGCACGGAGCACAGGGAAAGCACTACAAACATGTTTGATGATTAGTTTTACCTTCAGTTTCAAACTTGAATGCTTATTTCCATGTCTTTTGCCGAAAATAGCAGGGAAAAAGAGTCTCGCTATTTTTTTTCAAGCCAAACTAACTTCTTTGCAAAAAAAAAAGTAGACGGCGAAAAAAAGTTGAATCGTTTGTTACAGAATGAAAAACAACTTTTTTTCCAGTGTGGATTTTCAAATGAACCACAACCTTCACTGTCCGTGTTATCCTTCATATGGTTGCCCGTTTTTCGCGACTAGCTCCATTTTTTATGCCGACTGGCTCGGAAGAGCCACGCATCATCCATGGGCAGCACAGTTGTGAATGGTGAACGAATATGTGTATGCATAAATTATTCAAAATAAATGCAGCCACCCAACCAGCCCTCAACATATTGATGAATTACACTCAAGAGAGAAAAGACAATGACGACGGTTCACAACAAAAAAAAACGGTTCGAGCGCCAATTCGTGAATGCAAAATAGTTTCGTTTTTGTGTTGGTCATTTAATCATGTTCATACAAATCGGAAAACAATTCATCATACCATGCCATTTCTCGTTTTTCTGTTCTGGACATTGTGGCAGGCGTTTTTCAAATGCCGAGAACGTGTGTGTCAAACAGGATCGGACGTGTCTGAAAAATAATTCTTCCTGGAAAGTGATCAAACTTTATTGACAGCCGTTTTTTTTCTCTCTCTCCCTCTCCATTTCCCGCTCTCTCAATCTTGGTCCAGGCAATGAAATATATTTTTAATCGAAATTCCGTTTGAAACGTTCAATATTTACATGTTCCGGGCTCTGATGGAAATATATTCACATTTGTTTGTAATCGAATTGTCTTACATCCGACACAAATGCAAATGATATTCATCATATTTTTTTGTCGGTCAAACTATTTAGGTTGCATTTTTAAAAAAATCGCACACAAAAGTACTTCCAATTGCAATTTCCTTACTGCACATGTGACCGTGCATTGTAAAAAACATTGCTTGTAAACGCCACTTTCTGTCGCATTCTCTCCTATGCAAGTAATGAATATTTTCACCATTTTCTCGATGGAACAAAACCAAAACAAAAACCCATGTAATTTCTTTGCCAACACAATTTTAATATCAAACTAGTTTGATAATTGTGATTTCCGCTTGGTTTTCTGTTGCGGATGCTGTGAAAAACTGGCGCTTCATTCTCACGTTATTTCCTTCATTATTGTGCTTTTCCGTTTGCAATTAGTTGCAGCCTCAATTGTGCGAATATTATAGTCGATAAAAAGTGAACGTGCCCTATTTAACACTCAAAAACGGTCACAGGCTGTGTGTTGCCAGCCTTTTTTTTCCTCGCTTCTGTGTAACATTTTTTTTCTCTCTTTCTTTCCATCGGCAGCCCTGTCTATCTCGCTAATTGTGGTTGAAACGTTCTACCAAATAATAAATATGTCAAAATACCAATCAAACTGAATCACACCCATTGCCGCATATCCCAATGCATTTCAATTGAATCAAAACGGTTAATTTTTGTGACTGTTATTATTTTCGATTGTCGAGGAAAAAAAATTGTTAATTTTTACTTTGATTCGTAGTCTCTTTTTGATATAAATGTATAAATAGTAACGTTAAACCACTTCGTTGGCACGTGATGATTCTGAATGGAAATTCAGAAAGGATATAATTATATGTCCATTTAAAGTTGGCACTTACCTCTCGAATTTTTTTCTTTCTTCTTTGCTGTCAACCTAAAAAAAGCACTCAATAAGTTTCAAAACGCCTACTTTTTTATCGTTTTCCGTTCGGGTTTCGAATGCCCACATGCAAAATGAAGTGTTTGTGTGACAAACAATGGCACGGCATGAATCAATATTTTGACAATCGAAATTAGATGGCTTGTTGTTTGATTTTTCTCTCTCTGGTTCGCTCAACTCAAGTGTAAACCCAGGCACACACACACGCGCACACAGAAAAGGAATCGTGATTTGTGTTGTTATTGCTCTGTTTAGTTGTGAATTGAGTCACACAATTGGGAGCACGTGTCCTGACGACCTTCTTCAATTAATATGCTGCAAAGTCAGCAAATCACTGGAAAACCACCGCCTCTACTCTAATGTACTACTACTGACAAGGGGTTACATTTGCAACGGAAATATTCATTTCACAATTGAAATTACAACAGGCAAATGCATTACATCAAAACCCATACGATGCGACAGCTCATCAGATCTGTGTGAATTGAATTCAAATAAATAAATTTAAAAATTGCATTTTCTTCAACGTGCATGAGATTCTGCACTGTCTCTCATCAGCACACTGATTTCCATTTCGCATTCAACATCGGTCAATCGGGATAGAATCAATATAACAATTTAATGCAACAATCTATCATCAGTAGCAAGTCCATTGAATCTGAAGTCATCAGAAAAAATAACATATTTCTCTATCGAACAACAACAAAACATGCATTCAATTTAAAAGCGAAGTAGAAAAAAACTGCTTTTGCCAAAGCATGCATCCATAAAACTGATTGCGCTTTCGATGTGAATCAACAAGATAAAACGAATTCTATTTATACCTTTAATATTTCGAAAAATTAATTATTCATTTGATATTTAATAATTTTTCATTCATTTCATGCAATCTAACCCAATTCAAACATTACTTTTTTTTCCAGTGTTGTACATATCCTTTTTCGTTTGCGCTCTCTGGTCTCTTGGGTAGGGCAGAACTAGAACACAATCATCAGCATGATCATCGTTTTTTTGATGGCATGAGTTTTGTGAATAAAACATGAAAAAAAAACTTGTCGGCAACTGAGTTAGACACAGCGACTGAGATAGAGAAACGAGAAAGAAGTCAACAGATTACATCTACCCCAATGCTGTACCGTGTTGTGGTGAGGTAAAGTGCACATATCTAATATTAATCTGAATTTCAATTCGAATTTTGAAATATGTATGGCATTTTATAGAGCACTTTATTTGCTGATTCAGAGATATCTTTGTTTGTTGTCTATCTGTTGTCGGTGCAATACGAAACTCGTGTGTGTGTGTGCGTTGACATTTTTTTCTCTCTATGCTCTGTTCGACATCCACAACCCGACATTCGATTAGAGCATCAAAGATATATGTGCAATTTGTGATGAGTTGATTCATTTTCCATACTCTTCAAATCAACTCAACTATTCTGTATCTCTCGCTCTCCTTCAAAACATATTTCGTTTTCATTATGCAATATGGAGCATTCAACTGCATACGAAATGCTCTTTCAAATTAGAAACAGTGTATTTGATGATACTTGCGAGGTTTGAATGTTGCATGAAACATTTTCATTAGAAAGTCGTTTTTTTTTTCGACGAAAAACTCGAAATTCAAATAAATTCCGACTGTTTGTCTATCTCAATTAAAACAAATCCGAGCGTTTGAGATTGGCTAACAGCTTCACATCGATTCATTTTCGTAAATGTATGTGTATGTGTGGCAAAACTTTGGGGTTTGTTATTGAGGAGAGCGAGAAAGACAGAGAGAGAGAGAGAGAGAAAATAATCACAAAACAAACTTGAATCTAAGTGTAGAAAAGTGCTTGGGGACTCAATTATAGTTTGACGTTGTTGTTGAAATGGATAATAAAAGTTTTTAGATTTTAATCTAAAAAACTGGCAACATATCGAAGTTTCAATAGAGACTGGTTGAACAGGGAATAGAGAGAGTGGTTGTGAGCGAGCATGAATGACGGGAATGAGATGTAGAGACGGGCAACAAGCTGTCTAATGTTGCAATAAGCATTGAAAATTGATGTCACTGTTGTAACGTGTATTTGTTGTTGTTGCTGTTTTTTTTTTCGTGCAAAAAGTGAATCCCGTTCTCGCTTCCATTCTTCGTACAATGACATTCAGGCAATTATGCGAAAATAATTACAATTTTTACATGTATGTTAACTTCCGATGGAAGATGCAATAATAGAACCGGACGAGGCGCTAGGTCTCTCTCTTTTTCTCTCTCTCTCTCTCTCTCTCTCTCTCTCTCTCTCTCTCTGTGTTTCTCTTTATGCTGCTAAATCGAGGCAATCTTTTGTCAAATAAAATCCAATAAACCGGATGAGATAAATAATTGTCAACTAAAATTGAATGAAAATTGTTTTTTCCCTCTTCTCGTTTCTGTGCCACCTTTATCGCAGCGAAAATCAGAGGATATTATATCGCATTGCTCGGAGTGGCTTAAACGATTTGGCGAATTTGAGTGTACGAGTGGGTGCGAATGAAACCATTGCCATGGCAAAACCGAACGGATGAAAACGAGATAGACGACAACGACATTGGGTGGCAAACGAAAAATGAAGTTGAGAAAAAAAAATCTTCATCTTAATAAGCGCCTGATAGAAAGTTATCAAATCGATGCTTGGCACTCTTCATATATGAAAGCGCCACTGCACAAAGTTATTCATTCAGAAAAAGTCATTTACGCTTTTTGATGGAAAAATTGAACGTCAAACTTGAACACACCGACACACAAACATCAACACTCCGTCTCGTTGTCTCTCACTCGCTTATCTCAGCGATAGAATATTACACGAGAATGGTTTTTCGGCGAACGAGAAGATTATGAAAAAAAACATGGCAACTTTGTACATGAGAAATGAAGTTCAAATAAAATATATTATAGCAATACATATACAAGTAATGTGGCATCCCCATGCGTTCGCGATTCGACTTAATAGAAAATACCTCGGGTAACATATTCGAATTTATCGATAGAAATGTTCGGTTTTGATTGCTATTCGCCGTTGTTCGATGTCTTGTGTTTTGTGCGGAAGGGTCTATCGTAGCACAATGTCTATTTCGAAAATTGTGTGCCAAAGAGAGCGAGCAAGGGGGAGAGAGAGTGAGCAAGTTGGCTCGGAGACATGTGCAAAGTGGCGAACAATCGCTTGGCGTCAGGGATTGGAAATAAAGAACGAACGAATGGCGTGTTCCTATCTATATCTTATAAAAATGCTTTCTAATGGCATGCGGCATAGCATAGCTAACGTTGAAAGATTCGAGCCAAAGCGAACAGCCATTTGTGATTGTGTCACTTTGGTAGAAGGGCACCCATCTTTCATCTTGCACGAATAAGAAACACCAAGGAATATTTGACGTCTTTTCTATTAAAAACTCATTACCCATGGAATTATTATTTTCTCAGTTGTATTCGATGCGAACGTAATACACAGATACGGTAAAAGACGCCATGCTCCACCATATATATAATAATAAATAAAATGATGGAACGTTAATATCGTGTGGCAACAATTTTCCATGTGTTGTTCGCTGAAATTGGCGCGCATTTTTTTCTCTTCTACACATTTTACGTTGAGCCTGTTCCAATGGAACAGTGTTCCATCACTTTGCCCAACGCGTCAATGCTATGTGTTCATTTTTTTCTCTTTCCGTTGAAAAATGTTTTTTTCCCTTTCGTGTTTAATAGAAATACTATCTCCGGGCGATTTCTAACGTGCAATATTACCGTTTTGATAAACAGAACCGAAATAGTGTGGCAGCCCGTTTTTAGCACGAAACCGACACGAGAGGAACGATTTCACTCAAATAACCAACAGAATCTATGCACCGAAAATATTGGCAGCTCCATAAAAACGAACCAGCATTAGCCAAGCGAAAGCAATTTCATTGGGAACAAATAAAATTGGTTCGAAAATTATATTCGCATCGACGTTTGCATCCAGCACACCATTTTTTGGCTGAAGTGTTCGTGCGTTTTCATTTCATCGAAAACTACACACGAAAATAAACTCTTGCCAAAAATTTATTTATTACGTGCAACGTGTAGTTGTTATGGTGGTGAACAAAACGCTAGACGCACCTCTAAATTTCGATTAAATTCACAACTTTGTGAACAGAGTTCTGTTAATTTTCCGTAAAATGCAAATTAGAATGGCATTCGACTCTGTTTGCATTGTTTCATTAAATTTGTAACTCCTATGTCTCTCCCACTCATTCACTCAGTCTCTATGTCTGTTTCGGTATCGTTCTATCGCTTTCTCTCATTTTCCATGGCTTTGTTTGCCGCGCTTCGCCGAAGCCAAAATGCGAACAAAAAAGAGAATTTTCCTGCGCATGCATCGAATATCGAGCGCAGGAAAATCGTCGGTAACATAACGATATGAAATTCAGCAAAATTTAACAGTATAATTCATGCAATGCCAATGGCAAACGAAACAATGAGACATGTATCCTATGCATACATTTTCCATTCGGTTCGTATCAATATGCAAATAGGCTTCACTTTCTCTCACTCGGTTTGGTGTTTTTTTTTCATTCTGCGTTTGCTTTTGCGAAGCTCATCGGCCGAGAGACACAGAGAGAGAGAGAGAGAGAGAACATTTGGTAGAAAATGGTGCACACGGTTTTGAATGTTATATGAATTTTGCGAATTCGCACGCGACCAGTTCAAATGCGTGAATACCAATGAATACATGTCGCCATGGAAGAACATCACATTGGAGCCATTAATTGATTTCGCCATGAATTGTGCAAATTTTATGTTCGTTTCTATTCGTCGGTCGTCTTTAGCTCTGGTTCATTCATTCACCCACTCAGTCCGGTTACCTCTCTTGTGGCTGAAATTATTATCATTTTTATGCTAATCGCGAGCGCCCGTTGTGGCATGTGATGCGAGCGTCACGGTAATATACGGGAAAAAAGCGAATTGAAATGCTTACGGCGATGAAAACTAATTTTCACTATTCCACATAATCAGTGAATAATGATTGGTCCAGCAGCGCTAATTTCAGCGACGAATTTAATTTTTCCACTTTTCTCCATCGGAAAAATGCGTTTGAAAAGGCGAAAATCAATGTAACACATCCATAGCATAGTAAATCGAAACATATGCGTATTCGCTGCATCTAATTGAATTTACGATTAAGGCTGTAATTATTGATTTTCAACACACACATAATCAAGTGAAACTCGTGGTTCAACACAATTGATCGCACAGTGCGATTTCAATTTTCCAGCAAACGAACGGCTCATTTGTAAATATAGCATATACATAAAACCGTATATTAGGTTCTCATATCCTCGATAAAGATCATTATGATGTTAAATAATTGCATTTGTAACATTATATGATGATTATATCGTCTGTTAACAAGTATGATTTTTGAATTGATGCGTTTGAATACGAAAAAAAATGAATATATACATCGCTCGACACTTCAAATAAAGTTACACATCTTCATTTTAAATTTTGAGAGAGCATTGAAAAAACACACACACGCGTATTTTGTTGTTGTTCAGCAACTGAACGAAAGTGTTCAGCGACTGTATCTAAGCAATATGAAATGGGTAGAAGTACTGGGTGACATATGCGCGCCTGAAGGCATCAACTTGATCAACACTCGAATTTCTCTAGCGAATACGCGCGCATAAAAATGACAAAAGTTGTTTTTGAATAAGCCCGTAGACATTCGCTCATATTCAAAATAAGTTTTTTCTTCTCGTCTTCATTGTCAAAAACTTTTTGAAGTGATGGGTTTGAAGCAGGTCCTCGCTGTGTTTTCCATTTCTCTTTAGAATTTGAAATCGAAAAGGGGGTATGTATGCGTCTGGGTGGTGTGTTAAATTTTACACCAGCATTTCTCTTCGTTTTTCCACTTCTTTTTTTTCACTCTGTATATGGACAATGCCAAAACGAGAAGAAGAAGAAGAAGAAGTAAATGTGCAAACGTTATTTTTCATTGATTCACATTAAGGTGTCGTGTGTTGAAACACGACGCAAATTAATTAAAATGTATTTTTATCGGAAAGTGGCTAATTGTCAAAGGGAGATGATGTTGCTTTGAAAGAAAGCGAAATGAGGGAAAAAAAGTCAAGCGTATGAAAGTGAGTTTAGTGAATTTAGCGGCAATTTTCTGGTAGTTGATCGCTTTAAACGGAAGAAAATTAAACATTTCTTTTTGTGCTGAGGTTTTGTTCCCTCCATGTTCTCGGAACGTTTTGTGTTTATGGCAGAGCCATTTTCATTTTTGGTAAGATGAAATATTCACTTTGTCATATATTCCGATGAATTGGAGGGCTTTGCTTTTTAATAAGTGGCAAACACTTTTTTTTCGCTGAAAAAAGAATTATGATCGAAATCATGCGCTCAGGCTTTAGATTCAGCAAAATGGGTATACGAAAAATTCTCAAAAGCACACACACACCAACTTTTTTTCTTTCTCTGCGCTCCCTCACCCATTTCGAAATGGAACATTCCTTCCTAATGGCGAAAACCAGAAAAGGACACGAAAATACCATGACAGCAAAAAACTCTTAAAATTTATCCAAATACACCATACTTAATAGAGGCTCGGCCTGAAGAACAATCCATTAGCACTAACACACACCCAGCTCGATCCAATGGCTATGCGGCACAGTGGCAATGGCAATGGCAACAGCAACGGCAAACATGAAAATAATAATACGTAAGCAAGTGCAAAAGGATCAAAGTGAAAGCCCATTATCTGAGCGAAACTTAACAACAAGCCAAACATTTTAATCGGGGCATGCATGTGAAAGGACCGACCGAAAATGACATTAAATTTAACGGCAGATTGAAAAATGTTTGGTCGTATCAGTATACATCAGTCTATCCGGTGTGGATAGACGACCAATGTAAATATTCAACCTGCAAACCGGCCATTATCCGGTAGTCGATGCTACATTTCATTATGCAAACCAACAGCATATGAAATGGTTTTAATGTGTATCAAAACGCAAAGCATTATTTTCTTCTTCGAGCAAATATTTTTCGCCCACTCGTTTTTCCAACATGACACTCACGAGAAAAAAAAGTTCGAAGATAAAAATTGCAAATGGCTTTCGATGGATTGTGTTTGTGTGTTTTTTTCTCTTCAATCCAAGGACAAAGAACGGTCACGTTAGTAATACGATAATGAAAATACCACTGCTTAATGGATCTTACATATGGCTAAGCTTCGGCTTAAAATGACAAGCTAAAAACTCAATTCAGCATTAAAAAATGGCAAGAAAAACAACTGAAACATTTGTTTTAAACTATGAGCATTTTATTTATTCAATCGAACAATTTGTAGTGCCTAAAACGAAATGCGTTGACTATTTTAGCAAACGGAACAAAATTGAAATATTTCATAAGTGCATTGAGGCCTTGAAACGAGAGACTGTGAGTTACAGGTGACAGTGGTAAATTGTTTCACACGCCTCACCGTCAATGCCTCGTCGAATCGAATGCTCCATTTGGTTCAATGTGTACGCGTAATTTCGTGACGAATTGAAGAAATTATGATCAAACATTTCAGTGCCCTTTATAACGGCCATAGCCGCCTTGAGATACTCTTTTGCTGTGTCGGGTGCTTTGCAAGCGGCCTGATTCAAGCATCCATCTTGACCCGATCCCTCCAGTGCCAAGTAGCCGATAAACAACGGTGCCTCATCCATCCCAATCGGAAACGGAGCTGAAACGAAAACGTAAAATTAATTCCAAACTATTGTTTCCATCGATTACAACACATTGCTTTTAAAAACACCGAAACTATTGTGCAATTGCTGTTCTTTTGTTCATCACTTTGCGTGATTGAAGTCATCAAGATAATCGATTTGGATGTGTGTTTACATTTCATTTAATAAAAAAAAACTACAATGTGGGAGTGAAATAGGTGATTCAACTCATAGTTTCCGCAACGATTCGCTCGGCTAAGTACATGAACACGTGTATTTTCATTCCAACGAACACGGTGACAATTCGGATTTTTTTCCGTCTCCGTCACCTTTTTTTCTCTATATCTCACTTGTTATTTTCACACTTTTAAATTGAATGAAATGAATTAATGGCACATGAAGCATGTGGAAATGTAATTTAAAGTTTTAAAAACACTTTCACTGCACGGAACAATCTTTTTTTCCGTTATTGTAAATTGAATGATTTCGTGGAACTGTTGTGGGATGACTTTTCACGGCTAGGAAATGAAAACACATTCAGAACTTACAGTCAAAGCTACGAGCACGTCCATATTGACCCCAGTTACCGGCACCAATGAGCCCCGCAGCGAATATCAACGATTTGAGCAAAACCAAAATCAGCAAATTTGTCAAGTTCAAACTTAAAATCTGCATTAGGAAATAGATCGATGTGAGATAGGGAAAAATGTCAATTGATTTTCAGACTGGTTTGTTTGAATTTCCTTTAAATTCAAAAGAAAAAGAAAAATGAAAATAAAAATAGAAGAAACGAAAAATACCTGACTATTTCCTGTTGAACGGCTAATCATTTCCTTGGCCATGGTAACAACAATTTGGCCAGCTGGTCCACTAAACGCATTCCGGGCAGTATCTAACCAAGACTCGGTGGGTGGCTGAGAAGCATACACACCATTATCCAATGGGCCATTTCTTTGACCAGGAACGTTGTCAATTTTGCCGTAATTCATTTGATCGTCGCCATAATTCGAATCCATAATTTCATTCTGAGCGGTCATATCATCGCAACGCGCCGCTTTCAGGGCAAATGCCATCACCACTACACAAATCAAATATTTTATAAACATTATGTTGAATATTTTAAACTGCAAACTTAAGGTAACCAGGAAGAAAAAAATAGTTTACTGAGTGACGCGCACAGTTTAAGGAACCGAGTTAAACTAAGCTGAATGAAGTTTTTAGCACTTGATTTATAAGTCGATGTGCAACTACCTGCAATGTAATTCTTCGTCAACGAACGAAAAAAATGGAAATGGAAATGGAAGGTATTTTTACACGAAAATGACAAACTCTTTCGTTTTTTTTTCTTCAGAGAATCGGGAACAATGAAAAACTATGTAAATAACGAAAATCGTTGAGCATGTTATCGGCAAACAATAGCGAACGACGAAGAGAGAGAGAAGGATAAAGAATGAGACGAACACCGACAAACGACAAAACTATTATCGCATCCATTATTATGACAAACAATTTCATGGTACACAGAATTGCTCGTATTTTTATTTTGTCAAATGTTGCAAAGATACGTAGAAATCTTTATCACAAGTGAATCTGCATAAAGTGAGCATAAACCCACTTTACAATGTTTGCTTTTATTTCAATGCTTAACGTCTACCTGTGTGTGCCAGTGCATTTACTTTAATCTTTATCCATCGCTGGAGAAGTGAAACAAGTAAAATCCGAAATGCATGTGCAATATTAGATCTTGGCGACATTTTCTAAATTTGATGCACTTCCCTCTAGTTTGGGAGCTATTTCAAGCATTATTTACTTTCGGTGATAATATTGTGCGCATATAGAATCATTTCAGCCGTCTGACTAACAGAAAGGGAAATAGACGCTCAATTTGAGTGAAAACAAAAGAAACTGAAAACGGCCGTGTGATCGCAAGAGGAAAAAGAAACACTTTTTCTGTGAGTGTGCGGTAAATGCAAATTTTTACTTAATTTGATTGCCATTTTCTATGGAATCGTTAACAATGAAAATTTATTTTCGACTGCAACGCAACTAGAGCTGGTTATGTGTCTTTTGTGGTTTTTTTTTTATAGCAGCGAAAACGAAAAATTCGCTAGTGTAATGCATCAATTGAATTATATCCACGCACAGAAAATGCAGTTGATGATTTTCTCAATGGATGCACTCAGCACAGTTCATTCATGCTATCTAGGCAATGAAAATAATTTGGTTTATAAGTAAATTGGCCACACAAGATCAACAGCCCAATATTTTCGTTTGACATTGTTTTCTTTTAATTATTGAAAATTTGGTGCAAAGCATTCAAATTCAGCGAATGCAGTAACCATTTAGGCATTTCGAATGGAAACGGAATGAAGCTCAGCTTGATTTGCTGGATGCTTGAGCGATGCGCATGTCTGCGAAAATGGATTTCGCCGCTTTTGACACATCCATCGCTTTCTGCGAATGTTTGGAGCACTATTGATTTTTCTCGTAGCACAGCTTCAGGAAGACAACAAAACAATTCGCTAAACAACGATTGACATAACATTCGAACAAGTCGAAGACGTTGTGACAAAATTATTCAGGTGTAATTTAAAAATTTCGTACAAATAGATCCGTAGCTATTAGGTTTAAGATTGCATCCTGTTAAATATTGTTATTCAAGAGTGTTGTTATACAATAATAGTCAAATAAACGCTGTTGTTCACCTGCCGATTCCATAAATATATTGCAGTAAAACGGTAATTATAATCTTACTTAAAAGGAAAAGACGTAACATTTTCAGTGAATGAACGCAAACAAAGGCAATTTCTTGAAAATATTTCACGTGTAGACCATTGAATAACGGGTATGACTATTAAAATCGCGATTTTTGTGTTTGACCCACAAATTATCTGCTTTTTATTCAACTCCAGTGAAGTGGATGCATTTCGCATTTTGTCGTATTTAAATATTATGTACGTGTATACCAAGGGATTTGTTATTGTGACCACCGCCACGGTTGATGCCACTCGCTAATGACAAGCTGAAAAGCTGGCATTCTAGTAATTTGATACCGTTTTCATTTTATTCATAACATGTAATAATAATAATACTTAAATCTATTTAAAAACGATTTATAGTAACACATTGAAGAGGGTTGTTAAACTTTTGCTGCTGTCGTCGTCGTCGTCGTTGCCCGATCAACGCACACAGCATTCATCAAACAGCATTATTATGGGCTATAAATGTATGTACGGTAAATAGGCGCACAAATCACTTAGTCTGCTATTCCCTAGCGCATTATACATCACGACCAGTGTTGAGTGTTTTGTTGTCGGCGCCTCTTTTGTCATCCAGCAACAGCAACAGCGGCAGTAATAGCAGCAGCAGCATGCATTTTTGCCTACATGCACGTAGAAGGTGTTTGCATTAATCGGCCTTGTTGTAAATCATACCCTCCACATAAACTTCCCATATGTCACATAGTGGTTAATTCTTCTGCATCTCTATTCATGTTCTGCTTACATATGTTTTGCCTTGTGCGTCTGCACATAGTTGGAATAGTGGTGGGTCGTAGTGGAACTTGAAACAGTCAGCACCCAATGTTAAATTGAATATTTGTCACATTGTTCATTGTTATTTGATGATGACAATGATGAGGTTCGATGTTTCAATTGAACGGACTTTTAAGACTACTCAGGTTGCACTTTTATGATAGATTTCGTTGCCATAGGGTGTTTCAAGCAAACATTCTTCAATTTCCAAAGACAAAAATGCTTTTAACCGGTTTCGATCGTTGTTGTTTTTTTCGACGTTCGTTTTTTTCTCGGCCGATTTAAAGAATTCTCCTTTTTTTTCCTTCGGTATCAAACCCGATAAAAGGGAAAATGATTTTTAAGCAATTTGTCAGCATGTACATCGAAATGTGCGCTAATCCCCTCAAATTATTACCATTCGATGGGTATGCACAAAGGCCATTTGGAATGAATGCAGCATCAAAGGATAGAATACACACCACCATATCACCGCAAGCGAATGCTGTTTTTTCTTCCTCTTTGTTAAACCCCCTGAGGTGTTTCCACTCATTCGGAATGAATCGTCAATGTAGGCGATTTCAATTATTTTCATTGTTTCGTTCATCGGTGTGCGCGCAACAGTGAATGGTACCGAATCATATCGCGAACTCAAACACATCAAACTATTTCCGATTTGGTTGTCGTCAGATTTTGGTTATTGTGTGCGAAAGTCGAACACTAATCGCATTTTAACATCGACATAAACACAAATAAAGCGCCACAGCCAATGATTTCAATCAATGCACGACGACAAGTTCATTCGCATAGCGCAAAAGCGAAGGAAGAAAAAAATGTAAACATACGTACGTTTTATCTGCTCAATGCATCGCCTCAACAAGTACGCAGATATGCGTGAATATATCAGATGCAAAGAGGGTTTTCCAACCGATCTCGTCGTCGGAAAAATGCCACGCTTGATTATTATAGGCATTATATGGGTATATACACCGTAGTACATTAAACTGTAATTTTATATCAAACCACTTTCGAAATATGTCACATGCGATTTTTTTCTCTGTAGTTTGGGTCGCGTCGACAAAGAACACAGCCGAATCGATGTGTGCAGTGGCAACAAAATCGTATACAAGTTTGCAATTTCAGCATCAATGCCTCTAATTTTATGATAATGCGATGTACTCTTGTGCATATGAACAAGTGAAACTGCAAAAGCATTGAAACGTCTACATCCCAAATTGGAATTTAATGAGAGCAAAGCATACACATCAATTCAATCCCTTGGTTATGTACAATTTTGTGCGATGACATTTTTTTTCTCCCTCTTGCTCAGCCTGTGTATGTGTGTACGGGTCACATTACTCCCATACAACGCATCGAAATCATAACATTTGTTTTACATGTAATTATTTGATTCGCAGGAGCAACAGCTTCGTTTGATATTCACATTTGTCAGCGTTGACATCATTTGTTACTAAATATTTTTCGAAAAGAAATTACACTGGAAAATGCAACAATTGACGCTATTGAACCACATTGCGAGACGATATCGGGTACATATTTCGCGGCGCATGATTGGAATTTTTATATTGTATTCACTGTTGATCGACGCCTGCAACGCCCGCGGACCACATCATCCGAAGAGCGAAAAACGACGAGCTGAACAGCAACAACACATCAACGAACACTTGGCATTTGAAGCACAGTATGGCTCTTTTTGCCCATTAATTTCACTTGTCCAATGGTTTTGATGTTTGAATTTTCGGTTGTTTTGGACATATTTCATTTTCTAGGCACATTCAAGAGGATATAGATGCGCAGCAATTGCCAACGGAGAAGAAAGTTGAAGAAATGTCAGAAGAAGAGAGAAATTATATGTTCTTCAAAGTCCACGATTTAGATGGCAATGATAAATTGGATGGATTGGAAATTTTCTATTCAGCGACACATCATGCGGCATCAGAGCACGATCACAACCATGTACACAGTGATAATGAAGCAGACGAGGGAAATGACAATGAAAATAGTCAACCGTCTAATGACAGTAGTTTAGACTTGAGCTCGGATGCATCAAGTCTCAAATTGTTAGAATTAGATGAAAATGGACAAATAGTTAACACAAATTTTAACCATATTATCGGTTCGTATTTTTCTCTCTCTTTCAAGAATTTAAAGGGTTATTTCGATTGAAATGTGTTGTAATTATTTTCCATCTTTTAGATGTGCTAGACAATTTCCTTAGTTTGGCCGACCTCAACAACGATGGCTATTTGAACTATGCTGAGTATGCAGCTGCCGTGAAACTAGGAAATGCAATGACTGAAGAACAAAATCCAGAATTGTAAAAAAAAATTGAACAGAATACTGAAGCTCGTGATTCGACATTGACAAATATTATTTTAGTGAAGAAATAATCGGTTCCTCGAACGGCTTTTTGATACATTGGCTTTGAACTTACATTTTTTTTTTTTCGTCTATTAAAATTTTAGGCCAATTTTTTCTGTGTGAGATCTTTGTATAATGTCGGTAGAAAAGAACGTTAGAACAATATAAATGAATAAACAACCAGTTGAACACTCGATTTGTTTCTTTAATAAAATAAAGTTTTATTGAATATTTGAATTTACTTCAAAACAACGCTCATATTTGACTTTATGCTTGAAAAGTTGAAAAAAATTGCTAATCGGAATCCATATCATTACCATTATCTTGATTATTTTTGGTTGGTGTAAATGAAAATGAAACACTATCTAAACCAGCCGATGATATTTTGAGTCGGTTCTGCTTTCGAAGTTTCTTCTCAAGTTTGGCTTTTCGTTTCTTGCTCAACCCGTTTGAGTCACCTTCGGCCTTTCGTTTCTTTGCTACTCCATTTGTTTTTACTGGTTTTGTTTCACTTTCATCCTCCTCGTCCTCCTCCTCCTCCTTCTCCTTCTCCTCCTCCTCCTCTTCTTCTTCGTCGTCGTCGCTATCCTCCCCATTTTCACTCTCCTGTTTGCCATTCACTGATTTCGATTGGCCATTTTTCAATTTCGATGAATCAACTTCACTGTTTTTGATATCCTTTATGTCCATCCGTTTACAGAATGCAAAATAAACTTGATATGATTCCAATTCGACTTTCTGGCGAATCGACTGTACGTTGTCGCAAACTTTCGTCCATTTGAGGGCGCATTTGTATTTGGCTATTGTTTGTGAGCATTTGTGCACCTCTTGAAGTAATAGCAACAGTGAGGAGAATTCTTTCGACGAAACTTGATTGTGTGAAACGGCCCATTGAACATACTCCTGGATGGCGGCCTCAATTTTGGGATTGTATTCATTAAACTCCTGTGTGTCGTGTGCGATGAAACCATGATTTTTGTACATGATGCTAAGCAAATCGATGCCTTGTGATCGTCGGAATGGTCGACGTTTATCTGCTCGCAACAAACTTGTTCGGGCAATAATTTGTGCCAAGCGCCATACGCCAACCCAACGCGTTTTCAAGATATCGCCAAACACTGTGTATTGAACTTTTGGATTTCTCGATTTCAAGAAATTTTCTAAGCATCCGGCAATGGCCTCCAACAAAATGGGATCAGGGGACTTCAACAATTGACTGACGGCAATCAAAAAGGCACACAAATTCGAACGAAGTTTATTTTGTTCATTGATAGCGGCTGGATTTGCTTTGACATTGATAATACTTTGGAATAATTCGTACAGTTTGATCTCGGTGACATCATCAATGCTGGAAAATTCACGAAGATTCAGCAACATTCGCAAAACACGTTGCAAACGATTGACCAACGGTTGATGGTCTTTGTTTCCAACGCACTGCTCATACATTGGAATTAAATCGGCCAAAATATTCAGGGTGATTGCTAGCGATGGGCTGGTTTTCAAGTAGATTTCAATCAAGTCCAGCACACGAATTCGAAAATGCATGACAGTTGTGTTGGTTGTTCGTTCAAGCTTGGTTTTCTTCTTACTTTCGCCAGTTTTCTTACGAATTGCTCTGAAGGCATCGGATAAAGCAGCATCCAAACGTTCAGCTTCTTCGTCATCCATGTCATTTAAATCAACGGACTCGGTATCAGTTTCCGGAATTGCTTTACCAAGTGCTTGTGTAACGGCCGATCGCAATTGGTCCGTCGCTGTACCCTCTTCATCTGCGTCGGTCAACTCTTCATTGTCGCTACTCTCATCTCCATCCTCACCCTCACTTTCGCCGCTATTCTCTTCATCCGACTCATTCTCTTCGTCCGACTCATTTTCATCGTCATCACTCTCTTCGGCTGCGTTATTCGGTGTCAACGGGTTTTTCTCGCTCATATCCAACATCAATAAAATCTGATCAACGGCTGCCGGTGTCAAAGCTGGGCAAAGTTCTGGGAACACATTGTCAACAACCGTTCGCATGAAACTCTTGCTTTGTGACAGCAATTGCAGGAACAAATCGACTACAACCTCAATCCATTCGGCTTCGTTGGTCTCATTCGATTTGGATTTTGCCTTCAGTTTGCTCTGTGATCGTTCCAAACACTTTTCCAAATCGTCAATGGAGAAAATGGCCATCTGAGCATCCACAAACAATTGCAATCCCATGTGCATCAACAAAATATCGAAAACGTTATACAGAATTTTCTTTGTCTTCTTCTTGGCCGTGACATTCGTGTACATTTTGTTCCACGCTTGAAGCGCCTCATCGGACAGTGGGTGACGAAGTGTTTTGTTGCTTGACTTTCCGGTTATTTGTTTGTTGCAAAATTCGATGATCGCAAGCAAAGTGGCTTTTTCAGCTTCGATATTTTGTGATTTTGCTTGCAAACTCGAAAAGAATGCCTGCTTCAATTTATGGGCCAAGTCATTTGGAAGCACATCGGAGTCACGGTCTTTTACAATGGCATCGGTTTGTCTATTGACATAAAATAAACCGTATTTCAAGAGAAATTTTAGCTGTTCGGCACGCCATTCATTTTCGCTGTGAATAGATTTCTGGACCAAAAGTGTTTGTAGCATCTGAACGCAGTGTTCTCTTTCCATGTGTAACCATCCTTCTTTTGATGTTGGATTCTTGGTCTTTCGTTCGAGCAAAATATTTTTATAGAATTCAAATAATTCTTTGATACCTTCTGATTTCAATTGTACGATAAATTTGTGGATGACACGGCTGGGTGTGTATTTTTCAATTACTAACATTCCCGGGAAATCGATGAATTTCTGAATAATTGCCACTTTGTCACTTTCGCCATTCGATACAAGCTTTATGTACTTTTCGACGGCATCGAAGAATTCATTGTACAAATTCGGCGTGGAATCATTGTTTTTCTGCTGCTTTCCACTGCGAAGTGCTTTTGTGATCAATGCGATGAATGGATTTGACAGCAGTGCCAATGCTGTTTTCGCCTTGATTTTTCCATCGTCAAAAATGATGGTGAGTAGACGAAGTGTGACAATTTCTTTGAATTTAGACGGTGCAAGAAGAATTTCATTGATTTCCTTCTGCCAAAAGTCAAGCAGCTTCTTCTCCGGCACAGCGGATGTCAAAAAGTGACCGAATGCTTCGAAGGATGGGTGGGTAACGGCAATTTTAACCGTAGCGGGTGTCCAAAACAATCGGGCCAAATGCTTGTAAGCCAATGGTGTGAGAATCTGATTGGTTTGCAGTGAAGACGATAGAAACTCTTCGTCAACTGACGCTGGATACTTTGACTGGCATTTGATGAGAAAATGAACCGTGTTGATATTCTGTTTTTCCCATGGTCGTTTCATTTCTTTTTGCATCAATGGCCACATTAAACGTTCGAACTGTGACTCACTAAGCTTCTCCAGAAGCTCCAATAGAAATGTGTACGCCAACGATGAGTGATACAATTTGTGGTGCGATGCATTTATCAATGTCACGATGCACCTTTTAATCTCACTGTCGCTAGCTGATTGCAATTTGTTTGCATGCAAAATCGATCCACACACCAAGATTTGGCCGATCAATGCATCCGTATCTTCCTAAAATTTATAAAATATTTTCAATTTTTTGGTAATTTTTAAAGCGGAAAGGGATTTTTGTTACTCACTTTATCGAGGCTGGTACTTTCGGCACCAACACTCAATGATGCATCCATCAACTCAAACAGATTTGTAATCGTCGGATAATCATCGTGTACTGTTTGAAGAAGTGCAACTAATGCCGCAAAGAAACCGCTTCTCGAGTCAGATGTTGATGCTCCCAATCCACGCACCAATCGACGGACATTTCGCACTCTTTTCACCTAAAATCAATTCACAAGATTAATTATCCCAACCTTAAAAAAAAAAAAATTGCACGTCCAGCCATTCATTCATGCATACGTGATAACACATACCTGATTTTCATCGTTTTTTATCTCTTTCAATTGCTGCAACAAACTCACTGCACCATTGATCCGGTCCAATTTCTCATTGTTGGTTAATTTTTTAAACGATTGCGATATCTTTTTACTCTTAATTATTGACTTTTTATTCGTTTTTGTGCTTTGTTTCAAAGCATCCACGTGCTGTTCTTTAGCCTTCATGTTCGCTTATATGTACACACACCGTGTGTGAGAGAGCATGGAACATTCGGTTATTTTGGCAGACGAACGTGGTTTTCAGCGTTTCGCAACTGTCAAACGAAAGAAGACGACCGCATAGACGGAGGCATGTCTGTCTGTTTCACATTAACATGTGCACAGTGCCGCATGGAATACAGGAATACAAGGCAAACAAACGAAATCGAAAAGAGACAAACGACCACATTTTTCTGAATTCGCCGCATCAACCATTTGTACGCACACAATCGCAGAATATTGCCGAATGCGATGGCATGAGTTGGTGTGCGATGAACAAACCGCAATAAACACATTCAAATCGAATGAAACAATTAAATTTTAATGTATTTTCAATAAAATGTGAGAAAATAATTTAAGTAAATCATAATCCATTGCAAACATGTGCTGAAATGCCAAACCATTTGAGCAATGTACATTTGAGCGACTCCGTTTGCATGCGTTGAATGAACGCATCAAGCGACGGCAACGGAACGAAATAGAGCCATTTTCTTTTCTAAAGTCGTCTTTATCATTTGGACGGCTGAACATGTGTCAAATGGGTACAACCATTCCTCAAATGTGTGTGCATTTTTTCAAATGTTGAATAAGTTTTCTGAAAATTTTGTGCGAAAATTCGTCAATTGAGCCCATCAAAACGTTTCGTTTGCATAGCCAAGTGTCACATTTACACATTACTATCGTCGATAATCGAAGAATTACTGAGCATTGTTTGATTTTATTTGTGATAGTGCATAAATACACTCGCTTAAGACAATTAGCTCCGTAAAAGGCGAGCACTGCAAATATTTGTGTGAGAGAACCGAAAAAGGAAAAGAAAAAAAAGAAATCGGACTTTTAGCGGAATTCAACAATATTTGTCGAGTGTCCAACTGAAAATTACGATTTTGTGTGTTAAAATAATCAGTGATTTGTTTGCTGTGCGATAAGAATTTAAGTTTAACAACTTGAGGAACTTTGAACGACGACGAAAAGACTTTTGGTTAAAAAGCATAGCAAAGAAAAAAAAATTGCCATTAAAAGCAGCTGTATTTGGAAGTTTACCGCGGTGTTTGTATACAATTGTGTGTAATTTCAGTAAAAAAATTTTTAATTGATTCGCATCGGTACAGACAATTGCCATTAATTGAAAAGAAAAGCAATAGAAAAAAACAGCGCAAAATTGCAAAGAAGATTCACCCGAGAAGAGTGTAAGGAAAAGTGTAGACAACGCGCACGCACGTTGTTGTTTGGGTTTCGAAAAAGAAACAAGAGTCGCTATTTTAAATAATCAAAATAAATCAGCCGCGTCGATCAGTCATCTAGTTTGGTGTCGTTTTTCATTCGTGAACTTTGCAATTTTCAACCAACTACCGATAGCACTCATTACCGTCGATACTGTGTGGTAATAACATCGAAAATTTTCGCATCCGACATGGCTGGTAGAGGCGCCTACGATAACAACTCCAGGTATGTTTTGAATTGTAATCGATGCCATTGCAATCTTTTTGCACCCTTTGGTGCTGTATGCCTCTCTGTGGCGATTCGTTCGTTGTGTTTGTATCATTTTTGGTGTGTTGTTGTTGTGCCGATTTGTTTCAATTTATAGCGTCACTGTCATAAGGTGTGCAATGCAATCGGCACTACGCTTGCCGCATATAACAGCAAATTAGGAAGTAGACACAGACGGAAAATATGTGAGGTAGCTATAATGCTATCAAACCCAAAGACAAAACAATTCTATGTATATATACACATCCATCGTGTAAATGGGCTTAGCAGCACTGTTTCTATTCCACACTCTGAGTTACTGCAGTGTACAACGTTTGGTCTATGCCAAAAATGTGTTCATTTTTTTTATTTCACAGGCACTCAAGATTCAGTAGTGCTCTCTCTCTCTTTCTCTCTTATGGCTAAAATGTATCGCATGCGTGTACAGATATGTGGTTTGTGCGGCGAATGCTGCGCCAAGAATCTCTCAATTTCGAAAGTATTTTAGAATGAACGAGAAAACTGTCGAAAACATAAATAAATAAAAGCAAAACGTATCATTCTATCTCCTTTTTTCCGCAACAAAATCTTGACTTTGATTCGCACCTAGCGTCATTTTAACCTAAAATATTCATTTTCACTTTCATCTGAATTATTAAAAATATAACCTGGTTTTCTAAATTTAGAGTCACTTTTGCTTTTCCGCTTTCGATCCGAAAGACGAGAAAAAAAAGCGACCGATTCGTTTCGTTCTGTGTTGTTCTTTCAATGCCGCTTCATCTTCTTCGCACATTCTGAGCACGAGCGCATTAGCACTTTTGAATACATACACGCGCGTCACGCGTCAATATAACATAGAAACCATGCCGCTGTCCGGCTATCTGTTGTCACTTTTTCGTTTTGTGATCGGTGTTCACTATATTTGTTGTACGCTGTTGCTACTTCAAAGCATATATATATACAACATCGAGAACAACAACAAACCGAAGACAAATGTTACATAAATTGGTTTACGACAACGTTACCGGCTAAACTGGTGAAATCAAAAGTCACTTCATTTTGACAAGATAATCTTTTTTTTCGTGTGTCTCTTTCTTCCTTTGGTTATATGCCATTTTTTCCGCTGTTTCATACTGCACTCATCTTTAATCTCCCTTTATCTAATTATCGAATGGAAGATTTAAATGCGATTAATTTGTAATTTTCTTTTTACAGAGGTTACGGCAAGAAGCCATTGCCAACTGAGTCACCGTATTTGGCATTCGTTGGAAATTTACCACAAGGAATCGTTCAAGGCGATGTTAAGAAAATCTTTCCAAACTTGTATGTGAAACATGTGCGTTTGGTCAACGACAAAGACACAGATTTGTTCAAGGGCTTTTGTTACGTGGAATTCGAATCGTTGTCTGATTTGAAAGAGGCACTCGAATTGGATGGCCGAATCTCTTTGGACGACGCCGATGCACCGTTGCGTATCGATGTTGCTGAACAGAAAAAGGACAGGTAATCCGATCGCATAAAATTTTCTGCAAATTTCCATTCTAAATCGCCCATTTACTAATGGTTGACTTATTTGTTCGTAACAAATGAAAATAAAAAAAACAGAGGCGGTTTCAACAAACGCGGACCGCAACAAGGACAAGGGCAACAACAGCCGCCGCAAGGGCAACAGCAGCAACAACAACAACGTAATCATGGCGGCAACATGAACAACTATAATCGCGGTGGAAGACCTCAAAATATGAATAACGATTACCAAAGAGGTAACGATCGTTATAACAACGATGGCTACAATCAAAATCATCAAGGAAGAGATGGAAGAGATTTTGGCAGAGATGGTCGTGGTAACGGCAGCCGGCCTGCTGGAAATAATTTCCATGGTACACATTCCATGCATCCATAGCAACCAACCTTCCCACCGAAATTCCAAATATTTTTTGTGTTTATTTTTAGTTCGCCAAAATTATATTTATTTTTTTTTTTTACCCGAACCAAATCCATTGCATGTGTGTTATTACCGTATGTATTGTAAAATAATTGTTTTTCATTTCATCACCACAAACAGATCGACCAGCTAATCGAGGCCGCTATGGAAACTTTAGTGACGATGGTCCACGTGGAGGCGGTGGATATGAGAGAAACCAACGTGAAGGAAGCTTCAATAATCGTGATGACAGGTAAATTACCCATTTTTATGCACCATTATACTTCCACCTAACGAGGTGCTTCAATTTAATTTGAGACAAATCTAAACGATTCGATATTGATCGTGTATGAAAAAACCTATTTCCATCAATTCCACATAGGTACGGTAATTATAATCGACGAGGAACTGATCGACCATTCAATAATCAACATGATAACAGACCACCACCCTCTGTTGCCCCTGTTCATGGTAAGTAACATATGCCATACATCCAGAATTGCAAACCGATTTTTGACAATTGTCCGATTCTAACGTCCATTTTGAATTTGCAGATGAAGCCGAGCGGCCACGACTTGTATTAAAACCGCGTACTGTTGCGGATCCAATCAATGCTTTGGCTGAAACTAAGCAGGCAGCTACCATTTTCGGTGCGGCCAAGCCACGCGAGGAAAACTTGTCCAAGGTTAAGTCAAACGAACCATCTGAGTAAACAGAACATTTTTTAAATGCAAACAAGAAAACTGAATGAAAAACAAAAGAAAAAGAAATCAACAACAACACAACACACACACATTCATCCCAAAAGTTATTTTACGAAAAAATAAAGAATAATATTAACAAAAACAAAAGGATGTAGAGACAAAAGCTCCCCTCACATAAATGCAGCGTCAGTTAAAATTTACACGTATAATCGCTATTTTATATGTATGAAAAATGAAAACAACAACAAAAATTGAATAAACAAAAAATTGCAACAACAAAAAAAGAACAAGTGAAGAAGAGAATTGGTCAAGATTTCCAATGTAAACAAGGAAAAAAAAATAACAACATGAAACAACACAAATGGAGAAACATTGCAAGAAAAATAGCCTTAAGGAGAGAAATGGAAGCGTTTAAATTTAAAATTACACGTTCACTCATTCACTCATTCAAAGAAACAAACAACAACAAAACAAGTTCACTCTCTCACCTACACTTATTTACAGCAAACAATAATAATTATAATTATCGTAATGTAATAATACATAGTGATTTAATGTAACATCAATTTAAATTTTTAGATTTAAAATGCATGTAACTTTTTTCTATTTGAAAGCAACAAATCAACAACAAAATTAAAATCCAATCAGTTTTGTTTTTCTTCTTTTTTTTTGTCAAATTCTGTCTCTCACTCAAAACTACATTTTGTGTCTTCATAAATGGAAGCACCATCGTCAAATTAACCAAAAAGAAACCAACGGAAAATAAACGCATCTAAAAATTTCAATTGAACTAAATAAATGGCAAATGTTTAAAGGGAAACTAAATCGATGGCGATTAAGGAAGCAAAACAAAACATACATTAAAATTGATGATTATTCAACGGCCAACCAAATCAATACAAATAACACAATTGAAATGAAATTTACGTTGATTTATTATTATTCGATAAGTCTAAATGAAGCAAGCAAAATAAATGCAATTAAGTAATAAACAGAAATCATAGCGATCGATTAATAAACTATATCTATTAAGTAATAACGCAGATTCATGTGTTTTTTTGTCCCATATAAACAAATTACTTATTATTAAATTATATTCTATGATTATGTTTTTTTTTTGTTTAATTTTTTTTGAATTAGAGAAAAAACGCAAAGAAAGAACAAAAACATACAAATTTAACTACAAAATACAATGTGAATCGAATTTCCTTACAACATTTGTAATAACCGAGTAAATTTTCTCGTCCCATTTTTTTGTGTTGATCTTGATTTTGGTATTGCTTGCGAAAAGAAAAATACGATAAAATTACTTAAAATATTTCGTTTTTTCCTTCTGATTACGATATACTTTCAAATTTATATGTGAACTGGTAATTATTTATATACCTAGAGACGAAAACGTAAAAAAATGAGCAAAAAAAAGAAAACAAAATAAAGAAGAAAATGCAGAAAAAAGTGAGCAAAAAGTTAAATTAAATGATATGTAAATTAGAATGGAAACTGACGAATTATTTGAATGATTCATTAACATGGACAAAAAAAAAGAGTAAACACAAAAGTTCTAACAAAAAATATTATACACACAAAAGCAACAATTACACTGTCATTGTTTTATTTCGCTCAAGAAGATTTTGCCTTATTTTTTGTTTTCTGCAGACACAAAAGGGACCAAAGGAGAGTCGATCGAGAACTATTGTTAGTGTATGGCATGGGGTCTATGGATAATAGACAAACTACGATAAGAGATCTACATTGTGAGTGGATTCGATCGTAAACTACATTCTATCATCTCCAGAGCATTTCGTTTTTTTGCTGTTCTTTGCTATTCCTAATTCACTATTCTTGTTTTGCTTTGGCTATAGCCAGCGCAGAGATGACTTTAGCGCACTCAAGTGCGCTACAGCGCACCCGAGTATTTTTGTTGTTTTTTTGTTCTACTTTAGCAATTTTGGCTAGGATTTTTGTAAAATAATATTTTGTGTAACATAACGAAGAAGAGCTTTCATTTTCTGCCCCCGGTATTCGCATTGTGTGGTCATATTCACCTAGTAATTACGTGCATTGGCTCAATTTCTCAATATTACGCAATTTCTACTTTTGGGGATTTTTTCTTCATATTTTACTAATATAAATGTGGTTTTTCAAAAATTGTTCTTTGTTATGTTACACAAAATATTGATACAAAGTTTTTTTTTACCAAAATGGTAAAGTATAACGAAGAAAAAAACAAAAAAAAACAACACAAATACTCGGGTACGCTGTAACGCACTTGAGTGCGCTAAAGTCATCTCTGAGCCAGCGTTTGCTACCTGCAAATTAAAAAACAGGTAAGTTTTTCTTCGCTTTTCCTACTCCTCATTACTTCAATGCATAGAGCATGACGGCACTCAATCGAATTCAGAAAGCAAAACCACTTAAACAACAGGGAAATGCAAATAAATACATCAACTGCCGTACAACATTCGAAATGTTAATAGCAGGCTGTTAATAACAGCGGAACACAGTATTGATTGTTCATCGCGAGACTCAAATACAAATATTCATTTGCAATGTGATTGTGTGAAAGATAAAATATGGCTTAAAGTAAAGCGAACGCGATGTATGCTTGTATTGTGAGGCTATCCGTAAAGAGAACGCGCTCTACCGTCGCTCAGCACCGCGCCACCAAACGAACGTATCTTGGACATACAAAAAAACCAACGCAGCGACACAATATTTTCGTACGGCAGCTGTTGTTGTTTTTTGCCACATTCCACATAGCACCATTCGTCGAGTTTGTGTAAGCGAGTATTCATTATACACTGAAAAGTATACGGTAGTAAACGTATTGTACGTTTAGCTGAAGCTACATTTTTATTTGTGTTTTTTTCTCCGTGATCATCGAGCGAATATTTGATAAGCGTAGATAAGTGAACCGTTTAGACAGACATTAAGTAGTAAAAAAAATGTGATATGAAGTGACATTTGAAGAGCCACATAATAAAAAAAAAAGTGACGGAACGTTGCATTGACTTATCGACTGCCCCGCACAGAGCGAATATTATTAGATTGAAGGTGACTTTGAAACTGTAGGTATTTTGCTGCGCAATTTTGCTCTCAAAAAATAAGAAAAAAATATTTGAAAAAAAGATTATCTATAATTGTAGCAAGCGTAATGTGGCTGAAAATTCAGCACATTCTTGTGCATTGACAAATACCCTTCATGTTTCAATTTGATCACTGTGATCTTATTTGTTTCTGTGGCGCAGTACAGCGAAAACATTCAAGATTTCTATGCATAAACCAGTGTTGAATCGTAAGTAAATATTACGATTAGTTGTTGTTGTTGGGGCCCTATCAGTTAGAGACGATATTTTCGTTTCTGATTGTGGCCAAGTATTTCCGAAATCAGAAATCGACAACAACGAAAAACAATCCTTTCACTATTGACAAGACCGTTTCATTTGGCACGACAGCACGGTGAATGTTGTCCGTGTTCATTGCATAAGTTGGTCGTAAAAGCGACGTAACTCGCTAGCCACAAAACACAAATCGATTAAAATTCCAAGAAAAAACTCGAACAGAAGTAAACCAAAAACTGAAATCGCCTCCCTTTGTCTATGCAACATCACTGGCAGAAGAAACCACACAACCGTTTTATCACCATTCGATTCTCGTTTCGTTTACTTTTCGCTCTCTTTTATTTTTCGTTCTGCTTTTTTGTTTCATTTACTTTTCGTGCTACGCAATATTGTAAGCTATTAAAATCTGTGTTGCGGAACGAAAACCATCTCTGTGTGAAACGCTATATGTTTTTATTGGTATAATGCTTCGTTATTTATCAACTTTATTTTCATATTTATTCTGGATGATTTTGTTGCCATACATTGCATTTACTTTCAAAATATGAGACATAGCAAAAAAGCAATAAATCTTGCACTAATTATAGCTTTGCCTAGATGTATGCTTTGATGAGAAGCCTTTGTGTGATTACTTTTTTCATGGCTTATCGTTTTGAGCTACACGAGTCGACTGTTATAAGACACGAACTCAATTGACACAAAAGTGCTCGCTTGTTTATGATTCCGAATGCGATTAAACACAGTTGCTTGGACTGGGACAATATGTTTTTTTTTGCGAACTCAGCGAAATTTTGGTTCAATGCTGTGAGACGTGTTGTTCGAATGCTTTTGTGCACCCAAGGATTTTATTGTAAGTGGCATTCAAGCGATAGCGTAGGTAAATGGAGTTTGTGGAATGAAAAATAAAATTTATTCGTTAATCGGTGATAAATTTAAAAATAAAGACCTATCACATTGCTTTTAATTTCATTTCTATTCGAAGTCGGTTTGTCTCAAATATTATCCAAGTGAAAAGTATTTAATTTCAATACAGACAGAGTTTCGTGATTTGCGTCTTTTTTCATGGACGAGAAAGTAGGTGCACATGAAATTAAGCCACCCAATGGGAAATTTTTTTCTTATATTTTCGAAATTGTCTCCCCTGAACAGAACATTCACTCGCATTAACATAATTTCACATTGGTGTTGGTTTTTTCCCGTTGGTGAAAGGCAGATTAACTGAGACATTTATAATTTTAAAAAAATTCCATCGTAAAACAAAACTGTCCTTTCTCAAAGCGAGTGTTGTTTATACCATTCTACGTACAGACTATTTTGTTGACTGTTTTAACGACAAATACAGTAGGGTATCAGAGTACTAAGGGAGAGAAAGAGAAAAAAACAATCTGTCACTCATACCTAATAAAGGCTCAACACATATACAGCATTCTATAAAACTAACTGTTGACTGCAAACGAACGATGCATACGAAACAGAAGAGAAAAGTGTAAGCAAAGAGAAACTGGGAAGGCGATTCAGTTTGGTGAAGGCAACACAAGAATGAACAAGTTCTACTTAGTAAACGTTGTTGCCGAATATTTTTGTTGATTTTTTTTTTCACTTAAATTTTACATACAACAATATTACATATTTGAACGTGATTTTTTTCTCAAAACATACGTTTTTTCGGTTTGTTTTTTTCTTCTTTCAAATTTCGATATAGTGGATATCAAAATGATTCCAAGCAAGTTTAACATTAAATATGATGTGGATGGTTTTTTTCGGCGAACGCCAGCAGCCACTCCTGAGCCTAGGTCCCAGCCCGTAACGATCGTTAGTGAAATTATTGAACTTAGCAGTGACGAAGAGCCGGATGATCCCAATCGAACTCCTGATTTCAACGACCTACCCATAGCCGAACTTGAGGTGAAAAAAGAGCAATTGGAGCGAGCTCTAAATGAAAACGGTGATGAAATCGACGATGATAATGAAGTTGGCGAAAACAACGATTTCGACCTGAACCGCGCTAACGCCATTTCAGAACCGATGTGCCAAAATGAAGAAAATGTACAAGCAACTCCAATGGTTGTACATGGTTACCGAACACCGGAATCATTGGGCCACTCATCCGTTTTATCCAATGGCATCGGATCCATCGTCAACAATTATTCTGGAGGTGATTTATCCGATGTATCCGAAGATGATTTTAACCTAGACTTGCCTTCACTCAATCGTACCGTACAAATGCCCTCAACACAAAAAGTACAATTCCAAGTGCGAAAATCGCATCAAAATCCGGTCAAACCGGAGAAATCGCAAAATTTGCCCAGGAATTTGATCCAAAATGATGATACAACACAAATGGTACCCGAAGCAGCGCATCAACGTTATAGCCCACTGTACTCAGACCAAAGAGATGAGCAATTTTCTACGGAAAACTCATATGGTGCTCAATTTGCAACCAATTCAGATATGATGGATCTGGACTTTGCGCTACCAACAACGCCCACACTCTTCGCACAGCATAGCCAGAAGCCGCATATAACACCACCGGCCAATTACAACGACAACATTATTCTCAATCAGAGCTATACGAACAACAACACGGATGGTAATCGGTACAAGTATTATAGTCCAGCGAACAATGTGTTTTTCGAAAGTCCTGGCGCCACACCAGTTTACGCGACACGCGAACGACCAGTTGAAGATATGATCGATGAAAAAATTGCCAAAATCAAAGAAGAAAATGAACAAGCGCGCAAAGAAGAGATTGATAATATGATGAAAGTGGTTAAGGAAAATTTGCTCAAAGAGTTGAGAGAAGAAGTCGTGATGGTGCCAAAGAATGAATACGAATTATTGATTAATCAGAGAAATGCTGATAATTCACACCACACCACCAAAAATGGCGAACGAAAAAGAAGTTCTTTGTCTCCAAAATGTCATCCCAATGAGCACAGTCTAGAGAGATCCGCGGATAAACGGCACAAATCAAACCATTACGGTGACCGTGAACGTCATCGATCTTCTAGTTCATCGAAAGATAATCGTTTCCACGATCATCATCGATCAACCTCTAGTTCATCGAAAACTGACAAATCCGCACACAAAACCAGCACGGTCACATCGGGTAGCTATCAGCCGTTCCATAGCGATTCAAATTCAAGCCGTATGGATTATGAAAACGACACATCTTCCAGTTCAAGTATTGATACAGTATTTAAACGGCCTTCGGTCGAAAAAGAAACAAAAACTCGTACACCAAATGAAGGTAAAACAAATCTTTAGCTCGTTATTTTTTGTGAATAAACTTAAATTTTGAACCAAATAAAATGACAATTCTAAATTGTTATTCTCTTTACAAGTAGATGCTCAGTACACAATCAAATCAACCTTTGAAAGAAGCAAACTATATGCATCGCCATCCACCAAAGCATGGCAAAATGAATCTTATCGTTTCACACAGAGTAAGTTAAATCATTTTAAATGGTTCACATTTGAAAAAAGAACAAACTCATCATTTTTTCTAAATTCATTCGAATCGAATCTTTCTTCAATGCTTAGAAATGCATCAAGCTTTTAACAATGGCGATGAACCAATGACGCCAGGAACAGTGGCCAAAAACACCGATAAATTGCTGTATTTGAAAAGTGATAAAGCAAAAGTGTGTCCGATCTGTGTTAAACCTTACATGCGAATGGTGTTTCATATGAAATCTCATCACGTTAACTATGAAGTGTACGTATCCAGAGTTTCAGCGAAGATGGTGGCAAAAATAAGGGCGAATGATGGAAAAATGCCGGTCACCAAGTATATGCGACCAAATAGTGCGCAATATCTCAAGGCATTGTGTTTGTTTTGCGAGGAAGAAAAAGATTTCATGCCTCAATATTGGAACGATCATATTCGCAGCCACACAGGTGAATATGGACGTGAATGTGACTTGTGTCTCAATCGGGTTTGTTTTCACACGCACTGCGGCAATCCAACAAGAGTTGTCGATAAATTCAATCCATACGAGGAAAATCTGTGCGTCTACGTTTGTCGAAAGTGTAATTACACACAAATCGACAAGAAGAAAATTCAAACGCATCTACGGGCGGAACACGAGATGAACGATGAATCCGAATTCAAAAAATATTATCGAAAAGTTACCCTTTTGCCAGCTATGAAAAGTCTTCCATTTACAAATCCAAACGGAACACTTTCCTACGGTAAATTTTGAAAAATAATTTAAATTTGTACATAAATTCACAACTAAAAGCAATTTTGATTTATTCAATTAAAATAGGACCATTCCCATCGAAAACCCAGCGTTACGTTGAAAAGTCAGTACGACCGCAGCCAGCGAAACAGAAGACCACATCTCAGCCATCGACTAGTCGAATAACGGTTTTGGAGAATCGTGTCATTCGATCAGCAGTTGATACCACATCAGGTAGTAGAACATAAATTCAATGAATCTTTCTTCTAAAGTTGTCTTTAGATTTATTTTGAAACCACGTGAATCCATTGCACTAATTATTTTCTCTGAAACAGCTACCGAATCTGAGGCAGAAAACATGGACACTAACTGTGGTGAAGGCGAAATGCAAAATGATGACAATCACGCAACTGCGACTAATGATACCACAAACCCGATGAATGCATACAAAATCGATCCGGAAACAGAAAAGGCTTTGCTCAACGCCTACACCAATGTCGATGAAAAAGAATACAAATATCAGGTTCGCCCGTGGATTGATGAATATACGAAAAAGCCAGCAATTGATTTGATGACACAATTTGCACTGTATAAGTGTATGCATCCGATGTGCCTTTATGCCACAAATGATGATCAAAATTGGGAATCGCATATGGATAAACATCTCGACATGTTTGATGTATTGACTAAGCGTAATGCTGTGATTGGCAAAGCAACCAGAGACCAACATATCAAATTCCGTGATTGTCCATATTGTCCGCACCAAGCAAAAGCTAACTATCAAGTTTTGGATCATATGGCGGAGCATCGTCGAAATGCATTCCAGGTTTGTTGCGATTCAATTAAATGAATCTTTTGTCAGTAAGCACAATTCAAATTCATTCCAAAAATGTTTCATTCATTACAAACTCAATTCCAGTGTGCACATTGTTTTTATCGATGCCTTGAAATGGATAATATCGTGATGCACTATGAAAAGTATCACATCGGTAAATCTTGTGACGTTTTATTATGCAGCGAATATGTTGAACATTTTGAAGATAGAGATGAGGATCAAATCAAATTCGATTTGGCCAATGTCATGAAAATCAAATGCGGCCAAAGTAAGTGTAGTTCAACACGTTTGTTTGTTTGTCATTAATATAACATAGGTTTTTAATTAAGATAAAATAATAAATGTCGATCTCATTTTTAGATGCTTGCAGCAAAGAATTCGCTTGTTTCAACAGTCTATGTGAGCATCTGAAAGAATGCCATCCGAATAAAGATGATCTTTACAGTTGTCCGTATTGTGTGAGAAGCGTCAAGCGAACTGTATCCGCCATTCGGACGCATTTACTAGACGAACACTTTGAAACCGATCAACTCGGGGAATTCCAATGCATTTACTGCAAAAATGTCGGCTTCAGCCAAATCGAAGACATCAGAACTCATATGTTCGAAAATCACGGATCAAATTTCTTGTTCATCGCAGTCCGTCTATCAGGTAGAACATCCTAACATCTTTCATATTGAAATTCAATGAATTTCTCTTTCAAAGTTGTATTTGGAAATGTTGTGAAAATTCGTGAAATCATTGCAATTTCAATAATTTTCTTTTAATTTCAGCAAAACCTGAAAATGACGAGGGAGAAGCCCAACTTGTTTACATTGGTGATTCGCGAGATGGTTTTCCGTTGTATAAATGTGCCAATCCCGAGGCACTTGATTATATGGATGCAGCTCAACTTGATATACTAACACAGCTTGAAGTGTTGAAACTGAAGCAAAGTGTGGCCAAAAAAGAAGCATTCACCGGAGTGTTGCCAAGCATTAAAGTCAATGCCAACTTTTCGTACATTACACTTGACGATTACGCACAACTCCGACATCGCACCTCGCAAAGTGTGCAATCTGCTTCACATCCAGCGGTCCAGGCAACCGAAGCACAGCGCCAACCATCGCCGGCAAAGCAAATGCCTGAACAAGAACCACAGAATGTTACACCAAAAGTGAAAACACTTTCGCATCAGTCGGTCAAATCGGAATTTCACAAATTAAAATGTGATCCACAACAGTTGGCAAATGCAGAAGCAACACCATCCAGCACAAGTGTCCAGCCAACAATGACATACAAATGTATCAGCGTCGAAATGGCCAAGGATTTGGAAAGCTTATCAAACAGTTCGTATTCGTCTCTGTTGTGCAAGTCTTGCTCACAATTCATTAGGATGGATAGAACGACCGGCATAACTCCATTGATCACTCACATAATGGAAGATCCTGTGTGCGCAAAAAAGACGAAGTGTAATGAAACCAGCCACATTGAAAAGACTATGATGCAGCATCGGATAAAAGCACATTCTGACAAAAATGATGAAATTGTGTACTTGCAAGAGGAAAAAACGCCCAACACATTGGTGTACAAATTGGTGCGATGCAAATTTGAGTGTCTTCAGTGTAACGAGCGATTCAACAATGTACCCACGTTGAAGAAGCACCATCAAAACAATCATTTGGATCGTTATTTGAGAAGTGCTGTTATACATCAGATAAAAGTAATCCAATCAAATGACACCCAACAACTGGTAACGTCAGACCATAGCGAGATACAACATTATGTGTTGAATAATTTGTTTTCGTGTAAGCGTCATAGTATGACACTTGTTACAAGATCAAATGCACTGGAACACCACAATGATTCCCACATAAAGCATAATTTCGAGCTCAACATCAATACATTGTTGATGGAAGATCAATCGACGCACAACGATGACCATAAATTACATGTGCTCGAGTGTGAACATTGCTCAAAGTTATTTGGCTCAACTGAGAGTATGCATGCTCATATCGAAGCGATTCAACCGAATAATCCAGAAACCGCGCTCTACACCATCAAACGTCTACTTGTCTGTCCAGAACCAAAATGCAAAATAATCAGTACATTCAGCGGACTAGATGCCCATTATTCAGCGAAGCATCCCGGAAAAGTGTGCACTCCCATGCACCCAATAAACAATCAGTTGTGCGGTTTATGTCGTTCACAAGTTGCTGAAAAAGATAGGGTGCAGCATTACAAAAAGTTTCATCAAAGAGGTGAAGTGGTGGGCAATGTGTTGCTAAGGTTATTGAAATTGGAGGATTTCGATCTGAACAAATGCCATTTTACACCGGGTTGCTGTGACGAAAATAGATTCGAACGAATTGCACAATGCATCAACTATGTATCCACCTGTAAGCATCGGTTGTGCTGTAATGATTGCCCCGAATCACCGCGATTTCAACAAGTGCAAGAATTGGCCAAGCATCGAAAGGAGGTGCACTTAGAAAATCCAGATGAAGTCATCCATCATATTCATAACATCAAACACTTTATGCGTCTGCTGGGTGGTATGAAAATCTTCTTCCCAACAGGTTTCGTTGTGACGAAAAATGCCATCGATGATACGAAACTGGGCGGAAAATTTCGCGATGAAATCGTAACATGCATCGAAGAGTTCTTCGCACGTGAAAAGATGTGGGTCAATACGTTTCTCTTATTAGATGCATAAGTTTGACTTTTGTTTCTCGTATTTTTTTCTTATTTTTAGATAGAGAAGGTATAATACGACGTAATTTAACCACGACGATAAATGCAGATCATTTCACAGTTCAATCAAAGAATTTCTTTCCTGCATTAAAGATGCATTTTGACAAAAAAAAATACAAAAAACAATCAAAATCCAAAATTGCTGAACTTTGCGAAATGAACGAATTTAACTGGAAAAAAAAGACCGGGAATGTCAAATAAAAAGAACATTAAAAACTTTATACCTCTGATGGGTAATAAGAAGATTTTCTTCCCAAATAGTTTCGTTGTTGGAAATACGAAACTTGGCAAAAATTTGTTCGAAGAAATAGGAAAACCCATCATAGGTGTCTATTAACGAGAATAGTTGTGAATCAATAAGTTGATTTTTTTTCTCGCCAAAAACATGAATATTGAATATTAAACGAATAGCATAAGTACTTATGAACATCTGAATTGTTCCAAAAACACTTAATATATGAACCATTTGAAACCATTGAAATATGTCAATTTGAAAACATGAACGACCAAAATATTATTGTTGTACCAAAAAAATATTTGTTTTTTTTTCTCTAATTAATTCAAGAAGGAGTTGAGATTTGTCGAAGCATCAATATCGTTCACTGTTGCATTAAATTATGTGAGTATTTATCCTTTTCTGTGTGGCACACAGTACGTGAAAGAGTTAAATACTAATGCAATAGCATTTACATTGTACATCATCGTGTAACTGTGTGTGATATCACATTTTCGGCGACGTTGTTTACAATACTGTAGCTTCATTCGGCTTTGCTAATTCTTGCTCGTCACTGTTTAAATTTAGTCACACCATTAACGCATTCGATGCGTCAGTGCTTAGCTTATTATGAGATTTGATTCTCAGCCTCAGCCAAACAGCGAATAGGAAATGTGTAAGTAATTTCGAAATATTTAATTTAAGAAGATAGAATCCATTTTAATGGATAAGAAATCGATTAATCGGAGTTAAGCATCAATTTTCATTTGAATTTAAAAATGTGAGGTTACAAAAAGCACGTTGGTTGCAATTAAATGAGATTTGCATGATAGTTAACATTCATATTTCGGTAGTGTCAAGTATGATTCGCATTCGATTATTGATACTTTTTTGCCAATCCAAAAAAAATGATTTCGCTTTTCTAGAAAGTATTTTTTCTGAAGAAAAAAACTTCTTTCTCATTTGTTCAGAACGTTGAGACATTTTGCGGACCAGAAACATAGGCAAAGTTGACGTATACCCTTCGCTATATGTGATATGCAAAGCCAATGATCGTGTAACTGTGTGCGAAATTATACTTTTTTCGGTTGTTGCCAATGCGTCAATACTGTAGCGGTATCCGAATTCATTTGTTTAGTCTTCACTTAGTTTTCTCGTCGCCATTGAAAAAACGCACGATTTAGTTGGTGTCAGCATTGTTCAATGCAAATTTTCGGATATAGTTCTCGCTCTCAGTCAACTGGCAAACAAAAAATCGGTAAGTAAATAGAGAATTGATCAATTTGACCAAAATTGTTCGATGGATTAGTTTATATTTTATAATAACTGGGCGAAAAAAAAAGATGCCATCGTTGGAGAGTAAAAATGTGAAAAGAAAAGCATGTGCATCAAATCAGACAAGATTACAGCTAATCTTTGTTGCGGGCACTTGTTCTGATTATTTTGCTACAGCAAAACATTAGTTGTGCACAAAACCAACTCCACCTGTTGTCATTTGTTAGACATTGAGAATATTCCCTCTCTGAACCTAACCATTTGCTGGTATTGAACATTTTCTATTCTATTCTATGCAATTCATCGTATTTCCAGCAAAATGGATATCGAGTTGCGAAAGTTATTGAAGGAGTTATCGTCGCAATTGCTGGAAACATTGGGGAAAGACGAAAATGTGCCGAATGACAAACAATGCAGCTGCAGCGACATATTCAAGGGCATTTCCGTGTAAATATTTATTTCTCTCGTTGTTGTTATTTTGTGTTTGAAATGGAGCGATTTTTGAATTCATGGTTCTTTTTCGTTCACAGAAAATTGCGAGAGTTTGACGAAGCGTTAGAAACGTCATTGGAACCACAAACAAAGGAACCCATTGATGAGCAAAATGATACAACATCTGGTCCAAGTCAATCCACAGTCGAGACTGATCAATTGTCCACACCAAAGCAAACTGTCAAAGCCAGAGCATCGAAGTCGAGCAGCTCAAGTGGGCCAAAGTCGAGCAGCCCAAGTGAGCCAAAGTCGAGCAGCTCAAGTGAGCCAAAGTCGAGCAGCTCAAGTGAGCCAAAGTCGAGCAGCCCAAGTGAGCCAAAGTCGAGCAGCTCAAGTGAGCCAAAGTCGAGCAGCTCAAGTGAGCCAAAGGGTAAACAAGAGATAAGCCCACGAGAACAACGGCTAATGGCAAGAAAAGAAATAGCCGAGTCGAACGATGTCAGCCATCCAGTGAGAGGTCAGTTAAAAAGAAAGTTTGATCCAAAATATGACGTGCGTGTAAGACTAGATCGAATAGACCGACCTAAGCGTCGACGACGAGACAGCGATGACTTTCGTCCAGGTTTGTAACAATTCATTTTATGATTGTTCGAAGGTTCTTTGAAAGAAGCTTCATTTATAATATTTATTGCTGTTGCTAATAACTATTATACTTTAATGTTGCGTTCGATCCAAATTAACAGCAAGTATGGATCCACTGGTGGATGAAATACCAAAGTCGTCAACTCAGAATGGAACCCATTCACGTTACGCAATGGCCATGGAAAAGCGAAAATCAGTATTGCGCAATACAATTGCACTTGATCGGCCCATCGCTGAAGACACGGATGATGATGACGACGACAATGAGAGAAATATGGTAAAAAATACCAATCGAAACATGTACTATGCAAACAACCTGTACAAATTGTGTGTTTTGTGTAACAAGAAAGATGCCCGTTTGGTTTTGCACTACTTGAAGCATCATTCGGATCATGAAGTGCTTATTGCTCGTCCATCACCAGCTATGGCCAATGTAATACGTACAAAGAGCCAAAACTTCGAACTGCACAAAGGCAAACTATCAGGTGTTTGTTACTTCTGTGAGGAGATGAAGGCAATGCAGATCAGAACCTGGAAGTCACACCTGCTGACACATACAGGTGAATCAATGTATTTATGCACCGGTTGCGACACTGCATTTAAACAGAAAACCAGTCATTCAAACTGCGGCACCGAACATTTCACGAGCATCTATGATTTGAGCAAATCCAACGAATCAAATGGCGCATTGGAAGGATACATATGCGCAGAGTGCAACTATTTGCAGATTGGCGAAGAGCAACTGATGAATCATTTGACTAGTCAACACGGCTACGGTATGCGTGGAATTGATAAACATTACGAAAAAGTCACACTGATTCCAGATATTTCCCACGTGAGAACGAGCATCAGATATGATTTCATCGAACCAGACACGCTATTCAAGTGCACCATTTGTAATGCTCAGACCGCTGATTATGAAGAATTAGAAGAGCACATTTCCGAAGAACATGCACAAATCGAAGAGTACGTTTGTTGCTGTAACCAGAAATTACCGTCACATAATTTGACCGCTTTGGCCCATTTGTTCAACCATTATCCCGATTTATACCGCTGCATGAGCTGCAACGATAAAGATGCAACCGGATACTACCGAGCACAAGGTATATTGAAGCACATTTCAAACGAGCACACGAAAGATGTGTGGACGTTCCAGCATATTCAACGTCAAACTGACGAGCAAACAATTGTGTCTGAATTTCGATTGAATAAATACGTTTGCAATGTTTGCGGTGAAGAATTTGCAAAAGCGATGTTGGCTTTGAATCATTTTAAAGCAGAACATCCGCGCCAAATCACCGACATCAAGACACTCGTTTCGAAAAAGCAATCACAATTGGGCGACAAATCGGGCGATACAATAACGAATTTCGTGGCCAGCCAAAGTGGCTACGTACTGCGCCAAAGTTTCCTTTGCACGAAATGTAACTACCAAAGTACGAGCAAAGAAGATTTATTGGCGCATCACAATGACTTCCATCCGGAGACCATGTTTGAAATGAATCCCGGCTCAACGATGCTGATACACTTGGAACCAAATGCGCCCGAAGATGAAAAGGTGAACGGGAAATTCGATCGATTCATGGTGTATTCGTGTTATCAGTGCTATGAAAACAACGATTCAACATCCATAAACAGTCGTTTCATCGATGGAACAGCCAAGAGGGTGTACGATCATTGGTTCAACGAGCACCGTAACGCAGGCCATCCATTCCGATTTTACATTGAAACGTTGGTGCAGTGCCATTACTGTGACATGATCAGCACATACAAAGGCATGCTCGATCATATCGGACAGATTCATTCAAAATTACAAATCTGTTTCAGCGATGTGAATGCAAACGACAAATGTCCAATGTGTGACCATACATGCAGTCCATCCGATCTGCCGGAACACTTTCAAAACGAACACAGTATGATATTGGAGGTGAACATGCTCAATCCGAATCGATTGACCGAAGAGCAATTTCAACGGTTGCTGAACATTGATGTTTACACGAAACCGATGTGCGATCATTGCGGTGAAATGTTCAATTTGGACGATGAATACAATGCGCATCATGAGCTCAAACATGCAGCAGAAACGAAACGTGCAAGAAATGTGATTGATAAATCACACAAAGGATTGATTGCTGTCTGTTGTAACAAATACTTAGCGCCACAAGATTTTTTCACCCATTTGAGTATGCACACCTTTCAATTTTCGTGCCAACAATGCAATGAAACAAAGCCGAACTTACCTACAATAGAAGAGGCAGCACAACACGACATGATCAAACACAATACAGAAAACTCGTTGGGAAAACGCTGCCGTTCACTCAATCGTACATTGCGAAAAATGTTCATCCGCACAAAAGTATTCTACGGGAATGGTGTAGTTCTCTACAAGGCCAATTTGTTCGGAACCCGTCAAGATGATATGGAAGTTTTTGAGAGTTACCTTAGCACCAAAAACCAAGATCACGCCAACAGATTCAACACTTTGCTGGAAACTAGCAGCAACTCAACTAAAAATGACTAATACTTACAGTTTTGTTTACATTTATTGATCTATTTTGGTTTCTCCATTTTTTTCCAATTTTTTTTCTGGACAAGTCGACATCCTCTTTGAAGAATACCTATCATTCCACAAACAAACCATTCACAGCTGCAACGGTGAAAATTTATTGTAATCATTTGATAACGCTCATGAAGAGCGGATTTTTTTTTCTATGTATCCAACATGTATTGTAGACAATACGCCTAAGAAAGCGATTACATTTTTTCAAGTATCAACTCACGAATAAAACCATCGAAATATTCACGTCAATGATTTTTGTTAACATTATTAGTTCATTTGGAGCGTAAATTCATCATTTGAAATGGTAAGTGTTGCTCAAGTGGCAAAGGCGACACGAGTCTTTATTGCTGCATTCACGAGAAAGGTGATGAAGAAAACCCCGAAACAAAGTGTGTGATGAAAAGAAACAGCTCAACTTTCTTCTTGCTCAAGTGTTGTCTAAAGAAACAAATATCGCACATAGTAACGGTTTGTTCTTGGGAAAAAAACGACAATTTACTGCCAATATTTTGAGTGGTTATTGATGGCATTTGACCTGGAGATAATTACTATGTGTGAAATGCACTACAACGAAGTATGACATTTATGGCATATCATATTCTTAAGCGACAGCCATATGTGATGAAATGAGGGTTTGTTTCTCACTTACTCTGTTAACATTGGCAAAATCCATAACATATTCGGATGTATGTGTGTATTACATTGATACGAGGGAAAAACCAGACAAATTCAATGCAGATATGACATTGTTTGTAAGAAAAAAGTACGCTTGAGTTTGAAGTAACAAGACTGTCTGGTTACCACATGTCAAACTGCATTTACATAGAATAAGATACATTCTAACCATTCATTCCGCAATGCAACACAAGAAATTTACGCAATGAAGCTATGGCCACATGTGATTCAAAAGTAAAAAAGTATACTTTCTCTTGTTTTAGTTGAAGAAAGAAGTTTTTTCGGAAAGGGTTCAATGGAACGTTTGGTATTTTCTTTGAGTCAAAAACTAATGGAATTTATGAGATTTATCAAAGAGCAATTGAAAAGTTAAAGCCGATTCCACGAAACTTGAAGCATTTTTTTTATTTTCTTTCAAATAATAAAAAATAGAATCAATTGAGCCGATGTTTCCAATAAGAGCCGAAACATTGAGTTTGATTATGAAATACTATTCTTGAATAGATGACCGTAGAATCAAGTAGCAAGCGCCATCTATTGAAAAGGCGTGTAAAATTGGCTTACGTTCGTGCATTGTGGCTTCTTGTTTGTGACCGTGTCACTGACACATTGAAATCAAATGGATCATCTACAAAGTAATATAGTATTCGACAGTGTGTATGGGCGAAGCGCAGAACCCGTGAAACAGAAGAGATCAGTTATAGCAAGACCATTCTGCGAAGCGCACGAATTTTTTTATCACGATCGAAATTTAATGGAAAATTAACTTTTTAATTTTCCATTTATTTTTGATTTCTTTGGTTCTTATTATTCTAAAAATATAATGTAAGTAAATCCCAAGCAGGTTTTTTGTTTTCTACAAGAAAAAAAAGAACAATTCAATGAGGGAAGGATAAACCAACAGTGCGAATATAGAATAAGCTAACCAGTTTAGGATTGGTTTGAATTTTTTTTTTTCTTGCGACGCCATTTTATTTCTGTCTGTATATTTCTTTGTTCATCCAATTTTTTGGTAATTGAAAGAATTGAACACTTTTTTTGGGTGAAATAATTGGAATTAAGTCGCAAAAAATCAAAATCGAAGCGTTTCATTTTGATGAAATTTGAAAGTTTCATTGGCTGAAAAAAAAATGTGTGTATAATTTTTGGTCGGGTGGATGATTCATCGAATCATTGAGACATATTGTGAAATGAAAAAAAGTGAGCAAGGTTTGTGTGATGACGTCAACAATGTGTTGCCAGAGCGGAGAGATGTGACTTCGGGCGTGGCGCGACAATACTAATACGACCTTGCAGAAAGAGTTATTCATGCATCAACTGAAAGTTCGCAATCGTTTAATGATGAAGCGACTGGAACGAACAAAGTTTGCAATATGATATTGGTGTTATTAGGCCAATGCATTGTATGTACGCTTTAAACGGCCATCGCAAATAAAAATTAGGGCAATACAGATCTTAGATGAATTCAACATGTGTGGAATCGAATAAACATCTATACACCTAGACGCAATGGGAGAATGAATGTGTTATCTGAAAATTATAAAACGTGTCCGAAAATTCCACTGCAAATGGTGATAAGATGATAAACCAATTGACTTTTCGAATTAATAAATGTGATTGATAACACTTGCTGAATCGAGATGATAAATATAAAAGGAACAAATTGGAGTAGCAGATAGTGTCGCCACTGCTATGGAAATGCAACCAACGAAAGACTGTTCATGCAACATCAGAACTTCAGAGATAATGCCGGGGAAATGTGGGAACCGCTGCACCAACAACATGAATCGTAAATGGAAGATATTCAGCAAATGATGCTCTAGCGGCATCTATACGGTAGAGTTTGGAAATTTGATTAAATGATTTCGTCACAAGGTTTACCCAAATATTAGAAATGGTATTTGTCAAAAATGGCATTTCAAACGTCATTCATGATTCATGTTAGTGAACTTCCGATAGGGACAAACAAAACTCTGAAAGGTTTTGGATCTGCTGAATATAATAACATTGTGCTTCACAGCGTTGCGCTGCACATTCGATACGATTGCAACCAACTTCAACATGTATACTTGAATATGCCCAAACTAGCCATCCAATGCCTGAGAAAAAGAGAAAATGAATTCTTCTGTGCATCAATTGAGACCAGAGACCATGATCCAGAGACTCTTCCTAGCATCGGTAATCAAGCATGTACGAACGAAGCAGCTGGATTGAAGCAGCATGCCCACCGAAGTCTAGTGTCGAAATCATTTTTATTCGAATTAGTTAGGTTGAGGAACTAAAGAGTTAGGTTAGAATCAGGTGACAGAAGAAAAAAAAGAATGGAATACAAGTGCACCGCTATCATTTTTATGGAAAATCTTTGAATCGATTACACTTCAAACTTCCATAAAGAACTAACAGCGATGTATCTCCTAATGAATAGTTGCTATATGCTGCCTTTCCTTAGTAGAGACATCTGCCGATTTCGTTCAGGCTTGGGAAATTCGTAGAAACAAGATTAGTAAGGATATATCCAATGGGTAACAGCATTCTGTCAATCGTATGGAAATACGACAACAATTTGTCTGCATCCAACATAGTTAGTTTTGTGATTCTAGTGGCGCTGCAATGCTCAAGTATGTTACTGTATTCGAAGAAGATCCACACAAAAGGGAATGAAAAATTTTCGTTATGATTTTTTTCTATTGAATTTTTTTGAATGTATTTTATATTACAAAAACGACTACTGCGGCGCTGCGAACGTTTTGACAGGTATAAAAGTCAATTGTTAGCAGGCATTGGATATATCATCTGGACGCCCAAAATGATGACCACTTGCAAGACATGGTAGTTAGTGTGGGAGATAATATTTTACAAATTTTTTCGGTTTCATGAATATTGATGATTTCAAGAGCATATGCAAAGAAAATCGTAGTTTCTCATATTTGATAGAGTTTGGGAAGCTGGCTTATAGCCCAAAATCTTCAAGTCACATTTCAAAGGCCATAATCAATTGAGTTAGTAAGTAAGTAGTTTTTTTTTCCTGAAAAAATGGTCAAAATTTGCATTGCAAAAGCATTTGATTCACGCAAAAGCACTCATAGAACATCACAAACTATTGATTTTCAATGGGATGTCACAAAGACATATGCATATTTCTTGCGATGACACATTTAATTAAAAAAGTGCATATTTAAATTCATTGTTGAAATTTCGCATACATAATTTGCCACGGTCGAATAGCTTGATTCTGCCTTAAGCGCGTTTTACACATATTTAACCGTTCCATGAAGAAATTTCCGTCTATAAACGTTTGCGACCAATTCAGTACAATAAAAATGATTTTGCTGTGCATTTGAAACACAAAACCGTATACAAATAGAGAGATAAAAGCCACGTTGAAATTGATAATGAACAAGGACCAGTAAAAAAATGTAAATATATCACCGACTCTCGCATCGTATCTCGGTACAAAAAATCGGAGTGTTGACGGTACGTAAGAGAAGAAAAACGCGATCGGGGAAAAAAAGTATTCGACTTTCATTCAAGTTAGTGCCCATGTAAATAACAAATATGCAAGAGAAAGATAGAAAGAGAAAAAGAAATGAGGAAAGGAATAAAACAAAAGTCACCAAAGCTACATTTTGGCTCGCGTACAAAATTAGAAAATAAAGAAGTAAGCATAAAGTAGAATGGAAGAGTTATTAAAAAGAATAAGAATTGAATGCGACGCAAAACTTCGAGCACGACGTAATACCAAGCAAGAGGTTAAAGTCAGACTGAATACTTTTGACGGAATGAACGCGTGCTTAGGCACGATGATAGACTATGTGAAGCAGGCGATACGGCCATCTGGTGAAAAACGAGTGGAAACTTCACATTCAGATGCGACTGAGAACGGGAGTGAGAGTGAGATGGATACGAACAACAAACAAAAGCAAGACTATCTATCACGCGGCAAGCGATCAAGTGTGTGCATACACATTCACACACAACGGTCGTGTGAATTGACAACAAATGTATACATTGAAGAGCGGCCCGGTATATTATATATTGAATCTCGCCTCATTCGTTCGTACGTATGTTGGTGTGCATCATAGAGTCAGTAGCATAGCGTGCAAACGACGAGTGACAGATGAGCGCTGAACGAAAGAACATACAATTCAATGTAACAGCAATATGAATTTGTGATTTTAGCAAAGACCAAATCGATTTTTTCTCACTTTTCAAACAAAAATTCCAGTTTGTTTGACAATATTCTCGATTTGGAATATCATTGAAATTGTATAAAAACGAAAAGTTCTGTGATTTGGTTGTTGAATAAGTGAAAATTCTTAATGAAACGAATTATCGGTGGGAAATCGAGTGAAAAATATTAAGTGAATAAATACCAACCATCCTTTCACATAATGGCAACCATTGTATGAAATTTTTGGTTCATTACATTGCGTTTGTTTTATGTGCTGTTGTTTTTCTTTCTTCTCGTACACACACACAACAAATGAATGGTTGAATTTTTATTTAAGCACAATATTTTTGGTTGTAGACAAAATAAAAGATGTGATATCAGTTTCTATGATTTTGTATGAGTTTTCTTTGGCTTAATTCGATTTGGCTGACAAATGAAAAAGTACTTTTGTATGATTATTGTAGATGTTATGGTTTCGATACATGAATGGGTGACACAGTGTGAATTGGAGAACATTGAGAATCGCGTGCATAAACATTTAGTTTATACTATTTACAGGCATATTCTTTCTGGAATATTTATTCGTTGGAATGAGAATTCTCTTAAAATTCAAAGTGAAAACGACAGAACACAATAAAACACGTTCCATAAACGCATACGAACAGTTTTTTCTTTCAGTTTCCATGCAAATACCTCAGTTTATTGGAAACAAGGTTACAGTTTCAGTGAATTTTGACTTTAATGTATGTGTGCTAGTGACGGGTGTTGTGGCTGAAAATGTTTCAATGCATTCATATAGCACACACACACATCATTCATGTGAAATTCCTTAACAAAGTAGCTCAAAAACAAATAAGTCAAGTGCACTGATGTATTCTGCACATGCAACATCTCTTTCATAGACGTGCATAGTGCCCATCATGCAAAAAATATTGTTTTTAAAAACTCATTGTTCGTACTTTCTTTAATTGAATCATCACCCATGTGCTTGTGCACTCAGTATTTTGTTTTAATGTTAGTACGTAGTGTTAGCAGCAGAAATACAATGAAAATTCAATTTATCAATCGATTGTTTTTCTCTTCAATGCATTTTCAACCAACAGACGTGTATGACACATAAATAGCCGGGATGGAAGAGGCGGTGCATAAGTTCGAAGCACTACAAAGATATATTCCATTTTTGGAGCGATTTTTGTTGTCGATCAAGGCAAAGGCCGATACAAAAGAGGATTTGGCCAAAAAATATGACAAAGCTGATCAATTGCTCACTATTCTGAAACTCGGTTTCAAAAGGTAAACACGAACAGAATTGAAGTTGCAATTTTATTGAAAAAAAATTTTCTCACATAAATTAGAACCCTTTTCATTGCCTATTTATAGAAAATAATTTGCAACGCCGTTTTTTTTCCTCTTTCAGCAAATACAAGGTGCCGTTCTTGGAAAATATTGAAAAAGTTCTGGAAGGATTGTGCACTGTATACACACGAAAAATCATCTCCAATGTGAAATTGGAGAAAGTCGAGCCAGTTGACTCGATCAAAATGGAAAACGATTTTCAATCGCCTGAAAGTCCACCCTCTATGTATCAAGACTTCAAAAGCGAGAGAGAACCGATTACGATTCCAACCGAGCGCCGAGATAGCAACAACTATTTTTATGATACTAAGCCAAGTACCTCAAGGATCGTCGACAGACATGATGATTATAAACGGCACAATGAACGCAGGCATCGTGAAAAAAGCCTAAGCCGCAGCCGGAGTCCCAGTTATGAAAGACCGAGTTATGAACGATCTAGTTATGATAGACCTAGTTATGATAGAAGAGTTTTGGATAGGAAAAGATATCGATACAGTCGAAGCCGTAGCAGAAGCCGAAGTCCAAGCAGAAACCGTGATAGGAGGCGTTCGAGGAGTCGAGAGAGACGAAGAGAACGTACACGCAGCCCATCTTATCGTCGAAGAAGTCCAGAACACCAAAGAAGATCAAAAAGTCCACATTATCGACATCGCCGAGATGAGCGAAAATTTGACAGGGACCGTGATTATCAATCATCGGAATACGGTCGAAACAACAGTGATTCCAAGAAATACGTTAAGATGGAAAATGATTTCGACTTCAAAAGAGAATCAAAATGGCATGGCGGTTCGAGCATCAAACAAGAAAGTCATAATCGAAGAGACAATCGGGATGAACCAACCGTAGCATCGAGCCGATACCCCAATCCGTTAAGTCGTTTTGCATCATCAACATCAACCTCTGATCGGTACGTCACTTCGGATAGTATAAAGCACGAAAGCGACAAAGATTCAGACAAAAATCTAAATCGATCAAAACCACACCCAACGATAAGCCGATTTGGTGGCCGTGGAATGAGCTCGGTTGAGGAATCCGATATATTCCGAGACACAATTCGGGACGAAAATATCGACCAACTGGAACGAATAACATATGGCATGTTTGGGCGAACAGAAGACGCCGAGAAAATCGCAAAACATATGCAAGATTTGGATGTAATTGCTGACTTGCGTAAAAAGGCCATTGATTTGACTGATCAGACACTTGAGAAGGATATAATTGGTCAACTCGATTTCGGCGATGAATTTGATGAAGCAGAAGAAACGGTACCGATTCCTAGTAGCACCGAACCCGAACCTCCAATTCAATTGAAAAGTCCAAATGAACACCGTAATGAAACACAAAATGCATTTTGGAATGAAAATCGACACGAACCACCTCGCAATGAACCACCACGTAATGAACCACCTCGCAATGAACAATTTCGTAATGAAACAACGCGGAATGAAACTCGCAATGCTGGGTGGAATGAATTGCGAAGCGAGTTTCGAAGTGGCAAAGACAGCCACATTGAAAACCGACCAGATAGTCGAATCAATATTCGTGATTTCCGAACGGTTAATCGAATCGAAAATTCTGATGACAACCAAAGACCACCAGTTCCGATTTCATCAACAATACCAGCTCCAGTCGCAGGAATACCGCATCCAATTCCAGGTCCACCGCAACCAATTCCAAATACGGCTGAAGAACGAATCGCATTATCAGACAAATATCAACGACGAAAGCGAAACAGTAATTCCGGTGCAAATACGGGTGACATCAATCAATCGCCACAGCCAAATGATCAAAATGCATCGCAACAACCGCAACAAGATCCACGGCTGCGTAATCGTCCAAATGCATGCACGATCACTTCTGGTGCAAGTTTAACAGAGCAATTTATTTCATATGGAAATCTACCGCCACCTCCACATCCTCCATCGTTTGGTTCGAATTTCAACCGGAATCACCCGCAAACACCCGATGTTTGCCCACCTCAACAACAGCGGCCGTTCTTCGGTGAACCATTCCCCAGCCCTCATCGGCCACCGCATCCGCATCATCTAAACATGGCGCCATCGCGGCCTGGGCAGCACATGCATTCACCGTCTAACAGTTTTAGTCCAAACATTGGCTTTGGTGCGAATGCCATGCAACCGAATCCACGCAATAACCCATTCCATCCAAACTCAAATACACACCAACAGCAGCAGCACAATTATCATCATCAAGATAATCGGCCACGTGAAACTTATGGCGAACACAAGCGCCGAATGCGTGAATTAGAAGAACAAAGGAAAAGGTCTGCCACATTTGTGTCGAGCACGACTGCTCGAAACACTGCCAATGAACAAAGTAAAGAGCCACCGAATCACGAATCACCCACACAGAGTCCAAACCAAATGGATAACACGCAAGCTAAAGACGTTGAAAAAGAGAAGACTTCACCAAGTACTGCCAATAAGCCACATAACAAAGTCGATAACGCATTTCGCAGTAATAATTGGGAGGCTTTGCCACAGTCAAAATCTGGTAATTCATTTAAGATTCCAAAATTGAACAGATCCAATTCAAATACGAGCACAACACGTACGTCGACCGGTGATTCTAAAGGCGATTCACCCGAAAATAATGTTTCAACGTCAACCAAAACATCAAAAGTGTCCAAGCCGTCAAATGATTCGAGTAGTAAAGATCCGCGCGTGGTTCCAAAGAAAACGCCGGAATCATCCAAAAATCGCAAAACTTTGTCAGACTCCAAAAAATCAAATAACAAGAAGAGGGATACAAAATTACCCGAAAACGATGCTCAAATTCATGCTGACACAACGATTCTGACGGAAACGGAGCAAACGCCAGAAGAACCAGCAAACGTATCGGAATCACAGCCAGAGCTGATCAAACAAATACCTGAAGATTTACTAAAGGTGCTACAAAATATAGCTGGTCCTAGATTTGATGCAATAAAGAATATTCTCGGACAAGATGCTGTGCCAAACGATGATGCGGTGACTAGTTCAACGCAACCAGCACAAACCAATGCGAAAACCGATACATCGGATAAATCAAAGGCCAATCAGCCGAGGGCGGAAAACGCCAAAGTGCCGAAAAAACCAAAGAAACATCATTCGAATGAATTGGAACGGCTGAATGCCGACATTCGCGAGAATATTCCAGATGTGTTGCATGCAACTGGACGACGAACATGCACATTAGGCCTCCAAAAAAGCAATGACAATTCACCGACAAAAACACCGAAAAGTGTGGAAAAGCCAAAAGCATCTGGACACAAAAGCGATGATGAAACTCAAAGTGATATCGGTGAGTTGGTTTCTGGTTTTGTTTCCATCGTTGTTATTACAATTTGATTTAAATTTCAAGTTTTGTGATTTTTTTACTTCATTTAAATGATCTTTTTTTAATTCATTTTTCCAGAAAAACCAAAACGCATTGCTCGCAGACGTAACACCACAATCGATGCACGGCCGATTGTATTTGATTATGATGGCGATGAGACTCCTTCAGAGAATACCGAAGCTCAACCGTTGACAAATCGTATCACACGTCGTCGGAATACGGTTCGCGAGGTAAATAAAATGTTAAATGATTTCATGATCATTTAGAAATAATATAAATAAAACCCTGTGTTTATTTTACAGTCAAGCCCATGTGTGATTGAGTCAGAAGAAGAAAATGAAGAAGAACCAGTTAAAAGTAAGCCCAACAAACCGGGTCCAAAAAGTACTAAGAAAGATGCAACGCAAACGGAACCATCAACGGAAGATCAAGCGCTAGCGGCTAGCCTACCGAAGTGCACGGTAGTTTTGGAAACGGTGAATGTATCAAAGGAGATGAAGCGTATAACTCGATCGAGCAAACGCAAAGCTGAACAGTTGAATTTGAGCAGCGAAGGAAGTGAGTCTACTGTGGAAAAGGAACAACCGGATGTTGATGATAGCTCGACTGAACCAAAACGACAGCGAATCGATATTCAAAACACCGACAAAACGATGACCACCAAATCAAAACGATGTCATTTTTGCGATAAAAATTTCCAATTCCTTTCCAGTCATTATGCCAACATGCACGAAGACCATGAGGTGTACAGTGCCCGAATGTCAGCTAAAAACTCTGAGAAAGTACGACGATTTCCGCCCAAAAATGCCGCATATCGAAATGCCAAATTCACAACGCATTGCTACTATTGTGAGAAGGATGTAACCTATGAGCGTTCCAGATTGATTGCTCATTTCATTCGGCACACCGGCGAATTCACGAGAAACTGTACAAAATGTGGAATTAAATTGACGGCAAACACCGATATGAAAAACGATGGGTGTGTCCATGCGGAAAAACTGTCGCCAATGGTTGATTTCGATGACACACTTTATGTGTACATGTGCAATTTTTGCAATTACACACAGTATCAGGAGGAGAATATGAAGAATCACATTCGCAATATGCATCAAATTAATCTGAATGTTACAGGCCAATATACCAAAATCGTTCTTATTCCAAACTTGACTGGATCAGGAAGAGGCCGAACTGGTCGACGGCTTCCATCCACGAGCGAATCAGAATCGGTGGCCCACTCCGAAGAATTGGTTAATCAAGATGTGTTCAAGCCATCAAATCAAGATGATGACGTTCTTTCCGATGCCTACAAACTCATTCAAGAGAATTCATTCAATACTTTGGACACAGTTAAACCAGCAACAAGTGGCACTTCAATTGCTGATCGATTGCGTGAACGCTTCAAAAAGCAACAAGAAAATCCGAGTGCACCGGTTGTCAAAGAGGAGGCAGTCGATGCGCACGAGATTGTCTATCGTTCTCCCGATGAGATATCCAAGAGTGTTGAACAAACGGAAAAGGAAACGGCTCGACCCAATCCACTTGTTGATGGTGACGTTATTGAGAATGGATGCAAAATCGAAGTGAATAAAACGGAAGCCAATGCGTCTGGCATTCAGCCGATTGATGTGGATGATGCTGACGATTGGGAGAGTTGCTCCGACGAAGATGGAGATGAAGAAGAGGATGTTTCACCACACAAATCACTCAACAATAGCTTGAGCCGCTTAATAATGATCAAACAAAAGACCAACAAAGGGCGAATGCGATCTAAGAAACGAGGCGATAAATCAATATTTTCCACATTGAAAAAGGAAAAATCGGATGAAGTCATCGATTTGGAGAAAGAAATCAAAGACGAAAAGTCACCAGAGAAATCAATCTCTGATATCTCAATTCGGCCCGTTCAGGCGGATCAAAAACGTGTTGATAACATTGCTTATTCAGAGTATTTGGGACAACAAAAATTCCACTGTTTCATTGGCAATTGTGATTATATGTCGATAAATAATACGAAATCCCTATCGAATCATCTGCGACAGAAGCACGGAACGGAACGTTGGAATGGCAATTGTTATGCTTGTGAAAAGCAAATTATGAATCTTGGAAACTATTCGTTGATGAAGGAATTCGATCATTTGATGGATATTCATGTTCCAAATAATAATCCTGCACCGAAGCCAATTGTACATGTTCCAGAACCGCCGAAACAACCGGTTGAAGCTGAAAAACCAGTCGAACCCCCACGTACACCGATGATCAGAATCCGTCGACTGTCTGGTGATATACTGTCCGGTGGAATTGAACAAATAACACCAAACCCTGGTTTGATACAGCCCCAGTCACAGCCACCGCTGCAGCCAACAATGCCCACCATTTCGAGTGTTAGTTCGATACCAACGACTCAATTTGCCACATCGGATGACGCGGTAACAAATAGTGATAATCATTTGAAACCCTGGACGAATGGTGAGAACACAAAAAGTGCACGGGCCGAGCTGAAACTGAAGCGAGAATGTTCATTGGTTGCACTGTTCAAGTGCATGGCAAAGGATTGTATATTCACAACATCAGACAAAGAAAAAATGTTGGAACATTTGTCCAATCATGAAGACTTTATCATGCAGCAAGCGTCTTATGGTAAAAATCATAGCATTCAAGACCACAGCAGTTGGCTCGAGTGCTGCTACTGTGAAGAGATCGAGGGTTCATGCAGTATACTGGTGGATCATATCATTAACGAACATGCAACTAGCATATTCCAGTGTCCATATTGCTTCTATCGTTCAGTTGACCGGGGCAATGTTAGCTCGCATTTGAAGCAATACCACAGCCACGAAGATGAAAAATATATTCTGGTCTGTGGAACGGAAACAAAGGGACTAACCAATGAAATTACGGATATCGTGCGTGTACAGCATGAGAGAGTCCAGATGGTTCGATGCCCTGAAGCCGGTAAGTCAATATGAAATGATATGATTTTTGACTCGTCGTTGACTCTTCAAATTTAGTTCGTCGAAGCTTCAAAAATGAAATGTTTAAATTAATAAATCAACTTGATTATTTTCAGAGTGCAATGCTACATTCGTACATTTGTTGGATTTGAATCAACACTTTCGAAAACAACACAGCGATAAAAGCTTCTACAACTGCAACATATGCTCGAAAACTTTGAAGAAATCTCCAAACGGCGGTGATGTTGATACAAAGCATTTACATGAGCATGGATTTAGTTTGTGTCACTGCGCTTATTGTTCATACTATTGCACTGATACCTCATCGATGCACACTCATTTACGTGACGAACATCCGACAAAATTGCCTTATTCATTCGTTCGCATACGAAATGGTTCGCCAAACACCCAACGACAACCATCAATCGCATACTTTGGCTACAATGATAATCATAAAGACGGTTTAGTCTGTTTACCATTGACTGAAACACAGTTGAATTTTATGAACCCATCACTGTCTGAATCCATATTCAATTCCGGCGATCCACCTGGCGATGATGATAGTGAGCCGTCAATAGTCGCTGTTGATAAAGCCCAATTTAATAGTGCACGAAAATTGGATGAATTTGAAACGGCACAAGCTAGACAACAATATTACATCAAGCCAATCGATGCAATAACAACGGTTAATCGAGTACCGGTCAATGATGAATCAACGTTTGCTATTCCAAGTACGTCCAATGAAAATTTGGTCACAACTGAATACGATGCCATGATGCAACGTGAAATTGATTTATCGGCGAATACACTGCTGAATGAGACGGGCGTTGAAAAAAATGATCTGTATCGCTGTGCACACGAAAACTGTACCTGGGTGAGATCGGACGAACGTGAATTTTTGATGCACTTGTCTCAACATCAACGCGAAGGTGCTAACGTATTCACGTGTTTCCATTGTCACAATTCGTATCCACTGCCAGTGGATTTGAAGAATCACATCAATGAACACTTGAAACATCGTTTCTTCTGTTTCTACTGCGATGTAACAACAGGAACGCAACAAGTAATGGACGATCACTTTGCAACGAGTCATCGTAACCAAGACACACATTACTTGCCGCTGAATCCACTCAAGTACGAGTTGACAACTGATACTTTTGTCGCTTGTCCGAGCGATACGCAAGCGATCAACGATTTCATTACACGTCTTGTGAATCGTTTCATGGAACAACGAGCAGCTAAGAAAGCATACATGCCAGAAGAGAGTGAGTCGTTGCCACACCGTTCTGTTTTTCCCCATGAACTTCAGTGCGGCCGGTGCGGTTACTCGAACAAAGTGCGAGTCAATCTCGTGCGACACTTTAGAAACGGGTGCAATGAGCAACAGGCGCCAGTCAATCCAGTGCCATGCTTGAGCTCGAACGAACGACATTTTGATAAAATGAAAAATTTGGCGGCGAGCTCCAATTCATCAAGCATTGAATCAGGCATCGGCAAGTATGTACCCGAGGAAAAACGATTCGTTTGTGGGGCGAAATCGTGTCGATATCAATCAATGTCAGCGGAAATGCTGCAAAAACACATTGTAACACTACACGAATCGGATACATGCTTTGGCTGCCCACATTGTGGTGAAGACTTAAGCCATAGCACAACGGCTACCGAAATACTGAACCATTTGCGATACCATGATTCAAAGATTTTCAAGTGTCCACACTGTCCATTCATTCACTATCTTAAGCCCCAAGTGGAACGGCATATCAGCGAAAATCATCCGACTTCAAAAGATCGTGCCATCACATTGGAACGGCCAGCAAAGAAGGTTGAACCGGTGAAACCGGCCGCTAAATCAATAACATACAAATGGTCCTGTAATATTTGTTCGAAAATTTTCAATACACGTGCTCTGGTGAAGGCCCATCTTGGTGATGCTCACCGTTTATCATGCCAGTTCAAATGTTCCATTTGCTCATTCTCGCACGACACAAAAGCCGCCATTAAGGAACATTTAGCCGCGGAGCATCGTGAAAACGATGCCACCAAAATCAAAAGCCATTTCGATCGAGTCGAGAGTGAAGCTGACAATACACCCATTTGGCGACGTGACGATCCGACTCGGGTAAGTTTTGGATCATGAATTAATCTCATCTATTTTCATTCACCTACAAATTGCTTCTTTTTAATATTGAAACACGAACAAAAAAAAATCATTTAAAACAAATTCCACTTTATTGCACCTAATCATTATTTTAATTTTGCCATCACTCATCATTCTCATTCAACCTATCTGCACGTTATTATTTTTTTTTGTTTTTCTCTCGTATTTCTATTATTTTCGTTATCGTATTTTATTTTATTTGTAGATAGAGAAGATGTAATATGGCGCAATCAAAATATATCTAACCACGACGATAAAAATGCAAATCATTTCGCAATTCAATCAAACAATTGTTAATCTGATTCCTTTCTGGCATCAAAGATGAATTTTTTACTATTTGACTATAAAAAAAACAACGAAGAAAAGAAAAAAAAACCAAATCCAAAAAAATGCTGTACTTTGCAATACGAACGAATTTATTTCTGGAAGAAAAACTGATTGTGAAATAAAAAGAATTTGTTGATTACTTGAAAATAAAAAGCAAACACAATTGTCATCAATTTGTATGCACTTTGCACTCACACACTTTATCCACTACCATAAATAATAGCCACAAATGCACAACGTCGCAAGCCCACTCTCTCTCTCTCTCTCGCTCGCTCTCTAGTACTCTTCTATGTCTCAATCAAACAACAAACCATTAATATATTTCAGGTTAAGCACATACGAGGCATTCTATTTGATGATGCTGAAAAATCGGCGGGATCTAAGACAAAAGCCCAATCGAAAAGTAAGAATCAATCGATTCATTTGGAAATAAAACCCATTCAATTTTTAAAGCCAACCACCACGGTTGCAACCAATAAGAAAGCGAAATTGACACAGGATGACTCCGCAGTTACATACAAAATATCAACAATAGAGCCTTTGTCGAATAACAAAATTGTTCAGCAAAAGTTTAGTGTTGTTGCCCGCTCCACCAGCAATGAGTAAGTTGATTCGAAAAAATAAAGGATTTCGTTTATTTTGGGTACTTTTTTTTTCTAATTGTTTCACTAATTTTCAGAAGTGATCGTTTCATGATTCTACCACCGAAGGAGAGTGTCGAAGAGGAGGTTCGACCAAGGCCGGCTAGTCTTCGACAACAACCGAAACGTCGTTTTTCCATGTACATTCCGTCACCATTTGAGACGCAGCCATCGACATCAACAGCACAACCTCCGATTTCATTACGTTTGAAACGTGTCAGCGACCCAGTGTCGGACGAACAAAAAATGCCACCGCCAAAAGCAATTAAACTGATGCCGATGAAAAAAGTGGAAAAAGTCGATTTGTCGGCATTGAATTTGATTTACGTGTGTAACTACTGCCAATTTCGAATCGATTCGTTTGAGAAAATCCACGCGCACTGGTTGTCAAATCATAAGAAAGGTGACAACAACGATCCAATTGCTAAGCGTTTCTGTTACCGTGTCACACAAACGGTGAAGTGCCTTTTGTGTCCGGCAAACGTGACATTCCAAACGATTCGTACGCACATGGAAAAGACTCATCCACATTGTCAATATGCATTCGGCAAATACGATCGAGGGGTCAACGATAAAATACAATGTGGTATATGTTCTACAAACGCACCGGATGTGACTGCCTTACAAAACCATTTCCGAATGAATCATCCACAAAGCCAACGGTCTGACATGAAAATCGAACCGTTGCCCATACTCAATGATGCCATTTTGGAGGCGCTGTTGCAGCAAGGTGATAGTGGTACATTTAAATGCAGTTATTGTTGCAAACACTTCCCATGCCGTTATGACTATGAACAACATCACAATGAAGAGCACGGCTCGAATCGGCCAAAGTACGAAACCAACGGAAAAGATGTCATCAAATACGGTTGCCACTATTGTCGCGATATTTATACGGATGAAAACATGGCGATCGTTCATTTGCGCAGCCACATTCAACAGTGGTTCCAATGTACGCATTGCCCCAAGAAAGTGCAATATATCAAATTAATTCAGACTCACTATCAATTGATGCACGAAGGCAAAGAGTTTGGCTATCGACTTGTCAACGCACGCGACAATCTAAATCTATTCTATCAAATGACGCTGACGTTTTCGAATGGCCTGGCTCTGATATGGGGCGATGTGTTAAATACTAAGTATGGTGGAGTTGATCGTTTGGTCAAATATATCAATGAACTCAATGAGGAACAACGTCGCAAACAAGAGAGCGCACTGGGCACATCCACATCAACGGCATCGCCGGCATTGCAAAATGTTGGAAAAATTTGTCGACGTCGTCAAACCCTTTTGTAAATAGTATTACTACACCACATCAAATTCATGTACCAAAATCCCACAGAACAAAAAAAAAACAAACAAACAAAATAGATTTGTCTCAATGTATTAATATATGAGATTTTAATTCATGTCACAATCTCTAAACTATAGTTCGATAGGCTATGGAATAAGTTCCCCTATTAAGCATATATTTTCAACGAAATAGCATTTTGTATAAAGAATGTAGCAAAGAAATGAACTAAGTTTGAATTTTTGTTTGAAACACACATTTATACACAAAATATGCACAAAAAGCGAATAAACAAAATTTCTAATCTCAAAACAGAAACAATTACGGAAAGAATACAGCCGAAAAATGAATTCATTTCTATTTCGTTTAATTAAAGTACAAATTCGATATATTGTAAAAAAAAATGCCCACAAAATATGACAGTTTGTGGCTTATTATTATTGAATTTTTGTGTGTTTGGCAAAACAAATCTTAAGACGAGACAAACAGAGAGAGAAAAAAACATTGGCGGATCATTGGAATTTGCTCAAATGATTGGTATTTGGTAAGCATTCCAAAATCCGCTCCATCATTTGGCATGGACCTACATCGACGTTTTTCTTCATCACCAAATTCAACGGAATCGTATAATTCTGGCCCAAATACATAAGCAAAGATAGAAAAAAAATCTCGTTTTTGTCAATTATCCGTCAATAAAAATTCAAATAAAATGTTATTCTAATGACATGCAAAAAAATGTGTTGGTGTTTTGAATATTTTGTTTTCCTTCTTCTTCTCGATCGTTTTTTTTTTTCATCATTGTTTATAGCAATGCATAGCGAAGAGGTCAAAACTTTAAGACCATATTTTATGTGATTGCGTTTACCAGTAGCACAACCGATGGGATTTGTATAAGTATTTTTTACGAGCCTGCTTCAAGGTTGGACATTCCGACACTCTTTTCTCTAGCCAAACAAAGCACCGACAAAGAGAAACATCGCAAGAATTAATATTTGATGAAGAAGAAAAATTGAACATAAAAATTGAAAGTCGAATTGCCGCGAATTCCATTCGCAAAAATGTGTAAATGATCATCAACGTACTAAAATGAGCTCAAAGAACCAGAGAATGAAGTAGAAAAGAGTCGTTGTATTGATTTGGTTACATTGGCCCATGATTGGTGGTTTAATTAAAACATTTCAATTCCATTTTGGACGACCTGTTTGCCACTTCAAAATCAGACATCATAATTTGCAATCGAAAAAAAGTAAGAATGAGAAAAAGAGTCAGGAGAGAAAAAAATTGAAATTTATTGTTCATTCGTCAAAATATGACAGTTTCTAGAAGGCTCAAGAATCCACCATGTGCTCATTCCCACAATTATCGCTTTGAGAGATGTCAATAAACATCTTAAGCTTTGATTGAAGTTTCTTTTAAACTTTGGAATGACTCACATCCGAGCTATATAATGCAAATCGACTAATAAAATAATATTTTTCAAGTTTTAGATCGTAGATAGGCGTCTTCTCAAAATAGAATCAAGAATAAATCATAGTTTCTTACCTTATTCAGTGATACGCAGTTTATTTGTGTTTATTATTAGTCTCCATTTAGCAGAGTGGTCATTGGTCGTGTTTTAAATAGTATTCAAGTTGAGAAAAAAACAAGTCAATTGTATTTAAAAAAAAAACAAAACAAATAAAATACGTTTCCATTCCGCGGTGTTCCATTTGAAAATTCATGGGAACGACGTGTTTACCGGCAAGAGGAGAGAGAAAAAAAGTACGTTTCGAGAAACAAAGAATTGAATTTCAATCAAATAGGCTGATCGTTGATAACGTATTGCGTCACAGTGTCGACATGGTTTACCTAAGCTATTTAGTTTTGAATATATTTGAACAATCAAAATTGAAAAGCAGTTTAACCAGGCTAAAATAAATCCAAAGAAAAATTTTCTATCCTTGTATGCTTTTCACATGTGCACAGTAGAACAATAGTCAAATGAGTAATATATATGGAAAAAGAATTGAAAAAAAAAATTGTATGAAAAAAGATATCCTTTGTTGTCAACAAATTTTAATAGGGATTAAAAGTTACCACTGTCCAGTTAAACTCGTTGCCTACCGCAACGTTGACTACGTAAAACTATATTCAAAAATAGCTTTTGTTGTTATGGCAAAAGAATGGACCAGCACGATTGTATAGAAATGAATGCGCGGTATTTGAGCTTTGAACGAAATGCGGTTGGTCTTTTATCTGTCCAAATACGTCAAGAATCGCTAAAAATATGTGACAAATGATGTTTTATTTGTTCTCTCCTATTACCATATTGTTCACTTTACGATTTTATATTCCAAGCCATTAATCTCTTTATATCTATATCAAATGTATTGACAAATGAAGAATTATGATTCTTCATTTTGTGTTGATGTGACGCGTGCTCACGCCTTATAGTGCAAAATAGCGACTTATTGCCAGCGATCATAATTTCGGACGAAATTTTTGCGTTTTTCGCGTCGGACGTGAAATTTGAATAAATTCACGGCACACGGCATTTTGATTTCGACGAATGAATTAACATTAAAATACACACATGTATACATGTATCAATTTAGCAGGCAATGAAATAATATCGTATGAAGTTTATCTCAATTTTCATAATTCGCCCCAAGTTTTTAGCAAGAGCAAAAGGTTACAACACGATCGCAGCCGACGCCAATCAGTGAAAGACAACGTATCAAATTGATTAGACCACTTGTCCGAAACAGGCATGGTAGTGTGCGGTATGCGAGTGCTGAAATGCTTGTTCGCAAAATTAAAACCTCAATCAAGTAACACCAAATCAATTTGAGGTGCAAAACAAGAGAACAAAAAGCCGAACACCAAATTAATATGCAACTTATCGGAATGCGATTAATCCGCCAAATTTGTTGAATAAACATTTATTATTCCTAACAGTCAATTACATTATTAATTATGCGTCAGAATTTTGGTGGTAAATGGCGGCATTCTTCAAAAGCATAATGTTTTTGGCATTTCATATGAACATCCAAATTGGTATTATGACGCTGGACCGATGTGCTCATCTCCTCACTTCTTATTTTGTTGGTGGTGGTGTTGTTGTTGGTCGGTCGACCGATCGATTTCACTTTACCGAACGATCACCTTATTTTGTCGCGTTATTTTTCTTTCGCTGTCTTTGCTTTCATCGGTATTTCGTTCGTTAATAGATCACCAATTTATGTAACAAAGATCCGACACAGCTCCTCTCTTTTATTTATTGTTTTATTGCAAACTTTCAATTTGCACGTTTTTTTTTCTTCAGCACGGCAAATATACGGTTTTCTCATTTTAGTAATTTCATTTAATACCGGCCTAACTGGATTTTTGGCGGATGTGAATGTGTCGAAGACGGAGAAAAACAAGAGACGTCACAATTAATTGAGCTCCTATAATGCCGGCATTTTAATCGCATAACCCGAATAAAAATTGATTTGTCGAAGCTTCTGTTTGGGAGATTGTTGATTCCTTTCCCAATGAATATGCATATGCCATAGTAATCCACGAGAATAATTCATACTTATATATAAGGAGCTATCTAGTCAAAACAACTGCAATCAAAACGGATCAAACGGCTTAAGTCATTAACCACGTGTTTGCTTAAATTGAAAATGATCGACACACAAATATGCGAACAGATCGACAAAAGAACAAATGAACGATTTCTCCGTCTGAAATGTGCAGATGGTGACCCATGCAAACCGAGAAAGACCCGCTGCTTTATTGACGATCTAATTCATGTAGCCCATTGCCAAAAGTCGTATTAAAAGAGACATTTGCCCGGTTCAAAATCCCGAAAAATTCACAACACATTGTTCTTCGCAATTCATTGTCCTCGCAACATTGCATTTACGTCACAACGAATGAATACGTTTCGGATATCATCGTTTGATCAATCGTCGAACATTATCACCTTTGAAAACACACCTGGTTGCCCCGGAATGCAAACACTTTTTTTTGTCTCAATAAACAAAATATGTAAATTGATGGTGCCTTAGGCCAACCATAATAAACTTTATACGATTCGCGTGCACGCGCCGACAACGACGACATTTATGTGCATCGAAATAAAAATTCAAACTGACACTTCATACGATTGTGTAGATCGATGCGTCATCTCAATGGGGCGGTCATTAATAATGTTGTTGATGATTTTTTGGCTCTTTTGACAGCGGCGCGACAGTATGATTCTTTTAATTGCCAAGCAAATAATCTGTAATAAACACGAAACTTTGTGGCGAAAAAACAAAAACAACTCATTTATTCACTGTATTTGTAGCAAAATCTAAACTGAAGAGGATGAAGCACATGTTTGAACGGGTGAGGACGCTAATGGAACAAGATATTGGAAACTTTTGATTATTTAATTGAATTGGATACTCTTGATTTTCGTTATATATATTTTATCTCTTTGCTATTGATTATTCGTAGTGTTTTTATATGGCTCAAAGGATTGGATTCGATTATGGAGCAAAGTACAGGTTTTGCCAAAATTTCGAATTGGAATTGGACATCCGTCGAAGTCAAAATTTGTAATGTGATTGAAAATCAAATCGGTATAGTGTTGTTATTGTTGCACGTTGTATGCCAAATGAGATATCGATTTTGCGAAAGTCCGATCGAAAATGTCAGCTCACGCAAACTCCGTTAAGTTTCTTTCTCTCTGTCTTTCTTAAAATCGGTGTGGATTATCTTTGCTACGTTATTTACATCATCAACTTCTGTTCCAGTTCGATTTTGTGCTTATTTTCTTGTGCTCTGACGTTCTTACTCTAGAGTTGTGGGGTTTTTTCATTTTTTGGCATGTGAGGAATTTACATCCGTTCTTGGAGCCGGAAAAAACCGAAGAGTGAAGATTGAAGTCGAGGCACCGACGCCAATTCGCTCAACACATACAGATGGATGGCTGATAATGAATGCTATTGAACATTTCTACGTGTTCTTCGGATATATGGCCATATATATTTAGGTTGTTGTACCGGATTGTTTTGATTTTTACTCTTGATAATCTGATTGGATTTCACTGGCATTTATAGGCGGGTATGTAGAAGAACCATTTGCATAAAGACATTGACGCAGTGAATGGAATGTTGTTTTGATTTTTTTTTGGTATGAATAGACCAATCTAAATATAAGTATTTCGCCGGAGCATGTCATCGATGCATGCATAAGAACTAGAAAAATTCAAACTCATCTGCAACTTTCGTGGGCAGTGCGAAATGAACGATGTCTATCCATCGTTTTCAATAATATCATTGAGATTCGCCTCTTACCAATCAAGTTCCGCTTGACCTCCTTCTTAAGAGAACCTGATAGAATTTATTAATTTTTAGTTTTTCAATTTGTATTTTTGATGAATTTTAGTGACACATAGAGAGAATAAACGATATGCCTGTTTGGCAAACAGTGTTTGCATTTTGCACACACATTGGCGTACGCTTGAATATGACATCTGCAAAATGTTATCAAAATGATTAATCTTCAAATTTCGCTTTCGAAAAATTGTTAAATAATAATATTGTTTGAAAATATCGAATCTTCGCGAATGGGGAAAAAAAACGAAAACCAAATAAAAATGTGATCGAGTATAATGAGTGGTAAGGATTATACTTTGTGGAGTTTAAATGAAACACAACGTTTTTCACATCAAAAGCTGAACACTTGTTTATTTGAATAAATTCAATTCCAAACTGAACACTGATCGGAAGAAGTGAAGGCGTATTTATAACAATTCCAAACAGTGTTCTTACATTGTTTTTAGTACAAATAGATATTATTTATTGTTCTCACAGAGAAAGAGCAATTCACGTATTCTACTACAGCCACTTTCAGCTTTTGTCAGTGGCTGGAAAAATGCTTTCTTTTCTATGGAAACATTGTTTTGACAAGTGCAATGATTTTTACATTAAATCGATTCTCGATCGCACTTGCCCAATCTACTATAGTTTATATGGAGGCTCACACACTCATCGACGCATTCCTATCTCTGCTGTATTATTTTTGTTTGCACATGTGCATGCAAGTGGATTCCACTATGCTTACAATGTTATTTCCGCACGCACATGTGCGAGTAGATTTTACATAGTGTTCTGCACATTTCTATATCGTCTGAGTGAGCGGCGAGTCACCATAGCAATAGCACTAAAAATAGGGGTGATATAAACGAAGAACGCATTGGTACAAGCCGATTCGTTTATACAAGTAGAAATTGGTGAACCGGTTAGGGGGAAGTGTGCAAGAATGTCCAATACTCCAATACTATGACCTTTTTTTTCTGCGACAATCTGACGCTGAACTAATTAATTGTAAACATATGAAATGAATAAAAAGTGATAGACAGTGTTGACCATTTGATGGCAATTCTATGCAAATCACCAATATTTAATCGATGAGTATGCGAAAATCGATGGATGAAATGATTACGAATATAATTCGGCGAAATGATCAAAACATAATAACATTTTTTTTTGCTTCGCATTTCTTTCGTTCAATTCATTGGCGTCATTGAATATCCTATCATATTTCAAATCTTCGACACGTGTTTGAATTTATGATGTTTATGCAATAATTTATATCTTAACCCTTTGACGACCAGAACTGAACGGCTTGGAATTTTGCAATTCTGATTGCAGATTCGTGCTCAGCGACCCCAAAAACCTTAGTAAAAGTGTTATCAAAAATTTATTTTTTTAACTGAAAATATGAAAAAAATTATGGGACATATGTGTACAGTCAAACCAGTAGTAATTAGTTACCTTTACCGACCAATGAGACACATATGTCCCATCGCGCCAAAAGCAATGAAAATTTAAAAAAATATTTTTTTGGAGAAAAGTCGATTATTTTTAGAAAGTAACGGACATTCCGCACAACATTTCAAATCTTCAGCTTTAAAAGTTGCACCGATCAAATTATATAGGGTTTGGCGCAACTTGAAAAAAAAGTTAAGATTTTTTGACTTTGAAGTGTTCTATTTGAGCACAGTGATGATAAATTCCAATATTATGGTACTTTCTGGTAGCTACATTCATTCTCTTTCAAAAGAAACCAATTTTATCGCAATCGCTTTAGAAATGTGGAAATTATTGACGAAAAACAAAATGGGACATATGTGTCCCAAAGGTCGTCAAAGGGTTAAATAGGTATCCTGTGGTAGCATCGAAATATTTCGCAACATTAATTGGTTATTAAATCAACCAAAGCTGCTACATTCCTATGGCTTTATTTGATCGATTGACCCGTTTTGAGAACAACACAAACATACGCACGCACATTTAGATAAGAAATAGCTCTTAGAATGACAAAAAAACGCATTATGTGTGAAATGGTTGTATCCAATGGGAGCAAGAGGCAAGGTCGTCGTAGAAAACAAGGTCGTTAAAACTCAAACATCATTAAAAATTCACTCAAATCGTTGAACATCAATCAAATTCCGCGAAGTGTGTTTGAGTTATGCGAAGCATCATACGTCAAACGCAAAGCCGAATAGACATTAAAAAAAGTCTGGAGCCACATTTAGAATGGAATTCAAATGAGACCGGCGGATCTACGGAACGAAGAAAAAAAACAGTATCTGTGCCGTACGCCATGAGCCAATCTTTTTTTGTGATGACAGAAACATTCAATCATAGGACGCCATTCGCTTGCATGGATAAGCTAATTAGAGTGTATTTTCATCTCGGTTGTCTTGCTTTTGTGCCACAGACATTGTTTCTTTTTTTTTGTTTAAGTTCCGTGTTCTTTTTGCTCGTTTTACAGATTTACATTTTCGATATGTTATTAATATGTTATTGCCCGACATATTTATTATTATGTTATGTTGGGTTTTTTTTTATCTTTATAACGTTATTAAGATTTGACATAATAATAACATATTATCTTAATAACGACCAAAAAAATCGCAAAAAAAAGTTTCATGTAAAAAACATGTCAATTTTGCCAGACACATTTTTTTTCAACATTTTTTCGTCTGAAAAAAATTGACATGTTTTTTACATGAACCTTTTTTTGCGACTTTTTTGGTCGTTATTAAGATAATATGCCGATATATTATAGCATATCGGCCGTTATTATTATGTTATGTTGGACCAAATATACCGCCGTTATTATTATGTTATTAAGTATAGTTAATAATATGTTATTGCCCGTAAATCTGTAGCTCACGTCAAAGCCATGTATATGTATGTATCGAAACGACATGGATGGCGTCTGTGTTATACGCGTGCGATCGCGTATATTCAACTTATGGCCGAACAGTGTGCATACCTAAAAAGGCGACCAAATGGAATGTGGCATCGATTTATCACGAGATTTTGAAAAGAGACATAGAGAAACGAAATTCACACGCAATTTTTTATCTCACTGACAGGACATATGCTATGTGGCTTGAGGTAGGTATTTTTTTCTTTCATTTCTTTCTTTCTTCCATTTTGCTTGCGTAGTATTTTAAGTCTGGCGTCAGGATATTTGAGAGAGAGAGAGAGAGCACTAATTTTATTATTATCCGATTATCACATGAAGTGATCGTCGACTGAATAACAGCCATGGTCCTGTTCATATCAACGTCATCGCAAACTAGCAGCGAACAAATTTATGGCCAAATCGTGTTCAAATAATTTCATATGTTGATCCGTTTTACGAAGACAAGACATTAAAATAATAATGAGAATGAGAACAAAGAACATAACACAAGAAGAAAAAAATAGAAGAGATTCCGCATAACTCGATCCGCGTTCGCGTACCTTCCATTTGGAATGGACAAACGAACGAACGAACGAACGAATGAAAGACGAACATCAAGAATGAAAACAAAACAACATTCGAGAGAAAAAAATATATCTATAAACGTAAACAAACCAACGTGAATGTTCGCACATCGATCGTGTCGCAAAATTTCGTATATAAATCGCAAGCAGTTAGCAGATTTTTATTCATTCGCCGCTCAACCAGCCAACTGAATTGATCGTTTTGAGTTTATTTCAAGTGCGCTCTTATTTCAACTAAATACGAAACAGAATCGGTTTTGATATTCAACAAAATTCAACAAGCAACTAAAGTCAAACTGGAAGTTTTGCCGTGAAATCCAGTGAAATTCACCAAAAGCAAAAAAGAAAGAAAGAAATTTTTTGTTTCGAACAAAAAAAAGAAGTTTATTTTTGAAGAAAAAAAAGTTAAAAAAAAATAATTTCATACAAAATGTTCGGAAAATCAAGTGAAAAGTACTTATTGATTGCTGGTGTTTTCGCCATCGTTTTGATTGATACCTGCTATTCGTCAACATTCATCACACCGCCAATCCAGCATCCGGGTAAGTTATTGTCCCAATTTCTTTCTCTATTAGCCGTTCTGTTTTCCAATCAATGTGTGGACTATTTAGCGTTTATGAGTCACGTCGACGTGATCGTCTCAATCAAAAAATATTTCCATAGTAACAGTGTTTGTTTTTTTTACCAGTGATACATGGTATTTCCCCAATTTGCATTAGAAAGAAAGCTAAATTTGTTGAAACCATTGATTAAAAATAGTTCTCTGTTTGAGTTAGAGGTGACACATCAAAAAAAAATTCGTGCGATTCGAAGAAAAATACATAAAAAAAAATTTTAACCATTCAACGGATATCGAATTATGTAAATTGGTTTGATGTTTGTTTGTCTATAAATCGAATCGATACCATTTTTTTGTGTGTATCGTCAACTCTCTCTCATCAACATTCCGACCTCGTATGAATCATTTCGAATAGTGATGTTAAATCTACTTTTAATTTATTTTCTTCAACAGAATACCCAGGCAAATGCTTTGAACCAGTCACAATGCGCCTCCTCAACCCCGGCCAAGATGTCTTTTTGCCAATTGGCTGCATGAAATTGACATGCCTAAACCACTTTGGTTTTGCTGGTGCTGGGTAAGCATAAATTTTAATAACTTCTCAATTTGTTTGCGAACAAAAAAAAAAGTTGGATAAAACCAACTAATTAGTAAGCCAAGATGACAAAACACAGTGACTAATAAAAAAAAAATTCTATCAATTTTCGTTCATTAATAGATGTGCATCAACTGAAGAAGCCATTGGTAAAAATTGCCGTGAAGTTGAAGGAGATCGTACGAAAAATTATCCAAATTGTTGTCCACGCATCGTATGTGACGAAGATCAAGACAGCGATCTCTTTGAGTATGGCACCAACTCACTGTAAACAACAATGGATAAAGCACTCATATCGTTCCCATCACATCTCTCATAACCATTTGAACGAGCAAAGCGGGCGTGATTAATTTTTAATGTGATTTTTTTTCCTCTCTTCATGACTTATTGTTCTGAAACCACGCAAATGGATTGCATTGGATTCCTTCTGTTGTGGTTGCGCATGAGCAATAAATATTTCAAATGCATATTTATTTAATGACATTTCAAAGACAATCAAATCCAGAGAACAAAACGAAGAACGAACATCGTCTATGATATTCGTACAAAATTCATATCATTGTGCTGCTTAGCAAAGGTGCAAAGGTGCATTTTGCTACGTAGCTCAAATTTATAAAGCAAAAAAAAATTGTTTATTGTGATGTTTTATCGTAGAAATCGTATCATTTAATTTATATACACACATGCACACATATGCATCAAATCGTTTGCATTAATTTAATCATCAAATCTATTTAAAAACCGAAACGCAAAAAAAATCTTTCACAAAAGAGAATTAGTAATTTAAGCAAAAAAACAAAATAGATTAAGAAATGAATGTATATGTTGCGAAAAGCAACAAAAATAGTAAATGCTAAAACGCATAAAATAAACCTTTTAAAATGAACAAAACAAATATAATGGTCACTTTTTTCCGCATTCATTTCAAGTCAGCATTCATTAGATGAGACACACAGTGACGTAAATTGCTATCAAATCCACAGGCAGAATCGTGTGCACGGTGTACGACACAATCTGAATCAAATCGTGATAAGCATCGATCTAGCAAGTTCGATTTTCTTCTTCTTCATTTTATAATTCGATTAGACAAACGAAGTGACCACAAAATCCAACACAAACAACATCTAGCTTGCCACAGTGAAACAGAGGTGATTAGAGAACCAGACACACACACACACAGAGAGAGAGAGAGAGAAATGAAAGAAGAGAACTACACTGATTGCAACAACAACATTTTATTGGAATGTAAATTTTGATAGCTCACATAATATATATACATATATATTGAAATCAACACGGCCCCAGGGGCTTGTTTCTCCGAAAAAAAAAACCGGTGAATCGTGAATGTGTTTTTTTAATTGATTGAAAGGCTTGTGAAAGGCTTAAAAGTGTGGCCTACTTTCAACTGAAACTCAATCCCAGACCTTAAATGAAGTGTTTTGGTGTCTCTTCCGAAATGTCGTAATTCATCGAGAAAAAACAACTTACGACCTACGCAATTTTTATGGCGCCAATTTCAAGGGACAAGCAAACTCTAAGCCCGAACTACATTTGAATTAATTGAACGTTTTGAAATTCGGTTGATTTAGACTGATTCACATTATAAATAGGGTAAAGCTCGCGATCGAACCGGTGGTAAATACAAACAGGAACGATGATCACTGAAATGCGAACACATTTTAACGCACGCACGCATTTCTTCGCAAAATAAGAAACGCTTGTTTATCGCTTTATTATACGTACGCGTTATAGTTCGAAAGCGATTTATATTCACTGATTCCAGGCCGTTGATAAGCCTCATGCGGAACGGTATTCTATGACGTCTATTGAACCACACTTTCGAAAAGTTCAACTTTTTTGTCCATCATTTAGAATTCCCGGTGATTATTAAATTGCTTGTTGATGCCATAAAATGTGATTCGGCAACAAGAAATCTACACCTTAATTGGGCATGAGATCACCTTTTGATATTGCGAGAAAAACACCAAAAAAGGATATCATCGTCATTATTGCTATGACGAACATGATCGATCTTCATTTTAACATCTCTCTCTCTCTCTCTCTCTCTCTCTCTCTTTTCACCTTTGTTTGCATTCCTTCATTGGCATGTATGGCAAAATTGCATGCGTATTTAAATGATTTACTCATTTTTTTCTTAAATGTGATGAGATCAGTAACAAAAATTTCGTGTGCTAATGAATGAATAAGCGAAGAACCCAAATGAATTGGCGTTTAGCAATGATGCAATGACCATATCAAATGCACGATTTGCATTTCAATAGTTCCCCTAAACACAAGCCCCACACGCGAATTAAAATCACATCAATCATTATTCAGAAAACACAGCTGGAGCAATCAGACCATCTCTCACCACTTTTATAGCCGGTAATTTATTATCAAGAATTTTGACACAATTTACTCGCTCGACTTGTGTCATTGCTGCATTGTTGTCCTACACGCTGACATCGGCACCATCGGAATGATATCATGGCTATATATTCGCGTCGGTAATAATTATTGAACCCCGTCACACCAAATGATAGGCCATTTTATTTGCATTAATAAAATCGGCAAACGTCAATCAGGATACCTGTTTTTTAAGGATGTGCTGACATCCATTGAATACAAAACGCCCGGTTTATGGTTTGGCATGTGCGGATGACAAAAGAAGAAGAAAACGTAACCGGAGATGCCAAAAAATTGCACAAATTAATGCTCATAAAATGGTTTGATAGACATTTCGCAAGACCGTTGGTGATAAGATCAATAAATTATCTCGGTCGGAGACCGATACACATTGCAAATATCATGTGATATGAATATCTTAGCATTACAGCTTGCAAGTCACAGATTTGTTGGCGAAGCGAAACTTAGTTGCAAAATAGTTCCGAAACGTGATTGCTAGAATATTTGCCGTTGTGTTCAACTCATAATATCCATGGCGACCGATTTTCCAACCGTTACACTATGAAAATCCCTTGCAACCTATCCGAATACCCTCTCAAAATTTCAACTCGGCTGAGGTCAACAAAGTATTTTGAATCATTTTCGATACTGTTGAACGAAACACCATATTTCGCATAAGAGCAGGCGTTTCTGTGAGCTAGGCACATTCTTAATGGTTTTTGAATGTGCTAAAATCGACTTTTGTTCTGGTTCTGACTATCAAAAACAATTTAGAAACGTGTTTGATGTCAAAAAGTATTTAATTTAGAGTGGCATCGCTTGCTCCACTTGTTGCCGATTGCAAAAGCTTCGTCCACTTCGTACCGAACATACGCACACACGCGCCCAAAAAGTAAAAGCTAAGAGTACACGATTTTGTTGCAGAGGTTCGTGTTGGCTTTCGAACTGGATACACCGACCGGTACATACATTATGGAAATTTGTGAACTCGGAAGTTGGTGGAAAAATTATTTCACACTGTTTTCCGGGACAGAAAACTTTAACCGACCGCAATACGCTTTGAAGCGAGCAAAATACACTCATTTGAATGGATTCGACCGGTTTCATTAGAACCGCGTAAAAATTCATATTGGATGAGATTCGTTAAAAGTGTTTCGCACAGCAAGAAGTCTTTTCCTCATTCTCATTCTCTCTCTCTCTCTGTCTCTCTCTCCATCTTGATTGCGTGCTTGCTTGCTTGTTATTGGCATATCCAGTGTTTAGCCGCTGTTTCGCTGAACTTCATTAAACAGCATAATGCTTTTCTGCGGTCGAACGATGACGAAGATGACGGATCCGAAGGGATGAGGGGTAACAAATCAATTTAAAATTCTCCTTCCTATCGACGCAACTCACACTTCTCTTGATCGCTGCAGAAACGGAGAATAAATTTCAAAAATAAATACTTAATATCATTATTCATAAATAAATTGAACGAGACTGTTTTCCATTCCATCGTCTCTCGTTCGAACAATGATGCAATCGTGTCGTCGTGTAGACAGGATTCTTCTTTTTTCTTCTCTCCCTCTCTCTCTCTCTTTCTCATTCTCACTTCTCTCGAAATGATTTATTCAATAATAAAATGCGACGTTGAGCGGCTCTCCACTGAGAAGAATGTACATTGTACACGATAATGTTTCGGTATTACTTGGTGTATTTGCCTAAGTCCATGTGGATTCTACATGAAAAGAAAAAAAAAACTAGCCACAAATAAAAACATGATACATTCCGCAGACGGTGTGTATCGAAGCCCCAACCAAGACAAAACGAATGTACTTTTAGGGCATCGCATTGGAACTGAATAAATTTCAATATTGGATTCACTTTATTTCGCACATAAATGGGATTTTTCACCCATTTATTATCTCTCTCCTTCTCTCACACATACACTCAAACGGAGTGACTCAATGCGCTAACTTTCCACCGTCGAGAGAGTGTGAGTGTGAAAGAGAGAGAAAAAAAGTGTCCAAACTTCTTCAGAACCCCGCATTGAAGTGCGAGATTTATGGAATGGAATATTATTTTCAGTTCAAACTTGAATATGCGATAGCAATATTTAGATTTTCAATGAGTTTACGGTATTCTTTTTTTTCCTCATCTCCTTTCATCTGGTTTAAATAAATGGATGTTTTTGTTATTTGTTGTTGACGTACGGATGGTTGGTAATAATTCATTGATATTTATCTGATTACTCGGCAGTGTGTAGCTTATTTCACTGCGTGTACCGTAATTGTATTGCTTATGCAATACACAGCGGATAATCAGTCGAGCGTTCGCTTTCTCCCGGACGAAATTGAGAGCGCACCAACAAAAAATTCAAATTAATAAAATGAAATTGCCATAAAAAGACGATTTTGATTTCAAATTAACGTATCCCGTTATCATAATCACCGATACAACAACAACAACAACAAGCGTTTTATCACCGATACGATTTAAGAAAAAGTGTGAATGAAATGAGAAAACGGATTTATATGAATGTCCGAGAATGAATATGATAAAAAGATGCACTCTCGGTGCCACTGTCAGATATACTCGAAGTTGCATTTATAGAATAAGTTAAGCAATTTTTGGTCGGCCAACGACGACGACGACCATTGTAAAGCATCCACATTAATAATATTTATTGTACGTATGTCTTACTCACATACAAGCTATACACATTACACATACGTTAATACCGAAAACAAATATATATCAACATGAGTGCGATGCCAAAGCTGATTTTTCAAATACACTTAATTCCTTTATCTCTGGTGTGTATGGAACGTGCTTCGGTGCTCAATTGGTTATTTTGATGGTCATAAATTTGAATTGTCATCCATTGGCCGTATATATTTTCAATTTGAAAACTCAAAAGAATTGGTCATTTCGAATGTACAAAAATAAATCCGGACCCCTTAGCATAATGGAATAATAATGGAAAATCTCTGTATACAACCGACCTTTCTGAGGCAGTTTTTGGTTTGTTGTCGGTCCTTTTACTGATAACAGTTTTATTTTTAGTTTGTAATCTCTGCAAGCGAGCGAAGAGAGAGAAAGATAGAGCGAAAGAGAGCAAAAAAAACATGTGCCGACTCAAATTGAAAGTTAAATGGAAATTGGGAACTTGCCGTCGAGACGCATAAATAACAACTTTTTGAAAATAACTTTTGTTGTCATTCGGGTCGGCATCAAATTTTAATCGCAATATTGGACAACTAAAGGCCAGCCATTCGGCGGCATAACGCTTGTTCTGAAGTGAGAATGAAAAGAAAAAGTTTGGGCCTGAGTCGGTTTATTTCCATATTTTACTGAAGATCTCAAGCGTTGAGTTGTGGAGTTATTCGTTTGTTAACGCAACCAAACTTTGGCAATTTTAACCGACGAATATTATTAATTCAAACGAGTGGAACAAATTCATGGCAACCTGCTTACTTGTTTACATTCGAAATTTGCCACCATTGTTGATTGCGAAATTCGAAGAAATTTGCGACTGAATGAACTTGACACACAAAGTTCAATGAGTAATTTCTGTTTTTGAGACGCGAATGGAAATCATTCACAGAAATATGATGTCTCAAGAGAATATTAATTGATATTCCCGCGTGGTATGGAACTAATGCAAATTAAAACAAATTCATTTGAATCATTTCCGCTCTTTGTGGCATCATTTGATGCTCAATGCTGTGTCAATGGGAATTCGTGGAATATGGACACGAAATCAATTATCGCGAACACAATTGAATTCCTCGACTTGTTTTTAAAAAACTTCCTATTCATTGATGGAATAATGTGAATTTCAATTTTCACATTTACCGGCCAATTATTTGAGTTACGGCAATTGAACAGAGGTGTCTGAACATCTGGTACTATGAAGTATTTCGTTACCAGGGTTTTCGTTAGAATAAACAACAGTTGAATGATTCATCAAAAAACCGACATTGTCAACACTGTATCGAACACAAGAAATTCGGAAACTTTCTTAATCACTTTTCAAATACTTTTCGACAGCGAATTTTGAAACTCCTTCGATGAGCATATCAGATTCCATCCACTCTCCGAATTGCAGTTTTACTCAATTAAATACTTTTTCGACTACATTTGGTAGATATGGCTGGATTACATTTTGATAGCTTTAATATGATATTTACTATAAGCTCATGGCTTAAGCCATTGTGGTTTAACGACTTTCAGCTCAAACAATTTGAAACAAAGATTTATATCAAGTTCATTATTTAAACCTTTGTTTTCACTCTCATCACCATTAAGTACAGCGCATTTGCTGAATCAATCGCAAAATCGGCATTGCCACAGCTCCTGTATTCTGTGAGAATAACGTATGTTTTATTCAATGAATTTATGACACCATTTCAAACACTGTTTCGACCTGATATATTATATATTAATTTCCGAGAATATTAGAATTTCCAAAAACATTCAATCATTTTTCTCGTCGATGCTTTCAAAATCCAGATAAATTTCGCTGATTGGGGTAAGCAGTGAATCAAGTGGTGATGCAATGATTGGTTCGGTCGTTTTGGAATTCACCGTAATCGAATAGCGTCGAACTATCTCCACCAGAGCTAATTTTATTTGGAACCCGGCAAATTTTTGCCCTGTAAATGGATTGAGAGAATTTCGTTTCGTCGGAACGTGAAACAGTGCAATTCATTCGATTTACCTACCAATACAAATTCGCTGTCCGTCACCAAACGCTAGGAATTGGCCTCTCCTCTTCAACTCGTTCGGTGATTGTAACTCAAAACGTTCAGGCTGAAAGGAATTCGGTTTTTCATAGAAGCGCTCGTCATGATGCAAAGCAAAAACGGGTAATTGAATCGAAGTGCCCGCCTCAACTAGCAATTTCGTTCCGTCATAATCATGCAGTTCAATGGGTTCGGTACAACATTTGGCGAGCAAAAACGCTGATGGCCCAATACGGATGGTTTCTGCAAAACCAGAAAATTGACACATTTTAACATGATTCCTAATGAACATTAACACAAAATTTTCTCCGGCACAATTATAAACTATCGAACCGACCGTTAACAATGTTATCCAAATACTGCATTTCGTTGATTGCATCGGCTGTTGGACGTTCATCGTTTGGAAAATGGTTGAAAATTTCGGCACGCAATCGCATCTGACATTCTTCATTCTTGGCAATATGGTAGAGAGCCTGTGCTAAAATCATACTGCTTGTTTCGAAGCCATCAAACAGAAATATCGCAGCGAACTCGGCAATATCTTCGTTTGAGTAATTTTTAACATGTTTACGCTCCAAAAGAAAATTCAGAAAATCATTTCGGTTCGACTGGTTTTGATGCCGATACTTTGTTGCATCGCACATCACATCGTAAAACCATTGAGTTAGCTGGGTTGGGAAAAACGATGGCTTATATACACAAGTGAGAATGGGAAACGTGGACAATAAAACATTCACAATGTTCGTTGTTAGCGATGGACTGAACCATTCAACAAGGCTTCTATGCACTGAATCATTTGCCTCCAAGCCATAGATGCAATTCATGACGGTATCAGACGTGAAACGTGATGTCAACTGCAAATTCAAAACATTGTGAAAATGTTAATTTTACCCTGTCCGCCGGCAGCATACATAACAGTCCATATTGAATTGTTTCTATGTTTTGCTTACGTCTTTTGTGTCGATAGTCCGTTGCCTCCCGTTGCCGATCTGCATATCAATGTGCCCAATCATCTTTTGACCACTGCTCCAAATCATGGAGAATATTTGTCGCAGCTGAATTTCAATTGAACATTTTTGCCAAACACGACGGGTTCGCACGGCACAAACGAAATAGATATTAAAGCCCAAGTCGAGTGAAAACAATTTTCATGCATACTTACTTTGCTTTGAGTGAATGCCGGAGATAGTTCGGTTCTCGTATTGCGCCAGTCATCATGTTGCGACGCAAATAAATTCCGAGTAAAAATCGGATCAAGATGTTTGTCAAACTGAAATGCATCTTAAACTTTGAGAAAAAAAACTCCCAGGGGAGGTGTTTTCTCCCTTCAAATGCTTTCAAAATCAGTTTCACTTACTGAATTCGATGAGTCATTGATTTGGAAATGCTTGAAATACTTTACATAAATGTCACTAACAAGTTTCGAATCCAAAATCAATAGTTTCGGTGTTCTTCGCTCGAAAATTCCAATGAAACGATGCTTCTCTTTGTACTTCCTTATTTTCGTGATTGAATCAAGACAATTTTTGAACATTAAATTTGGAATAGTTCATAATTTTTAATTCAACTTTGAATTCACTCACTCGTACAACTCTTGCTGTTCGTACATAACATTTTGTAGGAGAACAGCTGATTTGGGATAATTGCCAAAAAATGGTAACGGTTTTGGTCCAAATATCTTTCGTTTGCGCCAATAGTCAAAATTCCATGATAAATATATATAGGTGATGGCCAATAAAACTGCGAATAAAACAAGTGCGAACATTTTGCCCGTTAACAATGTAATACCATTCGATTCAATTGAAACAAAGTCGTAAAGTACTATTGATTTTCAATGCATTATCTATAGAAACAAAAATACGCAGCACAATTCGTGCAAACTAAATTATCAGTTCAAGTGGTGATAGTGACATTAAAGATTCCGTCGAGCGTTTAGTTTACCCGTGTGTAAAATAACATGCGTATACATAATTTTTGTAGTTTCATCACATTCACTTTTATTCACACTCAGTTGAAAGTTGCAAACATATTTGTAACAGACGCTTTTAGTAGAAACTTTTTTTCATTTGGGAAGATTAATTTAGAAAAATTCTTTTATCATCAATGGCAATAAACTGGTTAAAACATTAATTATTCACGTGAAGTTCTTATCAAGTTGTAAGTATTTAATTATATTTTGATAAAAACATGGAATAATACAATATCAAACCTATTTTAATATATGTTGTTTCAATGAAACACGCGTTAATGTGTCCGACGTTTAATTCTAAACCCAGCATGGTTATGGCTTATGGGTAAAAGAAAGCTTCCCGTTCGGTAAAGTCGATGTCTCTACAGAGTGATGTAGTGAATGTTCAACCAAAGTATAAAGGACGGCTTTTATTTGAGCTATTTCAACTTGAAGTCCTAAAAAACGAGTAAAGAATTGAAAGACAAAGAAATGCTTTCGGAAATCGCCTATGTTGCTTTTGCCCAAAACGTCAATGTCATTAGCAGCATTGGCGCTCTACTGACTTAAAAGCATTTAAATGTATGTCGCTGAGCATAAAAATGGGAATACAGATCTGTTACAGCAACAACCGAACATAAAATATTGTTCCCTAAAAACGTTACATGAATTTCTATCCAACGCGAGTGTAACATGAGCTAATACTGTTTCTAATGCAACTTATGTTACACTCGCGTTAGATGAAAATTCATGTAACGTTTTTAGGGAACAATATTTTATGTTCGGTTGTTGCTGTAACAGATCTGTATTCCCATTTTTATGCTCAGCGACACATGTCAATTGCTTTGACGTTCTAGGCACAAATTTCCGAGAGCCTTTGCTTCACAAACTTAATTTGTGTATTATCAAGTATATTTCAATAAATCAATTACCGACGCATTGTCGCGCTCCATTATCAAATAGTAAGAAAACGCCAGCATTGGTACGCCTTTTAAATATTTGTATTGAAAATATTAAATAAATGGTGGACCGAATGTGGTCATACGGCGTTGAGTAGAACATTTGCGGTAATTTCTCGAGAAATTTGGATTTTCTGTTGAAAGCATTTGCATCCGACCGAAAATCAGAATGCAAGACACATCGGCTATGACACGTGTGCATATCTACAATATTGAATAAATTGAAATTCTTCGTCAAGTAATATCATAACACTTTAGAGCAATCCCATTGAAGTTAGTCAAATGAAGCGAGATATCTCTTAATTTGATATTGGTTGCAGTTAACTCATTCAATTTGGATCGAATTTCATAAATTACGAAAACGACTTGACCGATATGATATATTGGTTCCATCACCAAATAAATACATCTTTGGATGCTACAACCGTTTTCCTTGACTCAATTTTACAGTTGATATATTGTTGACGGCATGCCTTTTCTATGACTTTACTATGATAGCCCAGCTCAAAGTTATAGGATTGTTCCTTTGTGGCATAGGTCACCCAAATAATTGATTCCTTCGTTTGAATTTACTAGAACTGTTATAAATTCAAATCGACAAAGGCATACCCAATGCATGAAATGCATTTAAAATGAGAAGCGATTCTATTTCTATTACTATATGTATGATAATCAAGCCATGTTTATTGATTGCTAGGGGAATTTATCATTCAATGCAGTTTGTATGATTGAAGTCTTTTTCCAAATTCAAACAATATTCTTATGTTTACACACAGATTCAAAAGATTCATTCAGATTCAACACATTACTGTGAACGAATCGTCATGAATATGATGAATCTGATGAATCTCGTGAATCCAAATTGAAAGAGGCGACAGAACTTGTCAGTCGTCATATTGGATTTCAGTAAACAAAAGATTCATAAGATTCGTAAGATTCACACCATTTGGAAAGTGAGTGATTCCCCTAGATTGATTGTTATTCTCGCGATACTCATAACAAGTTGTTAAAATTTGTTTGTACTAACAAATGGAGTTATGGAATAATACAATGACATACACAACTATTCATGGAATAAAACTTTTATATTATTCAAGTTTTGCAAACGGATGGACAGAAATAGATATGATTTTTCCTAGTACGGCAGACGCTCTATTTTGAGCTGAGCTGTATTGTCCGAAAAGAAAAGCATACCAGTCGGTGAGCTGGGTGCATTTTTGTTGGGTTGTAAAGAAATGTCGAATTTCCCAACCAGAGTGTAAAGAGCGGCTTTAATTTGAGTTACGGCAAAACGCATTCCTAGAAGAAAAAAAAGAGAGAACGTTCGAATATTATAAATAACAGCCTAAGAACAAAATAACAACTTTTGAACTCTTTGCCATGGGCGTGACATGCAGCCACATGGGTACAGCGCCCGTGTACTTCGTAGTGGAAAAAAAGTGAAGCTTGCTTGTCACCAATATTGATGTTCACGAACATCAAATTGTTTATGCGTTATTTCGCCCACTTTATGCACTGGAAATAAAAAGTTCTTCAATTTCTAGCAAATTTCACATATGAATTCATAAACACATCGAGAAAACACAACTATTTTTTCACATAAAAAGCATAAGCAAGATGATTTTTTCGTTGATGGTTGTTCGATCCTGGATCGTTTGTGATTCATCAACGATTTGCAACACATCCATTTTTGATTTCGATATTCCAACTGAATACGATGTTTTGTATTCATTAAACAATTCCATTTTGATCAGAAAATAATTTTTTATTGAAATGGCTGTGACGAAAAACCACGCGAACGATTGCAAACGATAGCACAAACATTAATGTCTAGGAACATCAAATTCGAATTGACATTATTGTCAAAGCGAATTCATCGGGAAACACTGAATTGAAGTTCGACACAAATGTCAAATTAATTCGCCGATGTGAAGCAACAAAACAAAATAAATAAAAATACAAGCAAACAAACATTTTGTGTTGATCTAATCTGCAAGTTTTATATTTTTCCAGAATAAAAACGGTAATTTTTTTGTATTTTATTGTTTCATTCCAAATAAAATCTCTATTGTGATTTTTAAGTATACATTTATAAAAGATATCTTCAAAAATCAACTTTGAATGTAATATAATTTGTTATTGGCGACAAACAATTAATCGAACGCATTTAATCGAACATAAAATAATTTTCAGCCTGCCGGTTTGCTGATGTTCCCCGAATCGACCGACGAAGTGCCCAGTGCCCACCACCGATGTCGAAGAAGACAAACTAATTTCCGTGATAATTTAAATTTTGCCATTCAACATTCCAATAAGGGCAAACGCAGTGTAATCGAAAAACATTTGGAAGGCATCAAGCATTGGGGCCTAAATCGACATGACAAAATCAATCAACCGTCCCATTGTATTGCGAAATCGACGCCAAAGGAAGAAATTGAATGATAAAATCATTAATCTTCCGTATTTGATGTTCCTAGACATTAATGTTTGTGCTATCGTTTGCAATCGTTCGCGTGGTTTTTCGTCATAGCCATTTTAATAAAAAATTATTTTGTGATCAAAATGGAATTGTTTAATGAATACAAAACATCGTATTCAGTTGGAATATCGAAATCAAAAATGGATGTGTTGCAAATCATTAATGAATCACAAACGATCCAGGATCGAACAACCATCAACGAAAAAATCATCTTGCTTTTGCTTTTTATGTGAAAAAAAGTTGTGTTTTCTCGATGTGTTTATGAATTCATATGTGAAATTTGCTAGAAATTGAAGAACTTTTCATTTCCAGTTCATAAAATGGGCGAAATAACGCATAAACAATTTGATGTTCGTGAACATCAATATTGGTGACAAGCAAGCTTCACTTTTTTTCCACTACGAAGTACACGGGCGCTGCTTGTACGAAATTCCGTTTGTATGAAGCATGTCACGCCGATGCTCTTTGCCGATAAATGAAACGAAAAAAAACTTAGAGCAAAAAAGAAACAAATGAAGTTGCGAGCAAAAGTGACACAAGTGGTCATTGAGCGGAAAACACGTTTTTCTCATTTTTCTCGCTACTGGAAAAAGATAGCGACTAGGTGTCTTCGGCAATATTGTAGAAAATGGAAATAACTACAAATAAGCAGAAGACACTTAGTCGCTGTCTTTTTCCAGTAGCGAGAAAAATGAGAA